CTTTTACCTATGGTACATGGAACAACTCATGGAACCAACGATAGGCTAACATTAACCCTGCCAACTCAAAATGTAACTTTGAGTTGCTAATGTGCCTCACTCACGAGTCCAAGCGTAAACTCGTGCTAACGGAGCATCTCAAATCCATCCTATGAGCCCAAGAGCAAGCTCACATTATTAGGTATAACAAGGTAACCAAATCCATACCCAAGGAACAATTGCGAACCCTTTGCACCAAACGTGTACCCACTCGGATCATCGTTTTCATCTCTGCGTATGCAACAAGACTAGTTGCCCAATCTCATTGAATAGTACTTGCTGAGACTCATTCTCTGATACCAAATGTAGCGCACATGGTTTTGACCCTTTATCCTATGGTGATTTACCATAGGATAACACCACGAAGCGGAACCTAAACCCTCTTTGTGCCACGTGACAGATGCCACGTGTCCATGCCACGTGTCCATAGGAACCCGAGGTTCAGGGCCTTGGGCCACTGAACGAAGGAACGGTGCCAAACTCCCAAGCATGGAGCCAAGGAGTGACGGAACCGAACCACGGAGCAACTCCCGAGCATAAAGCCCAAGAAGCGAAGGGACAGGAGCCCGGAGCGACTTGGAACAGTCCTAGAGTAACCAGCATCCCAATGCCAGGACTAGCATGCAAAACGGAGCCAAACGGAGTTTGGCACTATTTCGGCATACCGGTGGCCTAACGCAAGGACATGGGTACTCCACCAACTAGCATGGAATGGAACTTGGGCTTAGACCCAAGCCGGATGCAGAACAAGGACAGGCACGCAAGCGGGAGCTAGACTATGCCTCAGGTTGGTCGGCCATGCCCGACTTACCCACTATCCCTACTATACATTTGGAATCCCCCATAGCCCCCCCCCCCCCCTTGAGGAACACATGCTTTGGGCTTTCACCCCAAGCCTCCCTTAGTATCAGGAGTTAGTCTCTGGAACAAGCTTGAAACTTACTAAATATAGAATGTCCTTAGATTGCGAATTTGGACATGGGACGAACACCATTGTGTTCAGGACGATCTCTACATTCCGTAGATATGCCAAATGAGCAAATCTGGACGCTTTCCATAAATAGCATTTGGGACCGAAATGAGACCAACACAAAGGGCATGATAGCGAGGGTGTTTGGCAAACACGGTAAGCTATCATTTAGCGATATTGAGGGACCAATCTCAATATCGCGGGGGTTCCCAACACTAGTAAGTGCAAGTCAACATCATGAGTTTCTCATCACCATGTCAAGTCTGCTTGACTAAATGACAACTTAGGATTTCCTTCCTTAGTGCCCTTCCGGTCTAAGTGCACATGTGATGGCCAGTTTCTCAACTAGCTTAGGTGGAGACTAATAACGGGTCCAGCAATACCGACCTCCTACCATCGTGGCAGTAAGGTAAGAGTGTCCGTAAGGACTAGCCGACAGGTAACTTTCGATACCTGAAGTCACATTCGCGACATTGTCAGACCAGTGCAAGACAGAGCAAAAAAGAACTAAGAGCTAGGCTGAATATGCTTAGCTAGAAACACATAGGAGTTCTTACCTTATGTCCATCTAGCTAAGTACAGATGTGAAGCCCAGTTTACTAACACTTGAACAAGAGGGGCTGATAAAGAAAACTAGCAATACCGACCTTCTGCCGTCGTAACAGTAAAAAAAGAGTGTCCGTAAAGACTGGCCGATAGGTAACTTTCAATACCCGAAGTCACATTTGCAATAATAAAGTCCTTGGGCAAGTGAACCTCATTTTGTGACAAAGCTTGATGAGGGTAATCATTTCTACATCGATTATTATTTATTAAATAAAGTAACAATCTTGGATATGTACACTCTTCCTCACACTACTAATATTTTGGATCATTTGGGGAGAAGCCGTTGGTTCACCAAGTTAGATCTTGCTTCTGGGTATTGGCAAGTATTGATGGCCGAAGAAAATATTCCTAAAACTATTTTTGGTACACCATTTGGTTTGTATGAATTCTTAGTGATGCTATTTAGTTTAAACAATGCTTTAGCAACTTTCTAGCAGATGATAAATAAAGTTCTTTGCGATATTTCAGAAATGACTGCTAACTTCATTGATGATGTCTTGATCCACTCAAAGGAGATGTGGGAGGAACAAATTTGTGATGTTCATAAAGTGTTGGATCAACTATGGGAAGTTGGTTTAAAGTTGAAATAGTTAAAGTGTGTGTTTAGGTTTAAAGACACAACTTATCTTATATTTCTCATGAGGGTTTGTAAGTTGATCTTGACAAATTTGTGGCTATTCTAAAGCTCCCTACTTCAAAGTGTGTGAATGATGTGCAATGCTTCTTAGGCAATATGCAGTATTTTAGTCGTTCTGTTGATCATCTTTTTTATTTCATTGCATTATTGCGAATGTTGCTAAAGTTGTCAATATCATCTTTCATTTGGTCTATAGACTATAAGCAGGTGTTTACAGATCTCAAAGCGTTGTTGACGACTCTTATAATTTTAACATATCTTGACTACACTCAACCTTTCATTTTGCATATGGATGTTTTTAATATTGGTTTTGGAGATGTGTTGATGCAAGAGAGCCTGAGGGTGCTTGGTCAGCACCATCCTATTATATATATCAGCCGTACATTACAACTAGTAGAGTTAAACTATTCCACAATAGAGGAGTGTTTAGCAGTAGTTTGGGGTTTTGAGAAACTTCATCCATATCTATATAGTTTTTAAACGTTATTAAAAGATGATCATACTGCAATCAATTCATTATTGAAATGGAAGAACTTGGTTAATCGTACTGCTTGGTGGGCTTTGAAGCTTTAGATATATGATTTTGATGTTGTTCATTGTTTGGGGAGTTCTATGGCTAATGTTAATGCCCTTTCTCAAGCTCCTCTTCCTTCTTCGCTCTCTTTTCATATTTTTAATGATCCTATTATTTTAACATTTGTGGATTTTTTAAATGAGAATTCTATGCTATCACCGATTGTTGTACTTGATGTCTAGTATCCACAAGATGTAAAGCAAGATTTACTTTCCCTTGATGAAATTTGTGAGGCTCAAAAGATTGAGGTGTGGATTTGAAGACTTCGCGATAGGTTTATGAATCTTGCATCACTTATTGATGATTTGCTATTTCGGCATTTACATTCTCAATATTATTTTGAGAATAGTTTTTTTTATTTTCTAGGTATGGATTTTGATGATCATTTAGGGTTAGTGGTGCTTACAATCTTTATTCCACGCTTTTTCCATACCTACCATAATTCTCTTATTCTATGTGGGTATATAGGACATTGTCACATGACCAAGAAGTTATGTAAGTCTTTTTATTTGTAATGCATGTGATCATGGGATGAGATTTGAATATACTGTCATCTATCTGATCTGTGCATAGCTGTGTTTAGTGCAAAGCTCATAATACTCCCCCTCATACTGTGGAAGGATAGTTAGAGTTAATTGTAGTTTCCTATCTATTTGAGTTGGTGGCATTTGATTTTATAAGACATTTTCTACGATCAATTATTGGCAATGAGTATGTCATTATTGCTTCTGATTACTTAACTCACTGGGTGAAAGTTGGTGCTCTTGCTAGTGCATTTGCAACTTCCTCAATTGAGTGGTGTTCCGGCATTCCTATCTGGAGTGGATTTTTTCAGATAATGGTCTTGTATTTATAAATAAGGCATTTCATATTTTGACATCTAGATTGAGGATACACCACATTTTCACGAGTGCTTATCATCCACAGTCAGACAGTTTAGTGGAATGAATCATTTGGACCTTCAAAGGGATGATCGTGAAGTATATGAACTTTTAACATTTGGATTAAGATGGTTATTTGCTATCTTTTCAATATGCGTATGTCATAAGGGTGTAAAGTTCTATTAATGTTTCACCATATAAACTCCTATATAATTATGATCCAATATTATCAATGGAATTAGGTTTACTTTCGCAATTGCCGTAGGTTGCCAATACTAATGAGTATTCTTCCACTTGTCTGAGTAAAATCTACCACACATCTAAGCCATGTACAAGTGGGACAACAACAATGCTACAACTCCCATCATTGTCCACCTACAAAGTACAAAATGAATTTCTTGGTGTTAATCCGTTTTCTCCATCTTATAGTACATGGTTTATCTAAAGGGCTTTTTGCTTAGTAGAAAGGTCTATATCAGGTGTTGTAACAAGTTGAACTGCAAGTTTATGAAGTTCGACATGACATCTAGCAAGTCGATCCTCCAAAAATTGTGTATATACAATGGCTGAAACACTTTATACAAAGGGATCAAGAACATTTAATACCACCTACAGATCCACCGATGCCTCCTCTTGATATTCCTTCAAATCTTGACCCATCCACGAAAGAACTTTAATAATTTTCTATCATTCCGAAAGGAAGGGATGATATGAGTCCAAATGTATAACTATAATGCTATATACTAATATTAATGTAGTGAGATTTTGGTAACTATCGAATTAGTTTCACTCTAGACCATTCACTCTTGTATATAAACTAAAGTTTTTTAGGCTAATGGATATACACATTTCTTGTATTCTCTTTCCATATTCCATACACTCATATAACTTTTTGGCATAAAATTAAACTAATATAAATAAAAGTAACTATTCTTCTTGACAAGTTCTAGATGTCCATCTTAGAAGCTCACCACTGCCCATATTGATACCAGAATGCTGTCTATAAGAGTTTCTTAGGCTTTACTAGATCCAGGTTTGCAATTGCTAGCAAAAAGTTCCAACCTGGAAAAAAGAGTTATTCCATCTAAGAAAAGGAGAGAGAAATATATAATTCCTTTACATTGCTCAGATCACCAGGAGCCATCTGAGTTTGCGGTCCTCGGCCCAAAATTCGCAATGCTCAATGGATGATGGGCCGTTGATGAATCTCTGCCTTTAAAAGTGAAAAAATTTGAAATCAACACGTGGCAATATATGGCGCGGCCGCGTAGAAGGGAAGAGCCCTAAAAGGAGTTTCCTCAATATATGGAGCAGCCAGAGAGCAGACACCGCGAGGACGTGAATGCGCTGGATCCGCTCATCCTGGGCGGGATCATCCCGGACGTGGTGGACGATTTCGTGCCGTGCTGCGAGATGGCGGTATACTACGGTAAGGATCAGGTCACAAACGGGTGCGAGCTCGCACCATTTGCCACAAGTTCGCCCCCAAACGTGCAGATCGCCGGGAACTTCGATGATGGCTCTCTCTTCACGCTGGTAAAGCTCCCTTCCTCGCTCTTTCTCGCGATTCTTCTAGGCCTGGGTATAGTCGCATTCTTTGCTGGAAATTTTTCTAAAAGAGATCGTGCTTCTCTATTCAGGTGATGACGGATCCTGATGCTCCAAGTCCGGCTGAGCCATCACTGGGGGAATATCTTCACTGGTAAGCAGCAGCAAAGCAGCGCGGCTTTATGCCAGAATCATCACTTCCACTAAAACGAAGAGCCGTAGAAAACACTAGAAAGAAAAATCTCACGCTTTCCTTGGTAGGCTGGTGACTGATATTCCCGGAGGAACAGATCCAAGCAAAGGTAAGCCGCATTTCTTTCCTCCATGCGCGAGCGAGAAAATAAAATCTACACAAAAGAGAGTGATAGTTTTTCTCGACGGGCAACTACTATTTGAGCGCACTAATGCATTCGTTGCTTTGGTCTGTGTTCCTCGTTGACAGGGAAAGGGGTGCTGCCATATGAGAGACCAAAGCCACCAGCAGGCACGCACAGGTACACGTTTTGTTTATTCAAGCAAAGCAGGCCCATGATGGCACTCGCGCCCGTCATCCGGAGCAACTTTAGCACCAAATGCTTCGCTCAAGAGCACGGCCTGGGCCTCGCAGTCGCAGCGCTGTATTTCAAAGCACAAGGCATGGAGCCATAACAACTTGTAAGTGTCTACATGAACAGTGTAAGTTGCAAGCTTGTCTCCCAAAGTTTTCTTTTTTTTACTAAGTTTTTCGTGCTCTTTTGCCCGACGAGCTACTGTGTGTGTCGATCCAGCTGGTGCTTGACGATTTACAGCGCACGCAGGAAAGCTCGAGCTTATCCGCAGTTTTGTTCCAGGAGAGGATTCAGGGAGCTCTCTTACCAATAAGTAACGAGGACGAAAAAGTGAAAGAAGTTTGGCTTTGGGTGGTAGCAGTAAAGCCGGGGGTCTCTTTTCGCAGCTCTCAGCCTCGGAGAGGAACTTGTTCCTGATCATGTCTTGCTACTCCAACTTGTTTCTGCGCGGAAGCTGCTGCGCAGAGATTTGATCCAGCACGCAGAATGCGACTTACATTGTACACTGACAGGATTTTGCTTTTTCGACATCAAATCGCGCGGGACGAGCTAGCTATTCTTCTGCTACTTCGTCGTATTTGCTACTACAAGAGCACGACGGATCACTGTTTGGATCACTATTCAGAGAGGGGAAAAATGCAATTTTCCTGTTGTTTGTGCGATTATTAAGTTTGGATAGAGCTTCCACTCTTTTGTCTCGCAGATCTTAGACCAGTTGGTAAAGCTTACACACTTTTTATAAGCGTCTGGATAGAACTGTATGTACATACATTTATGGTCGCTGGCCAGAAAAGAACACGCCAGCTAAAGAGAAGGGGATAGAGATTGACAAAAAGCACTCACCCCTTAAAAAAAAAAAAAAAAGAAGGAAGAAAAGGACTATGGCGGCTACTGCTACTACCGCTACTTTTGCCTGGCAAAACACTACTCGCTCTAACAGGAAGGACGGGAGATCCATCACCAAGTTGGCCTTTAACAAAACAAAGCCTTCTTCCTGGTGGGAGGGACTCTCCATAGCTACGCTCCACTCTAACCATGCCTGTCTAGAGAACAAACACTACTTCCTAGTGCACTGCAAGCAAAGCAAAGGATTGCTTTGCTCGGAGAGCTTTTCCACTCTCCTGCTTACTTACTACTCTATACGGAAGGAAAGGTACCGGAAAGGAAAAAAACGGAGGAAAAAAGAGAAGACTCGACGTAGGGATGACTCCTGCTCCTCTAGCTACCTATGTAGTATTTACATAGTAGCGTAAACGTAATGCTCACCTCGGAGGAGATCCCCGCTGGTTGCGATCGGGATCTCAGACTCACCATTGTTGGAACTTTGGAACTTTTGAGAGTGGTGGTAACCAGCCAGCAGCAGCAGCAGCAGCGCTCTCTCTAGTTGTTGCTCCAGAGGATCACTCGTATCCTCGTGTCCTGTTGTTGACGTTGTTTTGTTAGTTGTATCCTCCTCGATACTAGTTGCTGGCTTTCCACAGCCCCGGTCTAGTAGTACTGTGCGTCGTCGTACTGGTAGTAGTAGTAGTAGTAGTAGTAGTAGTGACTTTGCTAGAGTGGCTCTTCTCGGCAGCCAAGAGCAGCAGCAGCTGTTCGTTGCTCAGAAGGGACGGCGGAGGACGATGAACATCCCAGGAGAGATCCTCAAGCTCGATGTTTGGAGCGTTCGTGAGCAGATTATCAATGTCCGCCCACACGTTGCCACCACTGGCGGTGGCGGCGACGGAGCTATTCACCAGTGATCCGGCCCCCGGCGATAATAATTCTTCGCTACACACCACAGACGCGAGAGCTTTTTCTCCTCTAGAGCCCGCGAGCTCGAGGAGAGAGCCTGCGTCGGTGGTAGTGGTGGTTGTTGAAAAATTATCGGGGGTAGCCATCGCACGGTGATAGCAGCTGTCGCCATCGCCAGTAGTAGTACTCGTTGGGGAGACGCAAGGAGCGCTTGCGTAGCCGGCTCCTGTTCTTGCCGTCGCTGTTCTTGGTGATGTTGCTGTAGCTAGCACCTCCTTGTTGACTGGAATCGCTTCCACGAGGTCCTCCTCCGCTACGTCCTTCTGAGCCTTAACTTTAGCCGCTGCTGTCGTTGGTTTGGATGCATCCAGCTTCGATGCAGTCTGCTGAGAAATCGCCTGTAGTTTCGCTTCTAGAGTCGATTGAAACGTCGTACTACTTCCTCCTCCTCCTCCTCCTCCTCCTTGATCTTGTCCACTCCACCCGGACTTACTTGCTTCTTGCTGCTGTGCACGATATATATGTTGAATCTGTGGAAAGTTGAGGCGTGCATACTCGCCTCTCAACTTGTAAGCTGCCTGGTCATACGCGTAGGCTGCGTCTTCGGCCGTGTCAAACGTTCCTAGCCAGAGCCTGGTTCGGTTCCTCGGCAGGCGGATCTCCGCCACCCACTTGCCCCAGTGCCGCTGCCTCACTCCTCTATACAGCTTCGAGGGCCCGACTCCAAGCCTGCGATCCTTGCTTACGTGCTTCATGGACTGGCCCCTCGGGCTCAGGTTCAAAGTCTCACTCCAGTATCTAAGCTGCTGCTGCTGCTGTTGCTGATGGTTTAGTAGCTGGGAGTTTTTCCGATCAGCTGCTTGGTGGTGGTGCTGTTGTTGTTGCTGCTGCTGCTGTTGATGTGTCTGCTGTTGATGAAATAAGACGTGATTCTGTCTTTGATGCATGAGTAGCATCTGTTGTTGTTCCCAAGCTCGAATCTGCTCGAGCTGTGACGCTGCTTCCTCATGGATCGCTTGCGTCATGAAAAGTGGAGCTCGAGCGATGCTCTCGGGATACCAAGGCGGAACCTCCGGTGCTCCAGACGTGGACGTCGGTGACAAGACCATTGTTGGCCCGCTCGCTCCAACGAAATGATCGCAAGCGGCCGCCGGAAGAGGAACCTGCTGGTGTGGGACGGGCCAGACGCCAGCCCCACCCGCGATTCCAACGTTTCCGGCTTGAGCTCTCGAGGGAGACGGTGTCGTGGATCCCCCAGTGGAGGTGTCGAACACGTCGCCACTGCTCGAGGAGCTAGCTCCAACATTAAGCTGATGATGATGGTGGTGATAGAGTGGCGGCGACGGCTGTTGTTGTTGGTAACCGTGGAACCCCTCAGCAACATAGCCGGCTCCTTCTTCTTCGTAGGACGAGGAACTTGACGACGAGTCGGAGCTGTCCGGAAGCTCCAATCGTGCTAGAGCTTCCACATTGTCAAAGTGCTCCAACGTTCTCGCGAGGTCCCCGTCGAACGCAAACTCTCGGTCGAATCTAGCTGCGATGGGTAACTCGGCGGTAGCTGTTGCCATGCTCGCGGAATTTCTTGCCATACACTACGCTGCCAACTGGATTTGTACGTTGGCTGATGATCTAAGTTTGGTTCTTCTGTGGCGACTGGCTTACTTGCGAAGCAAAGAAGAAGATCTTCTAAGGGAAGGGGAAAGAAGGAAGGCTTGCGAGAAATGGAAGCAAAGAAGAGCTGCTTGAGAAGTATGGAGAGAAAAGAAGACGAGCCTTGAAGAACTATGGATTTTAGTAGAAGAAACGAGGAGATCCTGGCCTGGGATATAAGCAGGCACTCTACCAACTTGTAAGCTTGTGACTTGTACAAGGCAATGCAGCAAGAAGCGCAAGCAAATGAAGATGAGGTATATATGTGCGAGAGATCAGTGAGAAGTCGGGTGCTTTCCTTTTTTCTTTGCAGGATCTAAGAAACGGAGCTAAGCACAAGGGATGGAGTCCAGAGGAAAGCGGAGAAAAGAAGCTCCTCTGATGGGAGGCTACGCAGGGGCTACTAGACTAATCAAAGACGAGCAAGGGAAAAAAAAGGGATGGAGGAGCTTTGATGCATCCAGGGACAGGAAAGAGAGCCTAGAGGTCAACAGAGCTACAAGGATTTTCAATACGGAGGCTGCGAATTAGGAAGGGAGGAGGAAAAAGAGAGAAATCTCTCTCTTGGCTGGGTCACAGATTCTCACACCAAATGCAAGGATGGAAGAATGCCATGGCAAGCATACAGACCTAAAACTCGTCGTCGACGCCGCGGGCGGTAGAATGCCTGCCAAGATCTCAGATAGGAAGCATGAAAGGGATCTGGAGATGCCAGGGAAGGAATTGGGAGTGTATTGTCAGTCGCCGCCACAGATCATTCCTCGAGCGCCGCCACAAAATCGCTCTCTCGCCGCCTTCTCTTCCTCTTCTTCTTCCGCTTCCACGAATTTCTGGCTATGGAGGAGATTGTATAAAAGCACCCCTTAACCTCGGAGGGTTTAATTGCCACGTCACCAAGTTAGTGACTAAGCCACGATTTAGGTCAGTGCGTATCAGGACACCTGTCAGGCGGGAAGAGTGACGTGCCGGTGTGGCCGCCACCACCAACCGGTGTATACCGGTGGACATACATTGCGGGCGCCGATATGTTTACCGATGTGACAGTTTGGATTCTTGCGTATTGTCTGCTTGCTCACGTATAGCAATCCGCCGCGTGTCCTTTCTAGAAGTTGACTCAATCGCGACATGACGCGTGTCCGCGGGATTAGCGCGGCTTGAGCACCTGTTCCGCAAGATAAGATCCATGTCTGGGACGGGACGGGGGAGATGGTGGGACAGATGGCGCGCTCCCATTTGCGGGAGGACTTCCACAGGTACAGTTAGGGCGACTAGAAAGCACACGCAATGTGGTTGGGAACTGACGCGTGGCGATCACTTTGTGTGGCTATGGTGGGAAGTTTATCTCAACGTCCATGCTATGGTTCCATTTAGTGTCGATCACGCGTTTCCATTTGCTATGGTGTTTTATATCATGTAGTTGACAAAATATGAGGCCATTAGAAGGTAAGAAGTTTGAGGCGTGTCCTTGTTTCTCTGCCACACACCCCAGGAGATGACAGCCAAATGGGGACAAAAGGCCGAGCTCTAGCGATGGCGACCCGAGAGGGTCAGGGGGAATGGAAGAAGGCTCATTGCACGATGGATGAATGATAGAGTCACAACACACACACACTAATCGGGACAAACAGGAGAATTCTGGGCATAAACAAGCTAAAGTGTGTGTTTTTATATCAATGCCGTGAGAGGGAGTATTTTGTTTTAACAATGATCGATTAAAAGACTAGACGAAGAGTGGGACAAATCACATGCGTTGGAGGTATGTGCGATCGTGATCCGCCCGGAAACTTTTGCTAATCAGCGAGCACTGGAGATTGATGTGATCGACATCGTGCTGGTACTAACTTACTGTGGATGGATCACTCTCTCCAGATAAAAAATGGTGATATTATCATACAAGGAACTATCGATCAAGTCCGCCCAAGATCACTGGAGATTGATCGAGCTTGGTCTTGCGTCTCATCGCCTTCCGGATAACTAAAACGTCGTCTTTGCTGCCAGCCTCGGCATAGAGATGGGAGAGGAGTATGTAAGGAGACTCGGCATCCACGTCGGCCTGGACGAAGAAGCCGGCGGCTCGGTTACCTCGCCGTACATCGCCGTGGCTCCGGCAAGCGCCCAGCAGCGCCATCCAAGCCTCGTAGTTTGGCTCGAATGGCATCGAGTTGACGAGCTCCTCGGCCTCCACGAGTCTCCCACTCCGCGCGAGGAGATCCGTGAGGCAGACATAGTGATCGTAGATGGGAGTGAGGCCATAGTCGCGGGAGATCGAGTGGAAGTAGCCCCGAGCTCGGTGGAGGAGCCCGGCGTGGCTGCAGGCCGAGAGGACGTTCACGAAAGTTATGATGTCCGGGACGAGTCCCTCGAGCTCCATGGCGAGGAAGACGTCGAGCGCGGCCTCGCCGTGGCCGTTGCGAGCGAATGCCGTGAGCATTGCGTTCCAGGAGACCGAGTCCCGGACGGGCATCTGCTGAAACACGGACCAGGCGCCGGCGGCGAGGCCGGATCGACCATACATGGTGAGCGCCGCGTTTCCCACCACGACGCTGTCCTGGAGGATCCCCGGGTGGACGATGCTGGCGATGAACGCGCTGCCTTCCTCGGCGTTCGCGATCCTGGAGCACGCATCGAAGATGGCGATGTATGTCACCGAGTCGGGGCTCACGCCGTGTAAGTCCATGAGCCGGAAGACGTCCATGGCCGACTTGGTATGCCCGTTTCGGGCATAGCCCGAGATCATGGCGTTCCACGAGACAACGGCACCTTGGGCGAAGGCGTGAGAGATGGTATCTTCGAGCACGGCTCTGGCGTCGTCCACTCGACCACTCTGTGAATATGCCGCAATCATGGAGCTGGAGGAGACTGGGTCGCGGTGGTGGATTTTGTCAAAAGCTTGCCTTGCGTCTTCCAGGGAACCATTGACGGCGTGGGCTTGGATAATGACGTTGAGAGAGATTTGGTTGTGGCTGGGCATTCGTTGAAAGGCGAGCTTGACGCTTGCGAGACTGGCGTTGTGCGTAAGCGCTTGGAGAAGTGTGTTCCAGGAGACTATGTCTCTCTGGGGGCTGACGGTGAAAAGCACTTTAGCTTCCTCGAGAAGCCCCTTGGATGAAAAGAGCTGGATCATGGCGTTCCAGGTGAAGAGATCGCGGTGAGGCATGGTCTGGAAGAGAGCTTTCGCGTGATCAAAATGACCACCCGAGGCGTACGCTTGGATCATCGAGTTCCAAGACGCGACGCTTCTGTGCGGCATGATATCGAAGGCCGTCTTGGCGACTTGGAAGCCTGTACTGCTGGAGAACGCAGCGATGAAAACGTTCCAGAGAACAGAATCTCTCTCGAGCATGGAGTCGAAGAGTGACTTTACGTGAGAAACATGGCCTTTGGCAGCAAATGCTTGCATCATAATCGTTCCGGCCATGAGACTGATTTCTGGAAGATTGTCAAACACTTCCTGGCAACCGTCAAGGTTAGACATATCGGCGTACGAATTCATCAACGTTGTCCAGGAGATAACGTCGCGGGAAGGCATTTGATCAAAAAGACCTTTAGCAACGTCAAGATGCCAGGCTTGGGCATTTGCCTGAATCATAACATTCCATGCAGCAGTGTTTGGCTCAGGCATCAAGTGAAACAACTCTTTTGCTTCTTCCAGTTTTCCCTTCTGTGAGAAAAATGCAATGATCGAATTCCAGGCAACGACATCTCGACTCGGCATTCTCTCAAACGCTATCTTTGCCGACTCCAGATGCCCGTTGTGGGCATATGCACTAAGCAGAATGTTCCACGAAAACTTATTGCGTCGAGCGAGGCGATCGAACGCTGAATGGGCGTGGATCGCACTTCCACAGCTGCCATACATTTGCACGACGAGATTGCCCAAGTAGAGATTGCCTTGGAGAGAGACATCGCTGAGGACCTGGTCGTGGAGACGATGTGCCTGTGGCAACGATTTGCACTGCCGGAGGAGAGAGGCGATCGATTTCTCGTCGGAAATGTGGCTGATGGATCGCGCAAACATAACCCAAACCCACGATTCATGGAGTTCTTCATCGCCTTCTCATGGAAAAACCGCAAAGAGGGTTTTTTCTGATGCTTGATGGCTGTGGCGGCGATGATCGGTGGTGGCGGTATCGGGAGAGCACGACTCCCAGCTTTCCACCGTGATGGGCGCTTTGCTTTCGATCCATCCTCTCCCCAGGTACTACTTATCTTAAGAGTAAGCACAACACGATCGATCTATCAGCGAGTGATCAAGCTTTGCCGCTTCTCTTAGTTTGCTCGAGGGCGACTGACGATCCGGAACGCGCGCGTCGCGAATGTGGAGATCCCAAACAACAAGCGCATCGAGACATCGCTCCAGTACATCCACGGCATCGGCCAGACAACCGCCAGGCAAGTTCTTCTTGACGCTGGGATTCTAAACAAGAAAACGCAAGAGCTGTCCGAGGAGGAGCTCTCCAAGATCCGCGACGAAGTTGGCAAGTATATGATCGAAGGAGACCTTGTGAGCTTTCTTTCTTTCTTTTTGCCTTCTCTGGAGGTTGATCGATCAAAACTCTTGCAGCGGCGATTCAACCAGCTCAACATCCAGCGTTTGATCGATATCAAGTGCTATCGGGGGTTGCGACACCTTGCCGGATTGCCAGTCCGAGGCCAAAGAACACGAAACAACTGCCGGACTCGCAAAGGCAAGAGGAGAACCATAGCTGGCAAGAAGAAACCCACGAGATAAGTTTGTGTTCAAGATGCAATCAACCGCAGCTTGCTTCCGCGTGTAGATTCGATATCAGAACATACGGCAGTGCATTCTCCGGATCCAAGCGACGAATTCTATCGCCAGCTCGCGATGCTCGAGGTCCATCGCCATGGCTCTTGCAAGCGGCCAGATAAGTCGTCCAAGTTGCGGGATCACTCGACAATGCTTTGATATCCACCGGCATAACTCCGATCAGATCCTCGGCCTCCTGGAGCTGGCCAGTTCGTCCCATGAGATCCACCATGCAGACATAGTGATCCTCCCTGGGACAGACGTTATAGTCGGCTCGCATGGAAGCAAAGTATTCCTGTGCTCGTCCAAGCAATCCGGCATGGCTGCAAGCCGAGAGGATGCTCACGAAGGTGACGCTGCTGGGCTTGACCCCCTCGAGCTCCATGGCTTGGACGATCTCCAGAGCTCTCCTCCAGCCACCATTTTGAGCGAAAGCCGCGATCGCGATGCTCCACGACACTTCCGTCCGGTGAGGCATGCTCTGGAAGAGCTTCCACGCTCGGCCCGGCGATCCACACTTGGCGTACATGTTCATCACGCTGTTGGCAACGATCGTCTGGAGCTCCATCCCCGATTCCGCGACGCAGGAGTGGATGATCTCGCAAGTTTTGAGGCTGGCCACCATGGACCCGGCCTCGAGGACGCTGAGCAGCGTCTTGGAGTTTGGCTTGACGGCCTCGAGGTCCATCTTCAGGAAGACGTTGATCGCTGCTCGCCAGTCTAAGTTGTGGACGAACCCGGCGATGAGCGCGTTCCAGGCCGCGACGTTCGTGCGGTGGTCCATTCGCTGGAAGATCTCGGTGGCTTTAGTCGTGTCCCCGGCTTGAGCGTAGGCCGAGATCATCGTCGTCCAGGTGATGGAAGTTCTGTGAGACATGGATTCGAAGAGCTCGCCTGCTTCTCTCGCCGCTCCAGCAATGGCGCAGGCCTGGAGCATCGCGTTGCAACACACGGTGGTCTTCTCCGAGTCGGGCATCGATTCGAAGAGTCGCTTGGCGTCGAGGAACCGATCGCTCTGCGCGTAGGCTAAGATCATCACCGTACAGCACACAGCGCTGTGGTATTCGAGACACTTGAAAGCTCGGATCGCAGCATCGATTCTCCCGTTTTGAGCATACGCTGTGATGATGGTGATGACCGAGGAGACTTCGCGCTTGGGGAGTTTCTGGAAGAGATTCTCCGCTTCGTGGAGGCGGCCGTTCTGGGCATACGCTTGGATCATCGCGTTCCACAAGAAAACGTTCCTCTGGGGAGCTCCGAGAAAGAATTCTTGAGCATTTTCTATCATCTCGCTGTCGGAGATGGCCGCCACCATGATTGTCCACACAACAACGTCGTGCTGCGGCATTCTCTCAAACATCTCTCTCGCGAGATCAAAGCTCTTGTTCTGCGAGTAAGCGTGGACCATGGCTGTCCAGGAGATGATGTTCTTCCGCTCAAAGCGATCAAACAGTGATTTCGCATCAAAGGCATACCCGTTTTGGGCATACGCTCCGATCATAGTCGTCCACGAGACAACGTCCCTCTTAGTCATGCGATCAAACACAAGCTTCGCATTTTCAAGGTCGCCATTGAGGGAGTACGCCTGAAGCATCGCATTTTCGCAAGCTAGGCTCTTCCAAGGAAGAGACTCAAACAGGTTCTTGGCCTGTTCGATATGCCCGCCTTGGGCATACGCCGAAACCATTATAGTCCACGATACGGAATCCTGGAGTGGCATGGAATCAAAAAACTTTCTGGCTTCTTGAACATTTCCGCAAAGATTTTGGAGCTGAAGAGCGGAGTTTAGTGTCATCGAGCTGTGAGAAGGCATCCTTTCAAACAATTGCTTAGCGGGTTCTGCATGCCCGTGCTGGGCATACGCCTGGAACATCGCACTCCACGAGACAACGTTCTTATGCGGCATCAAATCAAAGCACCTCCTTGCTTTGTGAGGATCATCAAACTCGCCATAGACTGTGATCATCGCCGTCCACGAGAAAACGTCGCGCTCCGGCATCGTGGAGAAGATCTCCTCGCATTGACCTACACCGGCATTTGCTTGGAGCATTGCGTTCCACGAGACAAGATTTCTATGGGGCATTCTCAGGAACACGCTGTAAGATTCTTGAAGATAGCCATTTTGGGCATAGCCAGCAGCAATAGCCGTCCACGAAATAAGATTTCTTTCTGGCATAGAGTCAAACAAAGACCTCGTTTTGTCAAGATGCCCAAAATGGGCATATGCTGTAAGCATAACAGACCAAGAAACATGGCTGTGCTCTGGCATATAATGGAATATCTCTTGAGCGAGATCTAAGTTATTGCTAGCAGAGGCTTGAATCAAAGTATTCCAGGACATGTAATCCCTCTCGGGCATCATGTAGAACAAATCATTTGCTTCTTCCAAATGCCCTCTTTGGGCATATGCTGAAAGGAGAGAATTCCAGGTGACAGTGTCGCGCTCCGGCATTCTATCAAAAAGCCCTTTCGATTCACCCACAGCATTGTTTTGGATGCACGCAGTAATGATGATGTTCCAGGAGAAGGCGTTGCGGCGCTGGATCCTCGCGAATGCCGAGAAGCAATCGCGGAGGCAGCCACAGGTACCATACATTCGGACGAGGAGATTTCCCAGGAATGTGTCGCGTTCGGAGCCCATCACCTGGAGCTCGGCGTGGATTTGCCTTCCGCGGAGGAGATCCCTCGAGCTGCTGCATTGGCGGAGAATAGAGGCGAATGTAGCGTTGTTTGCTGGCGATTCTGGCGATTCGAGCCATGGCGGAGCTTGATATCTCAGAGAATTCGTGGAGGAGTAGCGCGCGACTCTCAGGCGACTGGGTTTTGGCGAATTCAAACGAATGCCGCATACGAGCATTCAATATTTAGGGTTCTTGGCCATCGCGCGTCGCGCTTGCGAGGATGATCGTGCCGCTATCGATGGCGATGTGAAAGATTTCCATGCGGAAGGCCGGGGCGACGAATGTAAGCGCTCTCTTGAACGCTTTGGATCGCATTTCACGCTTTTCTTGCTCAGTGGAGCAGCAGCACTCTTGATCTAGAGCATTTCTTCTCGGGAGATACCCAGTATCCTGCCAGTTCTCATCGGGTGTGCTTGGCGAGGAGGAGGAGGAGCTCCTCGATTTCATGGAGCTCCAATTCGAGAGCTCCTTGCCCGGAATCCAGCCAAGGTTTCAGGTACTGCGACGACGGGCAGCTCGTGAGGGTAGAAAAGATTCTAGCTGCATTGAAGGTTTGCAGCAACTCCAAGGATCTCAAGCAGGGCAGGATCATTCACGCCGATGCCACTAGCAGTGGCGATATCTCCGACTTCTACGTTGCAAACAGCCTCATCAACATGTATGCGAAGTGTGGAAGCATGGCCGACGCTCGCCAGGTCTTTGACGCCATGAAAGCTCGCACCGCAGCTTCGTGGACCGCCTTGATGTTTGGCTATGCCGAGAACGGGCATCCGGAGCTAGCTCTGGAGCTTTTCCAGCGGATGATACAGCTCGACTACGCTCCAGATGCCAGGAGTTTGGTTGCTGCTGTCCAGGCGTGCATCAAAATGGCCGAGGCTGAAGATGGCAAGAGAGTTGGAGGTAAGAGCTTGAAGCTCCAAGCACTGGAGAACGGAATGGCGATTCACTATGAAGCTGCGAAGTTGGGTGGGATGGACACGGATATCTTCGTCGGGAACACGCTCGTCAACTTATATGCCAAGTGTGGGAGCATGGTGGAAGCTCGCAGGATCTTTGACAGGATTAAGTTCCACAATGTGGTGTCTTGGACGTCGCTGCTCATGGGATACGCCGAGAATGGGGAAGGGGAGCTGGTTCTAGCGCTCTTCTCTTCGATTCAAGAAGAACGAGGGCCCTGCGCACCGAATGCTCGAACTTACGTCGCTGCTCTGAAAGCTTGCACGAATCTAGCCGAGGCCGAAGAGGGACAGCAGGTTGATGGAAGGATTGTAAAGATGAGGAGCCTGGAAAAGGGTCTGGCATTGCACTCTCGAGCTGCAAAGCTCGGTTTCGTGGAGAACATGTACCTGGCCAGCACTCTGGTGGACATGTATGCCAGATGTGGGAGCTTGCTCGATGCTCGAGAGGCGTTTGAGAGGATGCCAAATCGAGACGTGGTGTCTTGGAACGTTCTCATATTGCGATACGTAGACAGTGGTGACGGAGAGCAGGCTTTGGAGTCGTTCGCTCGGATGAGCGGTCGAGCAGACTCGCTCAGCTGCGTTGCTGCCTTGAAAGCTTGCACAAACTTGGCTGATAGAGAAGAGAGCAGAGAACTGGATGGCAAGATGGTGAAGGTGAAAAGCCTGGAGAGGGGCATGGCAGTCTACTCGCTAGCAAGACGAAAAGGCTTCCATACGGACATCTTCGTAGCCAACACTACCATCGACATGTATGGGAAATGCAGGGTCACAGCTGACGCGCGCAAGGTGTTCGACAGGATGCCGCTCCGGACTCTGGTTTCCTACAACGCTCTGATGCTGGGATACGCAGAAAATCAGGAAGGGAAGCTCGGGTTAGATCTGCTGGCAGAAATGGATTCAGACAGATCACTCTTGGAAGAACCAGATGGCCGGACTTTCGCTGCTGCTCTTAAGTCTTGCGGGAGTGAGGCATCGCTGCAAGCTGGAAAATACGTCCACGCTCGTGTCTGCAGCTCCAGCCTTGAGACGGATGCGGTTCTAGTTACATGCTTGCTTCACGCCTACGGAAAGTGTGGGAGTTTGGTCGACGCTCATCTGGTTTTTGACTCGGTTTCTGGGAGAGTGTTGGAAACTTGGACAGCGCTTATGGCAGGATACAGTCAGCTAGGAGACACGGAACAGGTATTCGATCTCTTTTATATGATGCGAGACGAAGGCTTGCAGCCAGACGGAATAACTTTCGTCTGTCTTCTTACAGTTTGCAGCCATGGCGGCCTCGTGGAGACGGGAAAGAAGCTTTTCCGCGCAATGATATCGACATACAGGATTAAACCTTTCATCGAGCACTACCACTGCATGGTGGATATCCTGGGACGAGCCAACGAATTGGATGCCGCTCTAGCATTGGTGGACGAGATGCCTTTTAAGCCGAGTGCCGTGACATGGATGACGGTCCTAGGTGCCTGCGTGAAGTGGAAAAATGTGGCGGTCGGGAGGATCGCATTCGAGGCTCTGCTGGAAATCGACGAGAAGGATGCTGCGAGCTACATGCTTATGGCGGCCCTTTACCGCAGCACAGGAATGTGGAAAGAGCAGTCTGTGGTGGAAGAGATGAGAATGGCAGCACAGGCCTGGGCCAAGACGGGGCGTAGTTGGACGGATCAAGCTGGAATGGTTCATAAGTTCGTGCCGGATTGAAGCGAAGCAGGAGAAGACCTTGTAATCCTCTAAACGCATGTTCAACAGCGACAGAGGTAAATCTCAGTTTGTTTCCTTATATCGACCTCTTTGACTAAAAGCTTTTTTTTGCAGAGCGTGCATTTGAGCAACGAATTGATTTGTTAGAGCCTCCCTGATGGTTGGAGCTCCAGAAACATTGCAAAGAGAGTGAAGGTAATGCGGGAGTGTTATATTATAATTAGATGATGATAAGTAGTTTAACGTGAGTCTCCATCATCACACTTTAATGTCTTGTTCTCCAGAACCAAACCATTCCCTTCCCAGTATATGTCCAAAGAGTTGAGGATGCTCCGAAGTACATAATGGAAGTTTTTCGATTCCAATTGCAATGTATGCTCTCTGTTATTTGACTATGTATTCACCAGGCCAATCTGTAATACCCAATGAATTAAAGCTGGTTTCATTTATGGTTCCAGATGAAATGGTTTTAGAGGTAAGCACATTACTACATTGAATAAGTAAACTTCCTTGATTGGTAACTTGAAAAATACAAGAATCCCCTTAACTAGTGAATCTATTTAATATTTGTCTAGTGAAAGGTGCAATGGAAATGCATAATGTACATCTACCAGTTGCAGAGATAATTATTTTGATTATATAATACAAAATTGCAATCTATTTGTATAACAAGACTGTATTATTGGAAACCAATGCCTCATTAGACAATGTTGTTGGAGCTGGAAAATGGATTTTCTGCAGATTGCAAGACTTTACAACATCACCTCCTTTTGGAAGGATGAAAGGCAATTAAGGCTTTCTAATTAATGAGCCAAAATCTGGAGGAACATCAAAAAGAGGCATTAGGTGGTGCAACTTGTTTTTGATCTTTTTATATTAAGTGCTTTAACTACTATGTATATACAATTTCTAGAAGATTAGCCTATTGAATGTCATATAAAAACTCATAAACTTGTAATCCAACTTGGTGAAGTACTTAATACAATCCCTTTCACTAAATAAGGTGCCTTTTAAACAAACCATATATTATAAAATTGGGAAAGCAAATCAATACCAAATTATCCATTTTGTACTTTGTAGGTGGATGATGATAGGAATTATAGTGTTATTGTTGTCCCACTTATACATAGCCCAAATATTTAGTAAACTCTAATATTCTCAAAACCTAACATTGGGCAGCTCGTAGCAATTTCAAAGATAAAGTCAACTTTGTTAGCAACATTAGATTATGACCATATAAAAATTTATATGGTAAAGCACTAATAAAACTTTGTACCCTTATAACATACATATACTAAAGAGACAATGAATAACCATTTCAAGATAAATGTTGAAAGTTCATATATTTTGCAATCATCTATTTGAAAGTCTGAACAAGCTATTTTACCAACCCATCCATCTGTTAATGACAAACACTCATGAAAGTGTGATGTATTATTAATTAAGATATTAAGATGTGAAATGCTTTAGCTATAAATGAAAGCTATTATATAAGAGAATTTGTTCCGTACAAAATTGTTAAAATACCACTTTATTGAGGAGAAAGTATCCAATAATACTTGCAGATACATTAGCAAAAACGCCACCTTCCACTTAATGAATCAAGTATTCAAAGACAATAATGACATACTTGTTGTAAGCAATAAACCGTGGAAAAACCCCCATTAAATCAAATGCTAATAACTAAAAAAAATGCAAAACTACAATTGACTTTATCTGTCCTTTTGTAGTATGAGAGGGAGTATTATAAGCTTGGCACCAAACACTATATACTGGATAATATTATATTGCATCTTTAGCTAAAAGAAAGACTTATGTAGCTTCTCAATCACACGACAATGTCCCATGTGCCCACCTAGAATAATAAAGTTATAATAGGCATATAGAAAGTATGGAATAAAGATCGAAGCATCGCTAACTATGAATGATTATCAGGATCAGTCCCCACAAAATAAAGAAGGTCATTCTTAAAGCAATATTGAGAATGTAAATGTTAAAATGACAAGTCATTAGCAAGTGATGTAGAATTCTTAAACTCATCACAAAGCCTTCGGATCGACAACTTAACCTTTTATAAAGAGAAGGTAAATTTTATTCCATACTTTGTGGACACTAAATATCAAGTATAACAATAAAAATTTACTAAGATTGGAACAATAACTTTATCAAAAATAAAAGAAAAAAGAGAGAGGAGCTTAAAAAAAGGTATCAACATTAAATATAAAATTCCCTAAGTGATGAATAATTTTGAAATTATATATTTAATGCTTTAGAGTCTACCAAACAATACAACTAACCAAGTTTTTCTACTTCAATAATGAAGTAATTAGCTTGAGAACCATGTAAATATGCATGAAGTTGTCGTAAATATGACTTTGGGTATCGAAATTACCTGTCGGCCAGTCCTTACAGACACTCTTTCCTTACTGCTATGACAACAGGAGGTCAGTATTGCTAAACCTTTTATCAGTCCCTCTTGTGCTAGTGGAGTTAACTGGGCATTTCGAGTGTACTTAAACTGGACAAGCATAAAGACGAAATTCCTATGTACTATTAACTAAGCATACTTAACCTGGTAAAGAGTTCCCGTCTCGTTGTGTCTTGCACTAGCTAGTGACAAGAACCCTCGCATATTAAGACTAATCCTTCAATATTGCTATATGATGGCTTATCGTGTCTGCTAAACATCTTCACTATCATGCCTTTTGTGTTAGTTTTATTCAACTCATTCACAATCTCCATAAGTCCAATTCAAGACTTAGAACTTGTTAACTTAGAAAATGGCATCAATGCCATTCAATCTTTGCACTTGGTCCAAGTGTTACATGTGTTCGATCTCATGACCGACACCCTAAGGTACCACTAACATATCCTAAGCCTCCCTTAGTACCAAGAGTTAGTCTCTGGGACAAGCTCGAAATTTACCAAATATAGAATGTCCCTAGATTGTGAATTTGAACACGGGATGAACACTATTGTGTTCAAGACAATCTCTACATTCCGTATATATGCCAAATAAGCGAATTTAAACACTTTCCATAAATAATATTTGGGACCGGAATGAGACTAACACAAAAGGCACGATAGCAAGAGTGTTTAGCAAACATGGTAAGCTATTATATAATGATATTGAGGGATTAATCTCAATACGCGAGGGTTCTTGTCATTAGCCAGTGCAAGACATAATGAGATGGGAACTCCTTACTGACTAAGTATGCTTAGCTAATAACACGTAGGAATTCCATCTTTATGCTCGTCCAGTCTAAGTACACTTGAAATGCCTAGTTAACTCCACTAGCACAAGAGGGACTGATAAAGGTCTAACAATACTGACCTCCTGCTGTCGTAGCAATAAAGAAAGAATGTCCATAAGGACTGACCGACAGGTAATTTTTGATACCTGAAATCACATTTGCAACAAGTGAATAATAATCTAAACTATACATTATGTGGGCTATAAAAAGTTATATGAAAAGCCCGTATGAAAGAATTTGTGCACCAAAATTAAAAAATACCATATAAAAATCTATAAATAATGCTAAAAAATATATTAAAAAATTATACTAAAAACTTACCACTTAGATAACTATATACCAATTTACACTTCATACAAAAAGCTATATAAAATCCAAATATCATATTTTTTAGTTTATTATGTCACATATAAAGTGTGTTGTGGCATTAATTAATTTCACTCCAGCTTTGTGAGAACAAATCATAAGTTACAAGTGAGAAAATAAAAAACTAATGTTACCTATTGGTATGGATTGGCACTCTTGACAGATAGTGGCAATACATGATAAATGTTGATGATATGCTTGCTATAATATAAAATTATGAGAGAGAATTTATTTATCAAAACTTGATCTCTTCACTTGAGAAATTTTGAAAGTATTGAGTCAAAAGCAATAAATTTGTCCCAAAAACAAGCTTTTAGATATTGTTTTTCCTTTTTTTGTTTTCAAATAGTGATATGAAATGAAATGGCACCATCTTTATTATTATTGTTGAACAAACCATTCAACAACAATCTTCTTTTATCTTATCATTTGCATTGGAAACATTTCATTTATCAACAATGAAGCAATTAAATAATGATCATAAAATGCATTAACAATTTAAAATGTGTTCTTCTTTTTAGCAAGAAAGCCACTTTCATATCCTTCTCAATCTCAGGAACATAAATAGCTAATTTCCTTGAAAACAAGCTCTCTATGTCCTTTTGTGTGAGATTGAAAGAAAATTATATATTTATCAAAATGTTATCCCACTTGTTTTTAGGTACACATAGAAGATGATAGAGGCTAACAAACTTCTGATAATTAATTTTGATGTTTTGGCAAGTCAAATAACCATGTACATACTTTTCAACATTTAACTTCATTCTAGGCCAAAAGAAATGCCTTTATATACATATCCTTTATACCCTTAGATGCCTAACACTTAACACATCATAACAATCAATTAATATTTATTTGATGAGTTTATAAACCACCATAAGTCTATTCTTTATGCTCCATGCTTGTATTGGATATAATAGACATCTTCTATAGAAACTCTTGCTAATGAGTAAGGTGGCCTCAAAAATCATTTTGACAATTGAAATATTGAACAGATTGATAGTCTGAATCCATATAGAAGTTTGATTCATATAGATAACATCATTATTCCTTCATAGTAGCAATCATGACATACAATTTCTTATCTCAAGTAGGCTAATCTTGTTGTGTGGCATCAAATTTATAGCTTCATGTATAGCCAACTTGAACTAATATAGCCCCAATAGCAATATCACTTACATTTATCTCGACTACAAGAGGCTACTTAGGATAAAACTCTAACCATACCAAAGAAATTATGGTGATTATGTATTGTTAAAGGTATATGTCAATCAACCATAACTTGGATTTTTGTAGAATTAATTCTCATACCATGCACTAAAATCAAATGCCTAAGATATCCAATCTCCTCTAAAAAAAACTTGGATTTGGATAATTTTGAGTAGAGCTTGTTGTCTTTCAAAAGTTGTAAAATGCTTCACACATACATTTTATATTCTTTCATTATACAGTTGAATATTAGAATATCATCAAAGTAATTGATTGCAAACTTCCTCAAGTGAAGTGTAAAACTTGATTCATCAACGCAGAAGCATTTGTTAAACTTTACCAAATACTTATAATGACTTGTCCTTGTCTAGAATGCCATCTTTGAGACATCCTCTAGTTTGATATAAATTTGATAATACCCTTGCCTCAAATTAATCTTTGTAAAATACTGAATACCACAAAAGCACTTACTACTATCAATTTTAAGAGAAAGAGACTTCTCTTTGTTGTCTACATCAAGTCTATCTTATATGATGTGTGAAGCTTCAATTAATTCCCCTCTACAAGAATTGTGGTGACACAAAGATGGCCATGTGGACATAAATGATCAAGAAAATCATCAATACGAGGGATTGGGAAGATATTCTTCACTGTCTTATTATTTAATCCCTTGTAGTTTATATAAAAACACAATGTACCATCTTTCTTTTTGACCATCATTATTGAAACAGCCCAAAAAGACTTGTTTATTTGCTCTTCTAAAGGTATTTAACAAGCTATTTATTAATTTCCTCATCTTTAGGAGGACTAGTATGAGTAACTATCAATGATAAAGAGTAACTCCAAGAACTAAGTTAATCTTATGCTAAACCATCTGGCAACTCCAGAAAAATGTCATAAAACTCCTCATAAATGCAATTCACACAAGCCCTATACCAACAAACATACTCCAACTCAAACAAAATTATATTAGAAAGAAACGAGTATACCATGAAAGAATTAACTATCTATGCATGCACTTCATTAATCCAAAGCATTGATCAATAGAGTATCAAACCACCACCTTCAATATGCAGAATATTACACTCCCAATCAATCCCTCATTTCCTGTCATAAACCCATTCCTTCCCAAGAATACATCATCATGGCTTTAGCAAGATCCCAAGAGTGCTATTAGTGTGGTCCTTTCCAATTCAAACAGCATCTCCTTCATCAGCTCCCCAGCCCAATGGTAAAGTGTTTGTCCCAAGAGATCGACAATGCTGCATAGTGGTCTCTGAGTGGAGCGATTGCATAGTTAGCAACCATGGATCTGAAGTAGGCTGTGAGAACACTGACAAAGGTAACCACGTTGGAGCAAATCCCACGGAGTTCCATGGTTTTGTGGAACTTGAGCACTTGGAGTGTATGCCCAGTCTGAGCATTCGACAGCACCATGCTGTTCCAGGTGATCAAATCATGCTCTCTCATCCTTGCAAAAACCTCCATTGCTTGATCCACACGACCAAATTGCCATACATGCTGATGAAAGCATTTGGAGTTCTGATGTCCGACAAGAAAATCTTTCCTGGAATCGTGGAGTGGATCAACTTGCCCTGCGCAAGATCAGGGATGGCAGCACAGGGATTCAGTGACAGGACAGGTGGCGGCATCAGGAGAATCAGCTTGAGCAACCGGAGAGCTTGGTGAGCATCGCCGCTGCGAGCATTGGCACAGATCATCACGTTCCAAGAGACAACGTTTCGATCCAGCATCCGCTCGAACCAGATGCTGGCCATCTCAAGATCACCAGCCTGATAGAATCCAACCAGCATCGACGTCCAGGAGTTTATGCACCACTGAGGGATTCTGAAGAACACTCGGCAAGGAATGTCCAGCTTCTTTGCGACCACGTATGCATGGAGGAGGCTATTCCAGCTTATGTGGTTCCTCTCGACCAGCTCCTCTCGGCGTCGAGCACGGCTTCGTCCTGAGCAAACGCATGGAGCATGGCGTTGCAGGACACCACATTGTGCTGTGGAGTTTTAGCGTGAGCCTAAATCATCACAGTCCATGACACTTCATCCTTTTCAGGGCTGTTCTTCATCACTGCTTGATCTAAGTCACCTTCTTGAGCATAGGCTGAGTTCCAGGACACGACATGGTGCTCGGGCATTCTGTCAAAGGCTTCACGAGCAGAGACAATCTGCCCATCCCGGGTATACGCCGAAACGATAGAGTTCCAGGACACCAAGCTGGTCATTGGCATCTTCTCAAAGAGAGACAAGCTTTCACAAAGGCGACCGAAGTTTGAAAACGCAAATGCCAGCGCCTTCCAAGATACCACGTCTCGTTCCGGAGACAAATCAAACAAGATCTTTGTTGGGTGCGGATGCCCGTAATGGGCAGTTTCTCCAAGAACAACGTTCCAAGAGACAGGATTCCACTGTGGCATGATATCAAGAATCTCTTTAGCTTGGGTGGTGCTGGAGGAGTGAGCAATGAGGAGAAAGCTCCAGGAGTAGATGTTCTTGACATGGATGGCCTGGAATGCGCTGCAAGCGTCGTCAACGTAGCCACATTTGCCATACATGTCCACCGGCAAGTTTCCCAGGTACGTATCTCTCCGGAATTCATTGGAGGATGCGATCAAGCGGTGCAGCTGCTGGCCCTGGTGCAATCTTTGGATCTGGCACAAGTCTGGAGAAGAGTTGCAAGAGAGTTTCTAGTCAGTGTCTTGCTTCAAAGCATATAGTGGTCATACAAGGGAATTTTTTGCTTCTAGCCTTCCGTTACTTTGATGACGTGGCTGTATCAGAATAGAAGAACAGAAAAAATAATAAGAGTATTGGCACGAATCTTCCAGATTTGTCAATAGAACTTACTAGAATCGACCAGATATCTGCCACTCTGCGAGGTATAAATGGGCGTGGAGCTCTTCCAAGCCTCCATTAGCTTCGTTTTAAGCTATCGATTTTACAGTCTCTCCTAGCTTTCAAGTAAGTAGATTGAGGTGATGGCGCTCTTCTTCTACGGCAATGACAATGGTGTCTTCGATCCCTTCCTGGAGCTCTCGTCCATCTTGTCCGGCGGCGGCAACGAGCCCTCCAAGCAGGTAGCCAGGGACGCGAGCGCCGTCGCCAACACCCGCGTGGATTGGCTGGAGACGCCCGACGCCCACGTCTTCAAGGCCGATCTCCCAGGGCTGAGCAAGGAGGACGTGAAGATCACGGTGGAGCACGGGCGCACGCTCCAGATCAGTGGCGAGAGGAAGATGCACGAGGCCCAGAAGACCGACAAGTGGCACCGGGTGGAGCGCCTGTTTGGCAGCTTCATGCGGAAGTTCCGGCTGCCCAAGAACGCCAACACGGAGGCGATCAAGGCCCAGGTGGAGAACGGGGTTCTCACTATCGTCGTTCCAAAGACCGCCAAGCCGGAGCCGAAACAAATCCAGGTGGAGTAGAGCTCGCGGACGAGAAGAAAAAGGAATCTGAGCTCTGCCTTGTATAGAGCAGTGTTGGAAACCGTATAGAGCTCGCTTTTCGAGTTTTTAAGATGTCTCCATCCTTGGTTCTCAGAAGATCTTCAGCACCGGAACTGGGACTGGAATGCTCGATCGTTCCAAACATCTTCCTCCCAAGATTTAACGAGGCAGCCTCTTCCGCATCTTTCATACTCGATCGTTCCAAACGCATTTGACAACGTAACTCTTTGGAGGCGGAGCCATCGTTCATACTCGATCGCTCCAAGCGTTTTCTTCCAGGTTCGTCCACTCAAAAACAGAGTTTGACATAGCAGCCTCTTCCAAAGTCTTGGATGTGGAGCCATCGGGGAGAAAGCCTCTCGCCACCATCTCGTCATACATCGCCATCGCCTCGGCGACCCGGCCCCCATGGCTCATGCTCACGATCAGCTTCCTGTACGCGAAATCGTCCAGCGCAACGCCCTGGCCTCGCATCGCATCCAGCACCATGCAAGCATCGTCCATCCGGTCGCTCTTGCACAGGCCATCGATGAGCGAAGTATACACCACCACGTTTGGAGCGTGCCTCTTCCTGCTCATCTCCACGACCAGGCTCCACGCGTCGTCCACTCTTCCCACCCGGCACAGCCCAAAAACCACGCTCCCCAGCGTCACGTCGTTTGGAAAACACCCCCGGCTCGCCATCTCGTCCGCCAAGTCGCAAGCTTCTCTCACTCGGTTCGCCTTGCACAGCCCATCGATCAAAGTGTTGTAAGTCACCACGTCGGGGACGTAGCCCCGAGCGACCAAGTCCGAGATCAAGCTCACGGCCTTGGAGATGCTCCCGTCCTTGATCAGCCCACCGAGAACGATGTTGTACGTGAAGAGCGGCGGAACCATGTTGATGGAGACCATCTCTGCGAGGATTTCCCTGGCCTTGTGGACGTTCCCGGCCCTGCAGTAGCCGCTCACCAGGCTGCTGTACATCACCACTCCTGTTCTACATCCCCGGACGCTCATCTCTTTGACGAGCTTGTGAGCCTCTTCAATCTCTCCCGACTTGCACAGGCCGTCGACCAGGCTCGTGTAGGCGATCACGTCGGGAATGTAGCCTTGGCGTACGATCTCTTCCAAGAGATAGAACGCGACTTGGACTTGTCCCACCCGGCATAGCCCGTTGACGAGGATGGTGTACGTGATCACGTCCGGGAGGATGTTCTCCCGGCACATCTCTTCCAAAACTTCCAGAGCCCGCGGGAGCATGCCGGCCTTGCAGAAGCCATCGAGCAGGGTATTGAAAGTGACCAAGTCCGGGCTGCAGCTCATGGTTTTGAGAATCTCGGCTGCCTCGACGACCTTGCCGGCCACACACAGCGCGTGGATGATGCTGTTGTACGTGATCACGTCGGGAACCGGGCCTGCGAGCTTCATGCCGTCCAAGATCTCGAGAGCTTCTTCAACGTCGCCATCTTTGCAGATCCCGCTCACGAGTATGTTGCAAGTCAGCACGTCGGGGTTGATCCCCGCGGCTTTCATCTTCTCTCGGAACGCGCACGCCTCTCGGATCCTGCTAGCTCGGTAGAACGCGTTGATCAGCGTATTGTAAGTCACAATGTCGGGAGCACTCTTCCCTCCTTTCCGGATCATCTCCTCCAGCAGCTCTCTCGCTTTTTCCAGGTTTCCACTTTTGCACAAGCCACTTATAACCGTGTTGTACGTGACGATTTCCGGCTTCACTCTCGAGCTCTCCATATTCTCAAATAACTTCACTGCTTGATCCGGATTCCCGTCCTTGAATAGGCCATGAATGAGAACGTTGAAGATGTAAACGTCTGGAGCAACTGAAAACTCATCGAGCGCGCGGAGAAACTCCAGTGCTCTCATCGCTTGTCCTGCCTTGCAGTTCCCGCGGATCAAAATCTTGAAAGTCACCAGGTTTGGCGAGCAGCCACTGTGAAGCAAATCCTTGTAGACTTTCCCTGTTCGAAAATGGTGTCCACTCTTGACGAGGATATCCAAAAGATGGTTGTAAGAGTGGACGTCGTGTTTGTATCCGTCCTGTTCTCCGGCCCAGTCGAAGAACTGGATAGCCAGATCCGGCCTGGAAGATCTTCTCATGACAGCCACGACCACATCCGGGTCCAAAAGCCGGGAGCATCCATCCAGGAGCTTCCGAAGATCATCGCCCGGCCTCTTCCTTCTCAGCAGCGACGAGATAAGTTCCACGGAGCTCTTGTGGATCTCAAACTCTTCCGAGCTGTAAGTCCTGACGTACGCCTGGAGCGCTTCGCTGGAAGAACTCCTCTGGCTGCCGCTGTTGGCTCGAGCCTGGATTCGAGAAGCCGCGCCCTTGAATCGGAATGCCGCGAAATGGCCCTTGGCGGAGCACTGGAAGCTGCGTTTGTGATTGTTCTTTGGATTTCTCGCGGCATTTGGAGATGGATGCTTCCTGCCGAGGCAATCCATCTAGGGTGGAAGGAACATACCTGGACGAGCGAGGGAAAACCAAAACCCTAAACCGCAAGAAGAACTCCATGGCCATGCTTTAACCACGTAAGAAGTATTTTGGATATAAACCAGTGGCGAGAGATTTTTTGCCCTCGCCCTCGCGAGAGCGAAAGAGAGGGAGGGCGATTTTCAAGGCGGCAATGCTGCCGATTGAGGCAGAGCGATGACGCATTTGCGATCGCATCTGGCGCCATTGCAACAGATTCGTGCTCACGCCGATCCACAGAAGGTAATGTCGATTCTTCTGACACCGACATTCTCCGGAGAGAGAGAATCTCTTGCGCTTCTCTTGCTCAGTGCTCGCCGCCGAGAATCACTTCCAACGTCAAGACGAGCTTGAAGCTTCTCACAATGCTCAAGGTACTATAAGCAAGAGAGAGTTTCCTGCTCTCGTGAGAGAGAGTTTCTACCGTGTGATTCTTTCTCTACGGTATCGTTCTCTTTTCAGGAGCTTGGAAACAACGCAAACAAACAAGCCAAGCCAGCCACAAGCTACAGGAAGAAAAAGGTGGACAAGAAGAGTTTGCCTGAGGATTTTGAGAGCTACGAGGATCCGGCAACACAAGTGATCGAGTAAGATGTTTGAGCTAGAAGTTTTTCTGGTGAGCTGGGGAATTCTTTCTCACGATACTTTCGCTGTGATCCAATCCAGCTGCGGGAAAGAAATTACCATAATTCAACCGGTACTTCTCGTGGATGGATACAACATGTGTGGCGTCTGGCCCAAGCTAAAGAAACACTTCGCAAGAGGTGATCTTCTCAGTGCGCGAGAGAAGCTTATTGACGAGCTCGTCACCTTCAGCGCAGCAAGAGGTCTCTCTTGTTTTGTTTTCTCTTCTTTATAACAGCAGCCTCGTTCTAGCTCGCAGGAATGAAAGTGGTGGTTGTTTTCGATGCAAAGGAATCGGGTCTGCCATCACACAGAGAATCCAGAGCAAGGTAGACTCCACTCGACTTCTTTCTATTCCTTTTGGTTTCTTTTTTTGTCCTCTGGGATTTGATTACGCTTTGTTTCTGCAGTGTTGACATCGTGTTTGCGGCCGACGCTTGCGCCGATTCATGGATCGAGCGTGAGGTACTTTTGATGATTCCTACATCATCGCTACATAAATTTCCGCTTTGACTGATATCTTTCGGCAGGTCTACTTGTTGAGAGACGACGGCTGCCCCAAGATCAGAGTCGTAACGTCCGATTCCCTTCATCAGCAGGTTGCAAACGGCGCGGTAAATTCGTGAAAGTCAGAGAACAAAACAATGGCTTATTTTCTGCAAAGATTCTTACTGGTTTTTTTCTCGGGTCTTTGACAGGGTGCGTATGTATGGAGCTGCAAAGGTTTGATTGGAGAGGTGAGACGCTCAGCTCAGCTTTAAAGCCAATGGCTTTTTAAGTTCCTGAGCGTTTCGGTTTGCTTGTTTAGATCAAGGACGTGAGGAAAGAATTGGAGCAGCTGTTACATTCCGACAGGTGATGTTTATATCAGCAAGCGCCTTGAGTCAATCACCCAATCTAACATTGTGACCTTTAGGCCATACTCGATGAAAGGCAAATTGCTAGAACACAACTTATCTCCCGACGTTTTCACCTCGCTCCAGGCGCTCAAGCAAAGGCTCAAGATGGAAGAAGAGCTACAAAAAACATAACAAAAACAAAAAGATCCCCCCGGCTAACGGTATATTCCACGCCCGTTAGTTATTGGAGCATATTCCGTCAGCTTGCCCCCAAAGCCCTAGAATTTTTAGCTGAGCCGGCGCTGGCGGATCCACATCGATCCCCCAGCATTATCCGCGCGCGAATGCGCAACTTGCGACATCCGTGGCAGTAGCACAGCAGCGATCATCAATCGCGCAATGAGGAGGTGAGGAAAGAGGGTGAATGCTGAGTGGGCCAAGCCAAGCAAGCAACAAATCGTCAGTGGCGGCAGCTCGATTGGTTCCATTCTAGTGGAGCACGGCCACATGCTTCACTGCTGGCTACATCGCTACAGGTCAGCTCCTCTCTGGGCCTGGATCTTCGCATTTCCTACCATTGCTTTAATCAAATTCTTGGGTCTTTCTTGTTTGGGGCTTGATATTTCTTACCTTTCGTTCTTGGTGTTCTTGCTTATCAACTATAGTTCTTTCTCTAACATTCGCTGTACTCCAGTCCAGCGACTGATTTTATTTTAATATCCTTGCTGGTGGATTCAGAAAGCTGTGTTCCAGTGAATGATTTGTTTTAATCTCCTTGCTGATGGATTGGCTCGTTCTTTTTCTCCTTGTTTTTTTTTTTTTTTGCTTGGGTCAGGGAATCTCTCGCCTATAAGGAGGAGCTACTTTGTGTGTGTGGCGCTAGTGCTCGTACAGCACACAGTCAAACATGAGGGTAGCCTCATCATTTTCGGTAAGTTCCCCGTTGGCCCTCTTCTTTTCTCTCCATGGTTTCTTCTAGGAAGTAGCGACAAGTTCTTGAGCTCACGTTTTCCTTCCGCTCGACTTAACAGGACGGTGTAAGATGGGTGAGCTGCACCAACAGGGCAGTTTTGCCTGACCCCTTGAGGCGGCGAAGAAGATGCTCCCGTTTGGAGTGAAGAAGACGGAGATGGCTAGCAGAAAGGAGTGAGGGGCGTTCTTCCTCTCTTTCTCTCCTGCTCTACAAGCATGGCTAGCGGCTGGAGAAAGGCTAGAATTGCTCTCGGGCTGCATGTTTGCGTCTCGGCTCCGCATGATCCTGATGATGAAGGCGGTGTCGATGTGGATCAGGCTGCGTCTCCAGCCATGTCCCCTTCTCCTTCTCCCAGATCTGGAGCTCCGAATACTTCTGCAAGGTCTCCCTCTCGTCTCCAGCTGCTCCGGAGTAGCATTCGTCTCTCTCGGGTATGATCTTTATTTTGTGGAGTCGCAATTTTTGTTTCCTTTTGTTTCTCTTCAGATTCAATTCTCAAAGCCGATTTTTTTTTGTTGTTTTCTTTTCCCAGAGTACGTGCTCCATCTGCCTGGAGCCCATGAAGCCCGGACTTGGCCATGCTCTTTTCACAGCCGAGTGCTCTCATACGTTCCACTTCTCGTGTATTGCGTCCAATGTACGGCATGGAAATCTGGTATGTCCTGTTTGTCGAGCTAGATGGAAGGAGGTTCCTTGGCAGGCTCCTCCAGAAGCAGGCAAGGATCAAAAGCTTTCGCCGAGACCCAGACCAAGTCTTTCCAGGAACTCTGAGCAGGAAGGGAATAACAACGGAGAGGGTGCTGAGGTCGGTGACGAAGAATTGAGAAGGCTGGATCCCGTGCTGAGAATTCTAGATGAGTCCATTGCAAGTGCTCGAGGAATCAGAAGGAACAGCACCCCAGAGCCACAAAGTTTCGATGACGACGAGCCTCTGAGAGTGGACGGAGGTGGGGAATTGAGTGCTGGAGGAGCAGAAAGCAGCGAGTCAGACCTCGTAAATTCGGACGATGGCAACCTTGAAGTAACCTGTCACCCCGAAGTCGAGAGCATTTGCTACTCCGAGTCACGAGATGATTTTACGGTACTGGTTCACGTCAAGGCATTATCTGGAAACAAGCGGCCAGCAGCTGAGACTGTAAGCACTCAGGCTTTCTCATCAAACACAACTTCTCGAGCTCCAATCGATCTTGTTACAGTCCTGGACGTGAGTGGGAGCATGGCTGGGACCAAACTTTTGCTGCTCAAGCAGGCGATGGGCTTCGTCATTCGGAACTTGAGCCCCTCGGACAGGCTTTCGGTGATAGCGTTTTCGTCAACCGCAAAGCGCTTGTTTCCTCTGCGTCGAATGGTCGAAGATGGCAAGCAACTTGCGCTCCGGGCCATTGACGCGCTAGTCTCGACTGGAGGAACAAACATTGCGGAAGGCTTGAAGAAAGGTGCCAAGATCTTGGACGACAGGAGGGAACGCAATCCAATCGCAAGTATCATGTTGCTCTCGGACGGCCAAGACACTCACAGCTTGGGTGCTCGCGCTAATGCCCAGCTATCCAGAGGTGGCAGCTTTCGTCGGGGGCTAGGCTCTGGGAGGCACTTGATGATGCCTTATGGAAGCGTCTCGTTTCCAGTCCACACTTTTGGTTTCGGGGCCGACCACGACTCGGCGACGATGCATTCCATAGCCGAGAGCTCGGGTGGTACTTTCTCCTTCATCCAAGCTGAAACGGCCGTTCAGGATGCCTTCGCTCAGTGCATTGGCGGCCTCCTCAGTGTCGTCGTCCAAGATGCACGGCTCTGCTTCTCCACGGCGGGGGAGAACCTCCAGGTGAAGAGCGTCCAGGCAGGAAGCTACGAGAGGTCCATCACTGACCAGGGGACCCGCGGCTTTGTCAAACTGGGAGATTTGTACGCCGAAGAAGAAAGGGACGTACTTCTGGAGTTCCGCATCCCCATGCTCGAAAGTCCGCTGCTCTCAGCCGGGATCGTCAGTGTCGATTGCTCGTTCAAGGATCCTGTTCTCCAGAAGCCGGTTCGCACGAGAACCAAGACACTGTCCATAGACCGGCCAGGCAGCGTCAACAGGGAGAACCAAGTGGTGAGCGTGCAGGTGGATAGGCAAAGGAACAGGATTCGCACCGCGGAGACCATCCTCGAGGCCGGATGCCTGGCGGACAGGGGCGATCTTGTCGGAGCCCAGCAAACGCTCCAGAGCGCCAAGGTGGCTCTCAGAAACTCGGCCGCGTCGCTTGCCGGCGACCAGCTCTCGAGCGCGCTCGAGTCGGAGCTGACGGAGATCCAGGTGAGGATGGCAAACAGGCAAATGTACGAGCGCTCCGGCCGGGCTTACATTCTCTCGGCTCAGAGCTCTCACTTCCGGCAGCGTGCCACTGCTCGGGGCGACTACGTCGAGTCCCACAGCCGGGACTATCAAACTCCGTCCATGGTGGACATGATCTTGAGGTCCCAGACGCTAACTTTTCCTTTGCCACCGTCGACTCCGCCGGCGGGTGCTACTGCTCTTCCTCCCGAGAGATCGTCCTCGATCGGCAGCAGGCATTCGTATTCAAGCTCGAGGCGGGCCTCTGGACGCGTTCACGACATCGGAACTTCCTTGTAAATATGAAAGAAAAACGAGGTGGTTTTCGGGCATTTAGGATTTTTTAGAAAGGGGAAAGGAATACACCTATCATATCCAAATGTATTTTAGTACTGCAATCCAACGGTTGTGATTTCTTGCTCTTTAAACTTTTCTTTAATCAAGATTTAATGCTACTTATCAGCGCTCATAAGGGGGAGGCTTTTTATCTCAGTCAACTCAAAGAAGTGGTAGTCTATCTAAAAAGAAAAGGACATGTTATTCATGTTTGTTTTTTTTTGCTAAGTTTTTCATCATCTAAGTGTGATTGGACGATATACAAGCTGGAATAGCAAATGTGATTGGACGATATAAAAGCTTAGAATAGCAAATGCCACGATAGCTGATAAGTTACACCTTGGCTTTTCTCTGAGCTAACGTCTAAACAAAGATGGCTCATGTAGCCAAACGTTATTTGTCAGTTGCTTTTGGCCTCGCTTTGAAGATCCAAGTTTCCAGGTAATAAAACTTCAAATCTCTTTTAATGCTCGCATATTTTCTACTATTTGTAGTGCTTTGAGAAGCAAGTCTTGTCTATAAATGCATATCACTGCTGGTTTTTGACCGTGATTTTGTAAAAAATTATGGAAAATTTTCATTAACCATGATTTCAACACTTCAAATAAATTACAAATTAGTGATATCCCTATCTGGTGGCCAAAATTGTACCACCCCACTTTTATTGTCGGAGTAATCTTTCTGGAATTTTTTTGTTGGAATTGAGTTGGTCATTTTTCAGATTGCTATTACATTTTTTTACTCGCTCGCGTCGACGGGGTAGAAGGCTCGCTTCCACCGGCGGGAGCGATTGTAGGACCGCGAGTGGTCGCACCATGGCTGCCGTATACATGATCATCACCAATCGTATCATGCGCAGCCATGAGCTCCTAGAAGGACAAAGAAAAAAGAGTATCGTGGATTTGTCTCAGCCTCGCTAAGCTGGCCGATCCTCGTAATCGAAGTTGTCCAGGAGAAACAAGGATTGCTCGTTGCGCCCGAGCTGAAGCAGCAGCCAGGAGTAGACTAGCTCCAGCAAGATCTTGGTCACGTCCAAGAGATCCAGTAAGTTAACTTGGGGTGTTCTGTCACGAGAGAAACAAGCCATCACGCTCGTAGATCCTGGATAACGGTTGGGTTCCTACTCTCCAAAAAAAAACAGAGAGATCCAACTCTCCAAAACTTACGTGTTAGACGTGCCAGTGTTTCCTCTTGATCCTCCCACTCAGTCGTCGCAGCATTTGCGGCCATCAACTGGAAAGAAAAATCAGAATCAAACAAGTCTAGAAGGATACCAGAACACTCACCTCGTCCACCTTGGACAGGACGTAGTTGCAGCAGCAAAGTGGCAAAACCCATCCCCTGCTCTCGAAGCCTACAAAAAAGATCAGCATGGTGATGAAAGAACGTACTCTACCCTATAATCTTTGCCCTTGCTTCTTGGCCATGATTGTGCCAAGGAAAACTCTAGTCCAAGACCACCTGTGCCATAACCCGTCCCTCAAAGACTAGGCCATCCATCCATGAGCGGGCCTCAAGGAATTTGTAGCGCTCAATCCAGCTCTCGCGCCACTTTGTGATGGTGCATTGCTTGCGGATCTTCCTGGCGGCATTGCTCTCCTGCATTTGGCGCTGCTGATCGACCATGAAAACCTGGAAATATTCCCTAATCGTGCAAAGAACTGATCAATCGTGCAGAGATTTGTCAAGAAAGTGAAGCGCTGACCAAGTGCAGTAGATTTCGGCCGAGAACGCACAGACCGAGAATGCAGCAAGAGCGGACACGCTTTCTAAAACCCTACCATTATAATGACGTGGCTCATGTCAAGTTTGAACACGTCAGCGCCTAGTTGGATGCATTTAGGGTTCTTCCTCCCCGCGTGCCCAAAGTGATGCGTAAGCATCGAAATCGTTCTTCCTCGAGCAAGATTCGTTTTTGCAGAGAGTGGTCGGATACAACAGCACAGATGAACTCAGTCACGAAACCACCAATTATCTCCCATGTTGGAGGCAATCTAAAAGGCAAGCAAGCAGACAAAGGAATGGTAGCTCACAAATTTTGTTCCGTGGAGGGATGACCACAAATCCCACAAGATTTATGGTTCAATCAATTCAATTACTTTTACCCACTTTAAGAAACTACAATGTTTGAAATTGGTAGATACACTTTCTAGCAAAAATCAATCAATCTTTAACAAGGCTTTGAATTTTACCATAATGGGCAAATTACCACAATATATTAAGCTATTTTGGTGTCCCGAAAATGTACAAGAGGCAATTAAGTAAGTTGTGTAAAATATAGTTGCTTAAATGTATAAATGTTCACCTATTATTTTCTCTCAATTGTGCTCAAAACATTCATTTGCCACAATTTTCATTGACCTCTCTTTTATGGTTAGCAACATTTGATTTTTATCAGTAACTCTTTTTAAGTCAAGATTCCCTTTACCTTAGCATCATCATCTCATCATAACTTAAATTCAAACTTACAATATCTAAAAATCCTCTATGATCAATAAAACCACTTCCACTTAACTCTGAGCATTTAGGCTTTTTAAATTAAAAGAAGTTTTAGAGGTTTCTTTTTACCTCTAAATATGCTTCAATAATTTATATCTATATAAGATAAATAAAATTTCTATTTGTAATAAAATCAAGGAAAACTAGAAGTCAAAATCAAGCAAAAAGGTAAAATTAAATCTAAATCATTCAGATTTAAAACTAGTAAAATTACTTAAAAGTCTAGCCTATTCCCATGTTCTTAATTGGCCATAATAAAGATACATAGTGTAAGTTCAGATAAACAAGTTCATTTTGTTCAGCTCTATATCAATTTTTTTAGGTTAAGAAAAAATTTGTGGTCTTCCTAGTGATCAAGAGGAAAGTCAAGGAAAGAGCTAAAAAAGATAAGTATATGTATAAATGGTCCTCTATATTATGCCCTTGCAATGCAATCCTTAAATTGTTGACAATTTGATAGGGGCCAATGAAGATCAACTCCATAGCTAAACTCTCAATAAAACAATGGGAGCATATGAAAATCATAACAACAACCTTCATTTCCAACAAATTGGCATCTTGACAAAAACAATCCTTTTAATTATGTTTATGGAAGCAATTGTCTTCTCATTCAAGATAATGGCATGAGGACATACAATCCAATACTTTTGTAAAAGCAACTTTCTTTTAGAAAGCAAGCTTATAAATTAGGCAATCATCAATATCTAAAAGAGATATATGTAAGTGATTAAATTTTTCAATCACTTAACCATGTTCTTAACCACTTAGAGTAGTCTTACTCACCATTAGATTAACACCATCCTCTCCTTTAGTCCCTATTAAATTTTTCTCTATTCATGGTAGTGGTTGCCAACACCACCATTGATCTAGGGTTTGAAAGCCCATCCACTAACCTTTCCTAACTTTTAAGATTTCCTCACCATATAACTATACCTTTAATTACCAAATTAATCCTTTTTCTTTCCATAGTCTAGGACATTAGGATAACATTTCAAAACACTATGGCCCATTATAAGCTTTATAAGTACTCCCCCCACCTTCCACTATTAAGGTGCCCCAACCATATGGCTAAAGCAAGGTTTTGATGAGCCACACAAAATATCCAAATAGATAATGCCACCCATATTTGAATTGGAAATATTAACCATCCAATCTTTCGAAGGAGTTAGAGTCAACTTTAGAACACTTTACCAAGTTACCCCATTAATCCATTTATATTCATTTTAACTTTGGACTCTTTAGTGAGATACTTATTATTCTCATACTTGGATTTCATGATCCTCCCTATCCTTTATAAGGTATAACACACTTCAGTCCAAATACTTCCACCAATCCTTTAGAACTATTCTTTGATTTTATTTGAGTCATCCAACTTTTGGACTTTGTTAATCTAATAACCTATAATGTTCTAGCCTCATGGATACTTTTGAGGTGCCAGCTCACTAGAACATTGTTTCTTGTATTCATATCCTACTTACAAGGATTATCTTTGCAAATGTTATTCTGACACTTGATTCTTTGTTCCATATGAGTTATTTTTGCCTTTTAAGATTATTTGTCCATGTGATGAAAATATTGACTCATCCTCTAAGTACACTCCTAACTTCTTGGGTTGTTCTAGCATTTATTAAAGGTAGCCCCAGCTACTATTTCAAGGACCTATATCCTCTTCTATATTTGACCTCCCATAATAATTAATTTTTATCTCAAATTTAGTTTTCCTCAAAAAGTTGAGGATGTGATCCAAATGAATATTTCACTTAGCAAACTGGCTAATGTGTTTGTGGTAAACAACTATAGTTGGGATTATAAGAAGGATGAAAACTCCATAACAATAAAGGAGTCATAAAATTATTCTTATAGTGCTCATCTTTATACTATTCCTAAATCCCAAAGTTATTCCTTTATTGACCCCTTTTTATCCACCATATTATTTATATATTCATGTATTAACTAAAATGGAGAGTTATGCTATCTTGACATGCTACTCCTCAAAGATAAGCCCACTTCTAGAGCCTTCCGATACCAATACAGTGGTGATATACTTAACCACCAATTAAGAGTCAAATTAAGGAATAGTTCCATTACCAAATTGTAAGTGATTAAATTTTCCATTCTACTTTAATCATTTAACCACACATTTGGCCAATTGGAAAAGTCTCACTCATAACTTTTATAAAATTTATTCCAGATCTAAGAACTTACTAACCCCATGAATAGCATCTATGCCACTCAGCCTTTGCATTTGGTCTAAGTGCTCCATATATCTAATCCCATAATCAACACCCAAAGATACTACTGACATATTAATTTATTATATTAAGGCCATATCCAATTTACCATTGTCTTATTGGTAGTTCTAGACCACATATACTATAGTCCTATCTCTCAAAAACTAAGCTATCTGTTCATGAGTGGTCATTCCAAAACCACTCCTTAACATTCTTAAGATGTCTAGCAACATAAGGAATAACCTTTCCCAACATCTCTTTTTTGGTCCCCACCAAGTCCTTTTATGTCCTCGGCCATGTTTGCCAACATTGCTATTGGGTTAGGGCTCAAAAGGCCCACCTTCTACCTTTGGGTGCCCTAGCTATATGGCTAGAGCGAGGTTTCGATGATTTATGCCACATATCCAAGTAAGTAGTACCACCCACACTTAGATTGGGAGCATTGACCATTTAATCTCCCAGGGGAGCTAGAGTTAGGTCTTAAATAACTTCATTAAGTTACCCCATTTGTCCATCCTTATTCACTTTAGTCTTAGACTACTTAATAGTTATATTATCACATATCACATAAGTATAGCTTTCCTTGATCACACTAGCCTTCTCTGGCCAAATTGGCTCCACTAGAGTCCTCCCCCTACTATACTTTGGAGTTCACCAAACCTTGTAGGGTTTGGGAGATGATCGCTTTAGGCTTTCACCCTTGAACTTGAAATTGGACTCAGACTCGAACTCGAACTCGGATTCGGTCTCAAATTTAGTCTTGGGCTCAATTTTGATTTTGATCTTAATCTCGGTTTTGGTCTCTTTCTCAACCTTGACCTCGGACTCCATCTCAGGTCCATCTCGAACTCGATCTCAAACTCCATCTCGGGTCCATCTTGGACTCCATCTTGGGTCCAACTTAAACTCTATCTCGGTCCATCTTGAACTCCATCTTGGGTCCATCTCACGTCCATCTTGGATCTATATCGGACTCCATCTTGGACTCCATCTCAGGTCCATCTTGGGTCTATATTAAACTCCATTTTGGACTCCATTTCGGATCTATCTTAGGTTCATATCAATCTTCATCTCGGATTGCATCTTAAACTCTATCTTGGATTCTTTTTCATACTCTTTTTCGAACTCGTTCTTGACACTTCTATATGTTACGACACTTGCCATATGTCAATCTTTCTTATGTCATTTTTTAAAGACTCATTCACTGATTGCTTCATGCTCATTCCTCAAGCACTTTATTCAGAATTCCACTCCCACTTTTGACTTTTCAAGTTAGAGTTTTTAGTCTAAATATAATACACTTGTTAGACTTTCACTTCAACCACTACCATGTGGCACCTTTTTTGCTCCACTTTGAGGCTTAAGAATTTGTATCTCACACTAAGGATGCTTAACCTTTAATATCCCAAGACTATTAACCAATTGGAAAAAAAAGGGTGCACTTTTATTTATGGGCCCTTTCTTTCTATGTTTGAATTATATGGAATATCTTTGAAGTTGTCTTCTTTGATTATTTACAATCCATTATACTTTCTTACAAGTTCACGCCATTGTGAAAAAAAGCTGAAGTTATAACTCTTCTGAGAGCCCTGCTCTCTTGACACCCTACCCTTTGAGTTGAGCCCAACCAAAGCAAATTAAACTTGCCAAATATCACTTAATATGTAATGCAATTCCCCCAACCAACCAATAGAGTTAGATCTAAGACCCCCTTTGATAACAAATGTAATCTTCTGAGTTTAGACTTCCTAGGAAGTCCAAATTCATTAGCTTATACCACTATACCAATTTTTCTAATAGAACCACTAGATATCAATTTCAATATATAATGTGATTCTTTTAACCAATAAAGTTGAATCTAAAACTTTTTTAATATAACTACTAGATATTAAACCTTTGTAAGTAACCAAAGAAAACAACTTGAGAATTAATTTATATGGGTTTAAATATAGAGGGAAATTACTCATGAATAAAGATGTACATTTTTTTCTAATTAATTAATGCTTATTGGTGGGTTTGAATAGTACTGGGCTGGGTGAGTGGTCTTAGGATATATTTAGTATTAGAGTGGTTTTGGGTTTAACTCTGTTAGTTAACTGAAGGAATCATGTCACTTGTTGAGATTGATATATTACTATTAATTTACTATTGTTGTATTATGATATCTAGGGTTAAGTGTCCTTGAGTTTAAGTAATAGTGTGGTCACTACAATTAATCTGATAAGTATAATTACTTAGCAAGGTTTTAAGATATTTAAGGTTAAGTGTCATTGGTTTTGAGTAGTACTAGAGTCATTACACTTAGAAGGAGGAGCTTACCAACTTCTTTAATATTAAAGATAAGTTTCTGAATTTGAACTTCTTAAAATGTTATATATAATATTATTCAAACCCAAGTATTCTAAGACCAAAAAATTATACTTTTATTAATGAACCCTTCTCTAAAATTATTGTTTTTGATTGCTTATAGATTAAAATATAATATACTTATTTTGATATGCTTTGAATTACAAAAATAAAAAATTGTATTGATCATCCAAAAATACCCTACAACAACTTTATATTTTATAGGTTTTTTTTTTATCAAAGAGTTATCTATGTATATAAAAAATTGCACAATTTACAAATTTAACTTATGGTTTCCTCCATCAACATCCATATATATATATAAAAACTTATACATCAAGCAGCCAATCATAGTTATGCAATTTACAAATTGCACACTCTAGGTAGAAGGAGCTACCCAGGGCAAGTGAGGAGGAGCACAAAGATGGCAAGAAGTGGAACACTGTAAGATAATCCAAATTGCATTCTTGCATCCATCAGACTCATGTTTCAAGATGACCACCACAAGATTATCAAAGATAGATAGAGAGAGATTTTATGGTAGTGATTTCAGTTCTGGTGGCAGCACATCATTCCCTGCTCCAGTCAACTTTTACTTTTATCTCACTCTGCCATTGTCAATACCATACAGAGAGCCGTGAGAGTTTTGTCTGAAGATGACACACTCCCGAACGTATGCGTCACGTCAATAGCTTTTGCTACCTGTGATTTCTGTCGAAACTACAGTGAAGACAATCTGAATTGCTGAGCAAGAGAAAAAATTGTCCGGAAGCCGTATGAGTTTTCCTTGCAGGAATGGTCTTCATTTTGGAAGGGCTTCTACACGGAACTTTCCTGAGGGAGCGAGCGAGCACGCTGAGAGGGAGGGAGCGAGCACGCTGAGAGCAAAGCTTAAAAAAGAAACCAAAAAAAAAAAAGAGGAAAAACTGCGCGTGCTTTATATTTACGAACCGCTGCGTGAGTGAGTGAAGGCCCACGAAAGAATAACGAGGAACGAACGAGCGGCGCACGATCACTACCTCCGCCTCTTTTGCAGCTCACTCTCCCAGCTCGCCAAAGCTCGCCGCATCCCAGACACAAAGTCGTCAACTATAGCACGGATCTCGGCACTGTCACAGTGAAGGCGACATAGATTGAGCTCTCAAACAAAGAGAAAAGAGAAGTTTGATAAACTTACCCGCTAGAAGCAGCTTTTTTTGCTGAATATCTACCCATGTTGCTGTAGCTTCCATTCTCATCGTACGCACGTCCCTTGCCAAGCCCGTATCCAAAACCGACACCAATGCCGCATCCGGCACCTAAGCCCACTCCGAATTGAAATCCCGGGAAACCAAATCCCAAGCCGGCACCTGAGAATCAGACACGGATCGCACAAATGAGTATTGAATGGAGTAAACAAAGGAGATATAATAGAGAATGACACGACCCAGAGCGAGACAATCTCCAAAAGAAAAAAAAGAAAAAGATAGGCTGACTTTGAAGAAGCTCATTCAATTCACCGAGCCCATACGAAACAAGAAAACAAAAGATTTCTCTCCAAGCAGTCGACAAATCCAGAAAAATTAAGCTCAGATATGCAGCATAATCGATTGGCCTTCGACTCAAACCATAGAAAACTAAAGGAGTCATCCAGCCAACACTGCAAGCTGGATCCGGAGAATAAAAAACATGAAACACGCTATGCTACATGAATGCGAGCAAAAAAATACCACGATGAAACAATCGCGAGCTTACCTCCGATAATGCCAGCGCCGACACCGACACCGCAGCCCACACCAGCGCCGAAAGCTGGGCCGAGCTTACCCCACTCGGACGATTTCACCAGCGGTAGCTTCCACAGCAGCCCGCGCTCCATCTCCTCCCGGCGCTTCATCGCCCTAGGAAGCCACCCACGAGCCCTAAATTTTTGTGCCGAGCTCCCGTTGCACTGGGGAAAATCCGAGCCGTCTATCTGTTCGCCGCATTCCGGGATGGAATGTGTGGCCGGAGTGTGACTACACGAGCACGGAATCCTCGGAAACATTGGAAGAAAGAATCATGTTGTTTGTTCCTGTGTGTGTCGTGACAAAAATCCTTGCCCGTGAATTCCTTGACGAGCAAGGCGAAAATTTTCTCCTGTCCATTGTGAATTGGATCACGGGGCTCGTGTCATAAAACGAGAGAAACTTTACCGCGCCCAGCGGTAAAAACACCAAGATTTCTACCCCTAGGGCTCGTCGACGAAACGAACAAAACAAGAGCCACCATTGCTATCCGGTACGATGCCCACCCCTCTCTTGTTGTCTTGCGCAGGCCGTTAATCACCGACGGTGACGTCTACGGGGGGCATACGTATTGGCGTACGGGCGAGGTGGCCAGGGAGGAAGCTCGATCGAGTCGTGTTTTGGGAAGTTTTTAAGGGAAGGGCAACTTGAGCAGTGAATGCCTGCCCCTGGCAGAAATCCAGACATTCTTATTCCAGCCAGGAGGTCAGCCCTAATTTCGTTTGGCCCTATTGTCCAGGGGATTCAACGAACGAGAACCACCGCTCTACTTCTAATCCATCTATCCATCCATCACGAAACCGCGACCGCCCGTCAAAGGCCTGGACAAGAATATCCCACGCGGTGAATATACCACGAATCCGACAGGCACCAGCTGCTACTGTCTGCTACGACGTTGAATACTCATGTGTGGCGATCGTAATCGCGAGGTCTCGTCAACCTTGGCACCTTTGAATCCCGATTTTTATACGACAAGTTTGTATTATTTGTTGGCCTGCCCGGCATACGGCACAGGCGTATACAAGGAATTCTACGCTGCATTGCATTGTAAACAAGAATGATGGCTCCCAGGAGGGGGATGCCGTATTTTTATGTTGTATAGACGGGAAGCTTTTTGTATAGACGGTCAGGGACGCCATACTCGCCGCAGCACCTGGCACTGTCCGCCAGTATACAAAAATACAAAGAAAAACTCACCTACTTTTACTTACCCGGTGGGGGGTAAGAGAATATCCCGCGTCCTGCGGTAGCGCCGCCCCGAGATAGATACTTTGGGACGGTGTAAAAAATGGATTTACCATGTGCTCTGTATGCTCCGGTCCGCTAGATATTTATTTCCGGCCTTGTCTTGGCGGGAAAAAGCCGGTCTTCACAGCTGGCAACAGCAAATAAAGCATGGACACGTGGGATCTGCGGCATGGCGGGAAAATCGCAATCCTTTTGACCCGATGCTGCTAGGGTTAGGGTTTTAATCCGCAGGAGAGTTTGAGGCGTTGAGAACACGTCTCCCCACTCTATCTTGGTTGTGGGCCTACATTTGATTCGTTTGTCTCGGCGAGTTGGAGACAAGAGAATGGGGTTCAAAGCTAAACCGATTTGGTGTCTTAAGCGTTGACCGGGTCTTGAATCTTATTTTTTCGACGGCCGAATCATTTGTTCATTTTCTAACCGGTAATTAATCCGGCTTGTCCAGGGGTATCGCTCAATCGCGCGCCACTTTAGGATACTTAAGAATGGACAAAGTTGGCGACAACGAAACGGGCGTGGTAAATTAAAAGCCCCTCCAAGGCGCGCCCTAAAATAGCAGCGGACAACTGGATGCCCGCCACGTGGCAGATGGCTTGAGACCCAAGCAAGTAAGAATCGCGGTCCAGCCTGGTGAAAACGTGGCGCCGCCCCGCCGGTACGGAAATGAATATTCGAGTACGGTGGCTGGCTAATAAGGATCATACACGTCGGATAGGCGCCTCTCCATGTTTCTTTACGGCGCACACCAAAAGCCTTTGAGCAAAGAAAGAGGCGAGAGGAGCGGGTGAGAGAGGAGGAGAGAGGAGGAGGAAGGAGAGAGAGAGGAGGAGGACGCTGGCCGCCATAGCCGGAGCTCGCGCGAGTTTCTTCTACCCAGCGGGCGCTCGAGAGTGAAAAGATCGCGAATCGCACAGCGGGGCATTTCTGTGCGTCCTCCATAGCTGAAGTAGCGAGCTCTGTCGCGCGAGGAGCGCGGGGCCTGGACATCGAATCGCACAGAGAATCCCACCTCTCGGCTCTCCATGCCTCTTCTTTCCTTCGCATCTTCGTCCGCAGTAGTGCTCACAGGCCGCTGCTCTGGTTCTTCCTCCTCCTCCCGTTCTTCCTTCTTGTGTTCTTCGTGCCCGCCCTCCTCGCAGCAAGGATTTGGGGCCTCTTTCTCGAGCACGAACACGAATCGCCAAAGGGATCTGGTGCTCCTGTCGCCGCAGCTCCTCAAGACCAAGCGCCTCTCCTTCCGGGACTTTAGATCGACGCCCATATTCAACAGCCGGCCATTCACGAGGTATGAATCGCTCGAATCTCTCGCAGCGGTGCATGGATCTTTTTCGGTCTTTTCGCTGTTCTTGGTTTCTCATGCTCTATTTTTTTGTCAAACAGTGAAGGCACGCCCCCCGATCGACCCACCAGCGGCGGCGGCGTGCCAGCGGCAATCTAGCACGGGGCATCGCGCGGAGCACAATGCCGGGGCCGCAGATGCGCTCATCGAGGCCACTGAGCGTCATGCTCAAGGCGGGCGTGGTCGCGCCCGCAGCCATAGCCAGCAAGAAGGGGAAGAGAGCCGCCAAGAACGCGTGGGAGGAGGTAGAGGTAGAGGTAGCCGCAGCTCAGTGCGCGATCGCGAAGAAGAAGCCCAGGGGCGGCGGCGGCGGCGGCGATGACGAACTGATAGTGGTGGAGGAGAATCTCATCCAAGTTGGAGTGGAGGAAACAGTGGAGAGCGAGGATGAGCACGAGAGCCTGTGGAGGAACAGCCGGATGTATCGACCCAGAAAGCTGCGCGTCGTGTGCTTGGATCCGGAAGCCACCGAGTCGTCGAGCGACGATGACGAGCTCAAGAGACCCGGCATGAAAGCTCGCGGCGGCGGCGGCGGCTGCTCGTCGGACGAGAGCGAGAGCGAGGAGATTGGCGGCGCGTACCGCAGTAGCAGCTACGTCAAGGCGTTGATGGCTCCAATGGCGAGCAGCCGGGAAGAGGACGAGGACGAGGAGGATGACGCGGGCGGCATACCGCCGTGCAAGACCAACGAGTCCGAGGTGGTGTCCGAGGTGGCGAATAGAAAGCCCCGGAAGCTCGTCCCCAGCGCCAAGCCCGGCAAGGGACGCAGCCAGCAGTCCAAGTACCGCGGCGTCCGCCAGAGGCCGTGGGGGAAGTGGGCCGCGGAGATTAGAGATCCTTTCAAAGGCACCCGGCTGTGGCTGGGCACGTATGACACCGCCGAGGAGGCCGCCATAGCCTACGACAAGAAGGCCCGGGACTTGAGGGGCGATAACGCGCAGACCAACTTCGCCCCCGGCGAGTTGGTGGTGTTCAAGAACAGCGACAACGAGATCACGACGTATCGATCGGAGAGAGTTAGCGGCACGCCGCGAAAAGTTGGTGGTGGTGGTGCTGCTACCACTACTACGACTGCCACTGCTGCTAGCGCTGCTGCTACTGCGCCTCCTCCTCCCAGAAAGGACGTTTGCGTGATGAACTTCTCGACGCCGTATGCTGGCGGGACTTGCGAGGAAGTAGGCGAGGAAGATGACGAGGATGGCGGAGATAACGACGAGGATGAACAGCAGCAACAGGAGATCGAGGAGGAGGTGGAAGAAGAAGAAGAGGATGGGGATGACGAGCAAGATTTGTTGCTCAAGCCCGGGCCCCCAAGCTCGTCAAAAGCGCAATCGCCGTTCAAGGCTCGTGCTGCGTCTCCGTGCGGTACGACGGTGGGATCTTGCAGTACTTCCTCGCATCTCACTGTTGCGGATGAGGACGAGGCGAGCCGGCAACAGTTGCCGACGACGGTGGCGAGATCTGGAGCCAAGAAGAAAAGTCGGGCGGTGGTGTCGTCGAGGATGGTGGTGGCCGAGAGCTCGGACAAAACGGGCGGTGGGCGCGAGAGGTCGCCGGCTGCGGCTACTCGGAAGAGGTGCTTGAGCCGGAGCAGCAGTAGCATGGTGGCGAACTCGCCGAGCTCCGTTTTGGTCCGCTCGCTCTCGCGGAGAGCGGCTGCTACCACGACCACTACCACGACCACGACCACGACCACGAGTAGTACCACGGACAGTGAGTCGTACATGACTGAGGACTCGGGCTCCACTTTCAAGCTCGAGGTGGAGGTGTCCAAGAACAGCAGCAAGGACTCTATGTTTGACGACGATTTCCTGCAAATGCTGGGGGTGGCTTTCAATGGGGACGATGATGGTGGCCGGGGTGGCTGCGTTGGTGGTATGGATCTCGACTTGGATATGCTCGGGGATGGTTTCGGTGAGGACGAGATGGACTTGGAGTACTTCGCCGATTTGTCGACGATACAAGTGTGATGGGTGTGAGCGAAGCGAGCGATCAAAAGGGATCGGTGCGTGTGACTAGAGAAGCAAGAATTTTGGGAGCCAGTTTTGTTTGGAGGTCTTGAGAACTCTCGGAGGAACTCGGCTTTTCAGTTTCAGTCAGGTACATAAGTTTTCTTCCTTCGTTTTTTTTTTTGGTCTTAAGCTATACATATCAGATGATGAGAGAGTGACGCTACTGAGAAAGTTTTGTAGCGAGCTGTTGAGAGAGTTTTGGGCCCAGGTTTGTAGCGAGGGGCCCTGCGAGAGGGTGTGATCCAGAAAAGTTTTGTGAATGTAGATGTTTGCCTGAGTATTTAAATGAGATCGGTCTTCGATCGAAGTTTACATATTGACAAGTGTGAGAAAGACAACGAAGAAGAATCGAATCGAGAAGTTAGCTGAGCTTACTTCTTAGCTTTAGAGAAGCGGAGGCACCTATACTTCTCGCCGCTGACAGTGATCTCGAGAGCGCCATCCTGATTATCCGATGACGAGGCAGTCCCCATGAGGACGCTCTTCTCCTTCTCGAGATTGTCTCTTTCCATCCGGAGCCTGGCCTCCTGTTTGGCGATCTCGGCCTGCCAAATCCACAAGACACAGGTGTCAGCGAACAGAAAATTCGCTGCAACAAACCAAGGAGAGGGGCCGGAGCTGACCAACGATTAGAGAGAAGAAGCGAGAGAGATAGAAAGGTGAGGTGCGAGGCCTACCTCTCGTCGGGACAGTTCAGCTTTCCACGCGGCCTCTCGCTCCGCCACCTCGCGCTCTCTCTCCTCCAAGTAGCTCTGCATCTCTCTCTCCTTCATGATCCGGTCTCGCATGTCAGCCTCGAGTGCCTCCTTGAGCTGTCTCACAAAGTTTTCGACCACGGCCTTGATTCGAAGGGACATCTGCCGCTGCTGGTGCTGGCCCGCGTGTGCTTGAGTGCATCCTGCCAAACAGAGCACAGCGTTTCTAGGTGGTGGACGGACACCTTTGCAAAGAGTAAAAGCGTAGCAGGAAGAAATCCCGACTCCAGATTTACGATGAGAAGAAATGTACGGAAAAGAAAACAAGAGAGAAGATCGTCGCTGAGCATAAACAAAACGAGTTTTGTTGGAAGAACAAGTAAAAATGCGGTACACTAGCAATGGAAGGAGAGAAACAAGGAAAGATCATCACGCGCAATCGGGCTTTTGCTTCTAAATGATTGTCTCAAACGCGAGGAGGCAAAACGATCAGCAAAGGACGGGCAAACAATCACGAAATAGACAGAGTGGCGAGAAATGACGACTCACGAGTGGGGTAGCAGAAGATTTCGCACCTCGAAGCTGTGACGATGACGCGCAGCAGCAAAATCCCTACCTAGCAGAGCTCAGCAAGCATCGCCCCTGGACCGCCGCTCGTCGGCCTCGCCCTCCAACCCTAAATTCGCAACTCGTGGCAACACAGTCAGTGACACAAGGCAGAAGCACGGCATATTCCGGAAGCGTATGCCATGAAATGTTCTTCGGCATATTCGTTGATAGGGGTTCGATTCCGATCTCGCTGCGTGGGTTGACTTCCAGTGGCTGTGTGCGCTTCGTTGTTTTGCGATGCTTTTGCGATTCGGCTTTTGGATCGAGGTAAGGAGAGACCCTGGGAGATTGATTCGGCAAAATGGGCTTGGAGAGAAATCGAAGTAGGGAGTAGCGAGTAGTTTCTAGGAGAGCTAAGAACAGGGGGAGATTTCGCAGAGAAGTGAGAGCTTCCATGTCGAGCCAGTCCGCGTGTGGCATTAGCTGCAACGCGGGGACGAGCTCGCAGCTCAAGCTCTACCAGACTTTCATCTTCGCGACGCCCATTCTCTTCACGCTCGTGTTGCTGCTGCTCTTTTGCCTGCTCTACTACAAGCGCCGGAGGAACGCCAGGGCCGTGTCCCAGATTCGTGCGCAGTTCTTCGCCAGGGGTCTCTTCGCCGCGGTAAAAATCTCGATTTCTTCCTTTTCTTTTGTTTTCCGGATTGAAAATGCGATCATCTCACGCAGCCGCTAGACCATGGATTGAACAAATCCTTCCGGGACAACATTCCCACCATCGTGTTCGATGCCAAGTTCGCGGAGACCCGTGGCGGAGATACACAGTTAAGCTCTTTTTCTTTTCTCACGCTCTCTCTCTCTCTCTCTCTCTCTTTTATCTGGAACTTATAAAGTAAGGTTCCCGGAGTTCACGGAAGAACTTTTGTGTTAAGAACTCTTTCCTTTGACCCAGATGCGCGGTCTGTCTCGGCGAGTACCAAATCGGCGAGAAGCTCCAGCAGCTCCCAACGTGTCGGCACACATTCCACGTCGAGTGCATCGACGAGTGGCTGGCGGGCAATTCGACGTGTCCAATCTGTAGAACATCGCTGCTCCAGAGCGGGCGAATCGTCCCTGTAGCATTCGCCGACGATGACGACGCCGACGATCCCACCCAATCCGCCTCTCCTCCAGCCGAATCTCAGCCATCGCAGCAGCCCAGCATCGAGGAAGATCCGCGCGGCGGTGGCGACGGCTCCATCAAAGACGAAGAAACCAATCGCGATCGCCGACACAAGCGAGGATCCAGCAGGTCCTCCCGGTCGTCATCGATCGGCGAAGCGATCGAGCAGCAGCATGTAATCCAGATTGAGCGGTAGAATGCGATTTCTCTTAGAGTGGATCAAAGAGTGGAGGATCGAAATCCATGGACCATCACGAGTTTTTCTTGAGTGAAGGTTTCTGGACCGTTAGATTTGCATGTAACATTTTACTCCAGATCAAAGGTAGATCTCTTCGGATCTAGAGGAGTGGAAGTTCTCCATTCTCCAAGCTGGAATATAAGTTTGATCGCTGTGATCTTGGTTTGGTTCACAAAGGATCGCCATCGCCGACCCTGCGCTCAACCAGCATAAAGAAAGGACCCTACCCTAGCCTATCTAGAAAGTTCTTGCGTGCCCTTGTTAGGGTTTTGTGGGGGAGCGACTAGGGTATTGCGATTTGCTTGCTGCCGCGGCCATGGCGTCCAAGAGAATCCTCAAGGAATTGAAGGACTTGCAGAAGGATCCGCCCACGTCGTGCAGCGCAGGTGAGCGCGCGCCACAAAATCCATGGGATTTTGGTGTCGGGATTTTCCTTCTTTGCCTTGATTTCTAGCTGACGATCTCGTCGATCTATCGATCTCACTGCTTTGCGCGATTCGCAGGTCCCGTGGCGGAAGATATGTTTCATTGGCAAGCGACGATAATGGGTCCGCCCGATAGCCCCTACGCGGGCGGTGTGTTCCTGGTCACTATTCATTTCCCCCCCGATTATCCGTTCAAGCCGCCCAAGGTATGGCTTTTCTGGGAGCGATCTTTTGCAGTTCCTAATTTGCTCTTTGTTTGGTCTCTTCGTCTTCGATTTTTTCCTTTTGGTTCTCCAAGGTGGCATTCAGAACAAAGGTGTTTCATCCCAACATCAATAGCAATGGTAGCATCTGTCTCGACATTCTCAAGGAGCAGTGGAGCCCCGCCTTGACAATCTCCAAGGTTTGTTCTTTCCTCGACAACCAAGAGAGAGCTCTCGTGTTCTAAATGGTTTTTCGTTCCTTTTCTTTCGCTCGCTCGCTCGATCGATCGATTTACCAGGTGCTGCTATCAATCTGCTCGTTGCTAACCGACCCAAACCCCGACGATCCCCTCGTCCCCGAGATCGCCCACATGTACAAGACCGACAGGCCCAAGTATGAATCCACCGCCAGGAACTGGACGCAGAAGTATGCCATGGGATGAGCTCGGGAGGAGCGGCGATTTGTGGACGCATTGGCTCGCTATGATGTTTGTGATACCTTTTGGTTGCTTATATAAGTTGAAGTATTTGTTTTATGCTTTGCAATTCTTTCATTGCTGTACAAAGAAGTTCTATCACGTCTATAATTACCCCAAAGTATCAAACAAAGTGTGCGCAGAGTAGTTTTCCAATGTGAAGTGGTTTCTCATAGTGAAGATCAATTGAGGTGGCTGTAGTTTAGTGGTAAGAATTCCACGTTGTGGCCGTGGAGACCTGGGCTCGAATCCCAGCAGCCACAGTCTTGTTACTTTTATTTAACCTAAAACACGTATCATTAAGGTTTACTTTCATTTTTATGTGAGGAAAGAGAAGCGTTGGAAATGGCGCTCTGGAGAATAGGGTTTTTGTGCTTGGCCTGGTGCGCGGCAGCGGCGGCTGGGGCGGAGCCGCAGTTGGGGTCCACTCGAGTCGTCTTCCAGGTAATGTGTAGATCTTCTTCTCATCCCTCAGATCTCAAGGCCTTTTTTCTCTCGGATTTGGCAGACAAAGTATGGCGACATTGAATTTGGATTCTATCCCGATGTTGCTCCCATCACCGTGGAGCACATTTTCAAGCTTGTCAGGCTCGGAGCGTACAACACGAACCATTTCTTCAGGGTATATAGATTTTCGAGAATATGGATTTTGGAGAATGTCACCGATTTCTTCGCTTTTTTCTTTCTTTTTTCTTTGGCGAGAAGGTCGACAAAGGATTTGTTGCACAAGTCGCTGATGTTGTTGGAGGAAGAAAGGCTCCTCTAAATGAAGCTCAGATGGAGGAGGGGAAGAAAACGATCAAGGGGGAGTTTTCGGACGTGAAACATGTTCGTGGGATTTTATCCATGGGCAGGTGAGGTGAGCTCTCTCTGTGTTTATGGTCTTTTCGTTTTATGGAGAATTTCAAGTGATTTGTGGCTTTTCTTTTCAGGTATAGTGATCCAAACAGCGCTCAATCGTCGTTTTCAATCTTACTTGGTTCTGCACCACACCTTGATCGGGAGGTAAGTCTCATTCTTTTTTCTTTTTATGCAGTTTTCCCGTTGCATTCTTCTGTAACACAAAGCAGCTGCTACTGTTGTACGCATGTAAACAGCTGCGCTAGAAAAGAAGAATGCTAGAGTAAACTTGCAGAGAATTTGTTCGCATCAGAATAATGGTGCTGACTTCAGACACTGCAAAACAAGTTTCATCTTACTCGCTTGTACAAGGTTGACCTTTCCTTGTTTTCCTGTTTTGTTTTCCAGTACGCTGTGTTTGGGAAGGTGACCAAAGGATTTGAAACATTAGAACTCCTCCAAGAGCTGCCTACAAAGCGCGAAGGGATTTTTGTGATGGTACGAGGCTGTTTTTTTTTTTTTTTTCTTGTTTATATCTCTGTTTTAAATTTCAGCCCCAGGAACGAGTAACCATTCTTTCGACGTACTACTATGGTAATTCCTTCGCTGTATGTAGTCCTTTACTCACCTAAAGTAATTGTAATTTCAGATGTAGATCCTGTTCCTTTAAAGTGCGAGGACGAAGTGTCCATTTTGAGGAGAAGATTGATTCAAGCATCAAATGAGCTGGAGGAACAGGTTTGGTCTTCTTCAACACAACAATGTCTTACTCATGGATTTTGTGCTTCTGCAGAGAATGAGATGTCTTCCTTGAGCCGGATTGGATTTTGTTTCAAGAGTGGTATTTGATTTTTACAGACTGCTTGCTGCTAACTTGGTAATGTTAGAGAGCAGCACATAAGGAACAGTAAAAGTGGAATCAACCTTACAGATTATATGCTTCGCAGTAGCCGTAGCGCGTCGAACATCATTGTGGATCTTACACCCACTGAGTAAGGCTCCCCATGCAGAAAAGCTAGGCAGGTATGGCATTGCATTCATAAGTTCTTCTGCCTTTTGGAGCTCTCCAGCCCGCCCGAGAACATCGATCAACGAACAGTAGTGCTCCGACGAAGGAGCAATGCCGAAGTCGTCCCTCATCCTGAGAAAGTGGGAGCTGCCAGCGTGGAGCAGGCCTTTGTGGCTGCAAGCGTTGAGCAGCAGCACCAAGGAGACCGAGTTTGGCTCGAGGCCTTGGAGGGTCATCTCTCGAAAGAGCTCTACAGTGACTCCGCCATACCCAGCTCGAGCTTGTGCCGCCATCAGTGTGTTCCACGAAGCTACGTCTTGCTCTGGCATCGCTCTGAAAACAGCCGCCACTCTCCTCACTGCTGGAACGGTCTGTGCGTAAATCTCCAGCATCGAGTTCCAGGTGATGAGGTTTCGATCGAGCATTGTGACAAAGATGGCGAGTGACTCGCTAAGCAGGGCTGGATATGCAGAGATCATTGCATTGCAAGTGACAACGCTCCACACAGGCATCCTCTCGAACAGCACTCTAGCTTCCTCAATGTACCCTCTTTGGGCGTATGCTGCAACCATGGCTGTCCACGAAACCACGTCCTTTACAGGCAGGGCATCAAGCAATTGTCTTCCACTCTCCAGGTCTCCCTCTTGAATGTAACCTTGTATTACCGTGTTCCAAGTCACCACACTCCACTCTGGCATTGTCTTAAACAATGCTAATGCTTCACACAGATGCCCAAGCTGGGTATACGCTTGGAGAAGTACGTTAAATGAAACGACGTTGTGACTCTCCATTTGATCAAAGGCTAGTTTGGCATCGTCAAGGTTCTCGGCTTGAGCAAATGCTTGGATCATGCCCGTACAAGCAACTACGTCCCGGAAGGGCATAGAGCTAAACAAGTTGGCAGCTAGATCGATATGCCCGTTTAAGGCATAAGCTTGGAGCATTGTGTTCCAAGAAACCATGTTGTGCTCCGGCATTGCATCAAAAGAGTTCTTCGCGTCATCCACCTGAGAAGCTTGCGCAAAGGCTGATAGAAGTGTGGTCCAAGTGACAATGTCCCTCTTGGGCATTGTTTGGAAGATCTTGCTGGCTTGATTGTGATGACCATCCTCCGCGTATCCTGCGATCAGTGCGTTCCAAGTCACAATGTTGTGTACTGGCATGGAATCAAACATCTTCTTCGCATCCTCTAAACGATCGTTTTGAGCGTAGCCCTGGATCATTGCGTTCCAAGACACGATGTTTCTCAGCGGCATCTGGTCAAGTATTTGCTTTGCTATGCCAGGATGGCCGCTCTGTGCATATGCCGCCAAAAGCGCAGTCCACGAAACCACGGTTGGATTCGGCATTCTATCAAAGAACTCCCTGGCGAGATCCAGTTCCCCGTTCTGCGCAAAACCTGTGATCATCGTGTTCCATGAGATTTCGTCTGGAAGAGGCATGGTTTGGAAAATCCTGGCCGCATTGTTGAGGTTTCCTTCATGCGCGTAGCCTTGGATCATTAGATTATAAGAGACCGTGTCCTTGATAGGCATGGAGTAGAAAGTCCTTTCCGCTTTGAACATATGCCCATGTTGGGCATACGCATTAATCATAGCGTTCCAAGTTACTAGGTTCTTTTCTGGCATGCAATTAAACAGACGCTCTGCATATGCAAGGCTCCCAAATTGTGACAACGCACAGATCATTGTCGTCCAGGCAACGACGTTGCGATCTGGCATTCGATCAAACATGGCTTGGGCCTCTTGCAGATGCCCGTTTTGGGCATATGCTGTAAAGATGATGTTCCACGAGAAAAGGTTGGGCCGGGGAATCGAATCAAACACCGCCCGTGCCTCGACCAGGCTCCCGCATCTTCCATACATCTGTATAAGCAAATTAGAGAGGAACTTGTTGCTGCTTGTGCTGCTGATCAGGGCGTGGATCTGTCTCCCTTTCTTCAAGTCCCCAGAATTCCCACACTCCCTCAAAAGTAGCGCAAGCTTCTCAATCCTCTCCTCTTCCCCGTGGAGCATGGCTTTGGGCTGGGCCACCAAGGTGAGGCAAGGCAAAATGCCCATCCTTCCATTTGTGTTAAGAAAATAGTTATTGCCGTATAAACTATAAAGTGCTCCTACTTTTGCATTACATAAACCATACTTAACATGAGCCAGCATGCATCCTCGGAGAAGGCTGGGAGATGGCTCCTCGTCATCTTCGTGTTACAGTGATATGTAAGATTGCTATTGTCTTGGTTTCCCTCACTTGGTTTTGTAGCTCTCTCATGTATAGAGAAACAATATATAAGTACAGACGTACATATATGAGTCCATTTTTCACGCCTGACTTACGTGGTGAAGTTATGAGGAATGCTTAGAGTTACACTGCACCTCACGCCTCACTCTCTCTAAGTATCTATGCAAGTTTAATCTAAACTACTCTTGCATAATTGATTCACTGGTATCACTGGAAATGGAAATAGGATATCTTCCCTAAGAACTCGGGCAACATCCTCTTGTGTGTATAATGCTGCTGGGCACTTGCCTCAGCTTCTTCAAAGGCTAGGAACACAATGGACTTGGAGAAGATAGAGCCATGGTCCCATTACGATCCATTGGCTGCCCATGTTGCAAAGAACTAAGATAAGGTGCTAAGCATCCAATAAATAAGAAATTGAAGAAAGAACTTGGAAAAAGCTGATCATGGTGAAGAGTAGTGAATTCATGATCACCACTTGTGATCATGGAGGAGATTTATGTTGAGCTCGAAATAGCCTACAGCCTAAATCTCTAGAGGATGATAATGTGGGCAAAAGGGATGGCATTTTAGGTGTTGATATATTTATGTTACTATATAAGCTAATTTAAGATATGTAGAATTCACTTATTTAACTTCCCTAAATCTAATTTTCGTTTATTGTGTGCGCAAAGTCGCAAACATATTAATATAGGGCAAAACACAGATTATATATTTTTAAAAAGAAGATTTAGGTGTTATATAGCAATATAGTTTGAAAGATATAAAAATTCTCCTAAATTATGAAAACATAATCTCTAAAATTAATATTATTATTTTTCCAATTAACTAAAACCTTTACTCGGTTTTCTGCCATAAAAGAAAATTAAAAATAAAAATCAATCCTCGAAAATTCAAGAACTCCCTTTCTTCCCTTTCAATTGATCTTTTTATGGATTAATGTGTGATAATGATCATTCTAAGACACCTTACCTTCTTTGGAAGAAAAAAAAAGAAATGAAAGCTCTCTTCTCTAGAAACAAAGAAAATAACATTTCTCATCTTCTTTATTTAAGATTCACCCAAGTGAAACCCAAGCATACAGGAAAGCATTAACAACAATTATGAAAGTAAATGGGGCCATCTATATTGCCAAAAAAAAATTCTAACAATAATCATAAATAGCTCACTTTGCCCTGTCAAAAACCTAATGCTAAATGCTGTGACAATGAAAAGTAGATAACTCAGTGTATACATTGGAATAAAATGGATTCTAAAATTGCAAAAAACCCTAAATTCATTATCCCATTCGGAAGACATTTTTACCTTTGAGAGATTTTCTTATGGGGAAAATTTGTCTGCCTAATTCATCTCTATTGGGAAGTTTATCCATTAGGGTATTTACATGATCCCCAATATATACTAAAATCATCAAAAGTAATCAATCCATATCAAGACTTCAAATTTTACTATAAATGGTGTCCCAAAACGAATAGTAGAACTTAACATGAAATTTTTCCCAAACCACTGGTTCGAGCTATTTTGACCGTTAATTGACTAGAAGATACTCTTCACAAGTCCAAAAGAAAGAACAAAAGAAACTTAAATTAATAAAGGTAGGTAGATGGGCGAGCTATGGAAGCCATGGTGATCAGGAAATTGGTAATAGCTCTTGTGATGGCGGTGTATAGGATTCTTGCGGTTCGATCGGGCCAGTCCAGCAGCGGCAGCATTGTCAGCCCCGATTCCATGTTTGCATTTGGGGATTCTTTGAGCGACACCGGAAACGATGCCTCGGCGTTCCCTGGATCAAAGCCCTCGCTCCATTACGGCCAGACTTTCTTCCGCAAGTTTGCTGGCCGGGCCTCGGATGGGAGGCTTCTCATTGATTTCTTGGGTCAGTTCTTTCGATCTTCCTTTCCGAGTGAATTTCTTTTCAAGTTCTTGTTCTTTCTCCGAAACTTTTAGCGCAAGCATTTGGTCTTCCATTCCTTAGCCCCTACTTGCAAGGTTTCAATGCGGACTATCGGCATGGAGTCAACTTCGCGGCTAGAGGAGCCACTGCTCGCAGCACCTCGATCGTGACACCGTTTTTTCTTAGTGTTCAAGTCAGCCAGATGATCCACTTTCGCGAAGCTGTTCTTGCTGCTCCACAAGGTTCCAGTGGTAAGCTTTTGTTTGGCTCTTGCTAAGCTTTTGCTCGCAGCCACTCCACTCCTCCCAAACTCGACTGTGTTCTCCACGGCGCTCTACGTGATCTACATTGGGATCAACGATTTCTGGCAAAATCTAAACAACAATCGCATGACCATCCAGCAGATAAACTCGACCGTGGTTCCTCAGTTGATACAAACAGTACCCAAAGCTTTGGAGGTAGCAATTCTTCTTCTTCTTCTTCTTCTTCTTTACATGTAACAATGAGATGATCTTTCTCACGTCTTTCTCTTAAGGCACAAGCAGAGGCTCTACCACGACGTTGGCGCGAGAAAGTTTCTTATTGTCACTGTTCCTGCCGTGGGATGCCTTCCAGTCGTCTTGAGTGAGTTTGGATCCTCCAGTTCGGAAGATTACGATGCCAGTGGCTGCTTGCGAGCTTTCGACGATGTCGTGGGGTCGTACAACGCACGGCTGCGCGCTCTGGCTCTCGGTTTCGCGGGGAAGTTTGCTCAAGCTCGAGTCTTCTTTGGAGATATCTTCGCGGTTCACAAGGATGTGATTGCCAATCCCGAGCTTCACGGTACGTTGTGCTGATCGAGCTTTGTTGATCTTTCTCGCGGCAGGATTTGCGCCAAGCTCGAAGTTGAGTGCTTGCTGCGGTGGCGGCGGCAAACTCCATGAAGCCGTGAAGCAGTGCGGGGTGATTGCCACGCCGGTTTGCGAGTCCCCGTCCTCCTACATCAGCTGGGACGGGATCCATTTCACTGACGCGTTCAATCGCGTTGCCGCTGCCAGTATCCTTGGATCGATTCCATCAATTTAGATAGAGCATTCTTGTTGGAAGAACATGAGCGTTTGCGTAAAGCTGTTTGTATCAGTTGTCTGGCGACAGAAACACGCATGGATCAGAGCTAGGTTGAAAGGAAAGAAAGAACTTTGCAAGAGTAAGTACCAAGAATGCCACACTGCGAAATGACAATCTTTGCATATGGTCGATTGAATCCCCTCTCAGCGACCACTGCTCGGGTATCGCCTATAAGCTTGGCAGTACTGTGGGGATCCGCGATGAGATTTTTCCCAAGGAACGAAGAGAAGAAAATACGTACCGGAAGTAAAGATTGCTCGTGTTATCTTTGACCACCCTGGTACTCGCGATCTTCCGGACAACGTCCAGGCCTTCTACCACCCGGCCTACCACCGAATTCGTTGGATCAAGCTCCGGAGCATCCTCAAAGGCAATGCAAAACTCAGTCCCGTTTGGATCCGGCCGTGACTCTTCGTATACGACTTCAAACTTCCCGTCGCGAGCTATAAGTTTCGGCTTTGCTGGAGGCTTTGTGGCATCTATGGCCATGATCGAAACCGCACCTTTCACGTTCTTCGGCCGTTTCCCCGTCTCGTCTAGCGTTTTCATCTCGCTGGCTAGAGCTTTAGCGTCTAGACCACCTGCGAATTGAGCTGTATCCTTGGCTCTACCGCTCAGGCTGAAGGTCCTGAGGCCTCCATTCTGTATGTAGTTCCCTGTTATCTTGTAAAAATCTCGCTTCCTATAACTCACTCCCTTCTGACCAGCCGCAATCTCTCCAAAGCGTCTGGCGCCCACTGGTACGTCGTCTTCGTAGAGTCCAACGACGACGCGGCCTGCCGGTTCTCCATCGATGCTGATGTCCAGAAAAACTTTGCGTGTCACAGTTGGACACGGCTCTTCGTCAGCGAAAGCAAAATTGTCATAAGTACCGTGCAATGCCCCTAGTGTATACACTGCTTGAGCAACAAAGCTGCGTTTTCCAGTTGAGAAACTTAAGAAAGGGTTTTCATTCTCTTTTGCTCCAGCGGATTTCCTATATACAATGTCAGTATTATATATATCAAGAAACTACACACCCGCGTTCTTTCGTTTTTCTCTAGCATGCAATGTAAATAGCATACCTTCTGCGACACTAATAACCCTTTCTAATGTGTTTATACCGACCACATAACTATGAACGGGTTGCTGAATCATGCTCTATCGAAAGCAGAATTCATCTGCCAAAACCGAAAAGGTACTTAGTACCTGTTGAAATGTATGCATATGCATGGTAACTTCAGCACCTAGAGATGGAATAATTCTTACCCTCGAGAAAATGGAAGCGAGAGAATCGCTAGAACAACCTTGATAACCTTTTCAGGAATTCCACTGAAATTAAACATGTCAATAAGGGAAGCAACAAGCAATTTAGCTCAATACCTTTTTTTCTCATCTAGCGCTTTCACTTCGGATTTCTTCGTGGCGTCCGATTCAACCCTGAGGAAGAGGCTATTTAGTAGCTGTTGAAATATGCGTTTACATTTTGACCACTGCCCATACGCGCAAAACAAACTTACCGGACTTTGCTTTTGCTACAAATATACGAACAAGCAACCACAACATGGAGTTTAAGTTTCGCGCATTACTTCTCGTCAAAATCATAAATGCAAGATCCATTGTCACTCCTTGCGGTTGGGTCATAGTTCGCTGCATTGGGGTCTGCGCACCCTTCAGGCACTGGAATGTTAACCTGTTGTGCGGCCTTTCCTGAATCAATAATATACAGAGGTCCAGCAGAGGATAAGAAAAAACAAGTAGTTACCGTAAATGTTGGATTTATCGGCGACGGAAATTTTGGGTTTAGAAGCTTCAGCAGAAAAGTCATATTCGCAAGTTCCATCATCGCTTCTTGCAGTCGGATCGAAATTAGCAGCATTGGGATCGGTACAACCCTCAGGAACTGGAAGATTGATTTGCTGTGCAGCTTTTCCTGAAAAAACAATGGTTAACAATCTCTCAGGTGTTTTAGAGAACGTACCATATAAATTATTTTTTTCAGCTTTTTGACCTTTGGAAAAATCATAAACACAAGTTCCATCATCGCTTCTTGCCGTTGGATCGAAGTTTATAGCATTGGAATCGGTACATCCCTCCGGCACTGGAAGATTAATCTGTTGTGCAGCCTTGCCTGGTAGAAATGTTCAAGCAAGCAAATAAAAGAAAAACGCACGAGCTTAAATGCTTACCATACAAATTGTCTTGTTTCAAAGAACTCGTTGCGGGAGTTTTCTCAGCAAAATCATATTCACAAGTTCCGTCATCACTTCTGGCCGTAGGATCGAAGTTTCTTGCGAAGGGATCAGCGCAGCCTTCTGGAACTGGAAGCTTGACCGCTTGGGCAGCTTTGCCTGCAGTTAAAATGTTCCTCTAAGAAAAGAGAAAGAACGGCGAGTTTTTCTTTTTTACCGTAGAAGGTATCCTTCTCCCTTTCATCCTCATTTGCATCACCCAAGGAACTCCCCTTCATATACTTATCAGCCAGATGATATCGCTTCACATTCTCCTGCTCTTTAACAAGCATATTTCCATATTCGAGTAGCTTGTCAATCGTCATGGGAGGCTTTGGAAAAGTCGGGGGACCATCCTTAGAGTTGACCAGCTTCGGGCCTATATTTTCCACCCCAACCTGGGTAATCCACTTTCTAACCTCGTCATCGTAGACTCGGGCCCTCAGAGCACCAAAGAAGTCTGTTTCACTTCACGTTAGTCACAAAAGAATGCCTATAACAATACTCTTCTTACCTATAGATTGTCCTGGAAAGGTGTCCACAAGTTTAACGATGTCCTCATCAGGTACCTCGTCACTTCTGAAAATGCCTTTACAAACGCCAATCCTGTCCTCCCTTGTAGGCGCCCAGTAGAACTTCTCCATGCGACCGTCACGGATCAAAGGTGCATACAAAGTCGAGAAATCGTTTCCAGTCACAATGATCGGAACTCGGGGTAACTCCTCCTTGGTGTAAATTCCAGGCAGTTGGACGTTGGTTGGATTGTCCGCGATGTTCATCAGTGTTGCATTTACCATCTGGTTGTTGACGGTGTACTGCGTAGTCCCTCCCATTCTTCCAGCACCGGCATCCAGGTCGTTGATAAACAAGACGCACATTTGGCCTTTCTTCTTGATAATATCAGCTGCTTCCCGATATCTCTGTCGGATTAGCTTTGCAGGTTCTCCAGCATTGCCGCTCTCGAGCTCTCCAGCGCTCATTGCAATGGGACTGGGGTATAGTCACAGAAAACCCAATCAGTTACAGAGTCATCTCGCTTTTACCACCTTACTTGATTCCTAGTTTGGAAAACACCAATTCGCACTGAAATGATTTTCCTTGTCCTTTGCCTCCCCAAACACCGAGAATAAGAGGAACCTGGAAATGGTTTTCCAATTAGCAAGCAAGCCAGCAGACCATTGGAAGCCACTCCCACCTTAATATTCGGAAGAGCCATGAAATTCTTGGAAATGTGAATGACGAGCTTGTCCATGAACGCTGGAGCGATGTATAACCCATCGATGGTGTTATCCATAGAGTAGCTGAAAATTCCAGTCTAAGATGGAAAAATCCGAGCGAAAGAGAAGAACAAAGAAAGAAACTTACACGCGCTGAGCGGTGTTGAGGTACTCGAGACTCGACATAACGGCAGTCTGCGTTCCTCCTCCTTGAGGGCCTTGATACAGCGAATCCACCATCCCCTTTCCTCTCGTAATATCCTGCTGATCATCCGACGTATCGGTCCCCAGGCCTTGCCATCGATCGGTTTTGCTCTGGGAGGATTCATCCACTTGGCAGACTACACGACCTTTGGCCCGGAAATTCCCCGCGCGAGCACTGAAATCATGCTGATGCACGACGCTGCCGTGAAATGCCGATGAGAGTGGCGATCTTGCGCCAATTGGATGCGCGGATGCCTGAATTCCATGGAAATTTCATCAGTGCGTAGATATCTCTAGAGAATGATAGCGCGAGTTACCTGCACTAGGAGCTGCATTGACGCTGCCATTGCTTGATCGAGGAGCCCAGCTCGGCTTACAAACAGAGTGTTGCCCTAGGGATTATTCGTTCTCAACGGCTACAGTCGTGCCACGTTTGAGGGGCTTATCCCAAGGGAAAGCACTAGAATGCGCCACGTGGACGGATTTTTATCCCATATTTTCCCTCCAAAATTTCAAGGCTTAGGGTTCTAATGTTTTAATGGCGATGGCTTTGGCCTGCCGCTTTCCTTCTTGGCTCGTAGCTCCGCGCTCTTGCTCGCCATGGAATCGATCTGGATTCTCCTCTTTTTCGCTTTCGCTGCATCCTTCCATTGGCAGCGATTCCATTTCCAGAATTTTGCGCTTGAACAGGAACTGTGAGCGGTGGAGGAATCGCGCAGCTGTGGACGCAGCGAGCGGATATGATCCACGGGACGGGGTCGCGGTGTACAAGCCGGCGTCCTATGACGTTCTTGTGAATGGTGAGTTGTTTCGATGAAGAAGAAATTGTTTTACCAAGCTCTGAATTTACAGATGTCGTGGATGCGACATTTTTCGCTCTCGATGAGGGAAACAATAGACTGGAGATTGAATTTCCGTAAGTGTTTTGTTCTTCCAATCATACGATTGAGAGATAGATTTTTCCATCCAGGCCGCTGCCAAACGAAATTTCCAGCTACAAGGTATGTTGGATCATTTAAAGGGGTTTCCAAAGAAGAAAAAAAGAGGCAGACAAAGAGAAGAAGAAAAAGATTTCTGGCTAACAACAATGTTTCGCAGGGATCATCAGATGACTTTATCGACGCAAATATACAGCTAGCTTTGGCTTTTGCGAACAAGCTAAACGCAGCGAGAGGCATCGTTACCAAGATAGTAAGGTCGCGTTCTGTGCTCGTGCGTTTTCTAAAGTGGAGTCTATTTATCTAGGTGTTTCCAGATAACGTGGAGAAGAGAAGAGCTTCCAGGGTTTTTCGATCAGCTTTTGACCTCGTAAGCAACTTTTATATGTTGCCAGATTAGAGCTCATAGTTTTGTGTGCTACTCAGAGTAAAGGGATAAGCCTCGGCTGCCTGGATGATGTTCCAGGAGGCAATGGCTTTCTAAAAGCATTAAGAGGCGCGTTCGAGCTGGACTTTCAAGAAGATGTGTCGGGAAAATGGCAAACTTCTTCTCCTCCGTCTATGTATGTCGTGGTGAATTGTAGCGGCAATGAGCTCCCGGATCTTCAGAAGTATATGGTGAGGGCTGTGCTTCTGGTTTTATGCGCAACTTCCTTCACGGTTTTCTATGCAATGCAGGATGCCGTCGTGGGAAGTGCTTCTATAGTTTTGTTCAACTTACAGCTAGATAAGTTAAGGTACGAGAAATGTTTAAAACGTTGAGAACTTCCGTGCTAAGGACCGCGACAGGTCAGATCTTGGCCTGTTTGGATTTCCAGGCAAGGACTTGCAGTACGAGTTTCTGTCGCAGTTCCTCCCTGCCTTCTACATTCGCACCAGGGATTACTCCAAGGTAAAGTAATGTTCTCTCGAAAATCTAATGATGGTAAGAAGATAACGCTCACAGAACGTGCCTTTTGCACCTTTCATCGTTAATTACAGTGGAGCACTACTGAGACGTTATCCTGGTATGCCATCGCTCTTAATCTTGTGTTTGCCACATTAAGGCTTGGTTTTGTTTGACTCAGGACCATGGCAAGTCATGATTAAACAAGCGAATGGTGTATATGCTTGCGTAGCTGAGAACAGACAGCGGTTTACGCTAGGACAAGTATTGTCTCTATAACGTACATAGCATTCGTCTGATCTGGATAAATCGTGCAGGCCAAAGAAGAACTTTTGCGATCTCTTGGACTGCAAGAAAAAGAAGGCAGCAACCTAGAGTTCTTGCGTAGAGGTTACAAGGTAAGCCTAGTAGTTGCTTTAACGAAACACTTGAAAAGCTTTCCTTTCGTGTCAATTAGACGTCGACATGGTGGGAGGATGATGCAGCTCTCGAGAAATCATCGGCATGGAGAAGCTAGTTTCCTTCTTGTGGACGGAAGCATGTAAATTAAGGTAACATGTTGACTCATTTTGATCTCATCTCTTGCCTCTTTTATCCTGAGTTTCTTCGGTGCTACATAGCTTCGTCAGACTTGGTGCGTTGGAATTAGGACGTTCCAGCTTTTAAGAAGTTGAGGTATGTACTTTCTTCCAATAGTCAATCACCAGAGAAAGACTATGACAGGTCAGCCTTGGGATTATTTGTAACTGTAGCGGCCTACCAAGGAATTCCAATGTTTCTTTCGCCGCTAGATTAGATTCTAGGCGACTGGACCACCATTTACGCTTCAAAAACGTAGCTTTTCTTCCTCTCGCACGCTGGCTAATCTCCAGTGTTTGTTTTGCAAAAGGATGGACAGAGCTCTCGCTGCGATTCTATTTGCCGCCGTTGAGTGGCAAGTCATGATCAAAGGAAACGAATGGTGAGGACAGACAGCGTTTTACACTAGAACAGGTATCTCGCTATAAAAATTACCCACATCCTGTCTAATCCGTGCTAAACGAGCAGACAAAAGAGGCACTGCGCGCGTGGACTGCTGCGAGACAAGGAAGGAAGCATTTTGAAAATCTCCGCAGATGGTAATGGCTTACAAGGTAGGCCACGATCGCTAGTAACTTGTCTTGTCATCGGTCCCGGGAAATATAGAAAACGCGAAAGAGACTAATTTTCTGTGCTTGGTTTTGTAGGCACGAACGTGGTGGGATCTGGATGAATGGATGGGAGCTGTGTGCTGTTGCCTGCCCAAGATCTTTGATTGATTGATCGTTCGTACCCTGTTGCGCTCTCCGGCAATCAAGTCTGGATCAATGAAGCTCGATCGAGAGGCCCAGAAAAAGCTTGCTCCAATGGATGGATGTACTTACCATGGGTAAGTGTAAACAAGCTCTTCTTTTCTATGCTTTTCTCGTCGGGAGACTAAAACTCTTTGCTTTTGGCGCTATAAATGCAGGTACTTGCTCTTGCGGGACGTCACAAACTCGGGGAGCCTTGGATCTCGATGACAATGCCAGTGCGCGAGTGACTCGATCGATCGGTGTCTCTCTCGTGCTAATGTACCTTGGATCTAAATCCTCGCGAGAGGCAGGCACCACAAACATACATTTTCTTGCAATTTTCAAAGCGGGCTTGGCATGTGGTGGCGAGGATTGCTCCCATATTCTATTCGTCAATGCTGGGCGGATTGTTTACTTGTTTTAATCGATCAAGGGGAGAGTATGACAGGGACGCACTAGAAAAAAAATTTGCGGTGCTGGTACCACCTTTGTTGCTAATCCTGTGTTACCTGGATGTTGACTTCTTGGTTTCCTTTGAATGAATCTCATAGCCCACAAGCAACTGAGGTCACTGCTAGTAATTGTGGTGGTGGTAAGCGGTAGCGTTTCGTTTGGGGGCGGCATATTCCAAATCCAAAACCCAAGTGTGCACTCATTCAAGTTTCTTAACTGGTTAAAGTCAACTAATGCCAACAAAAGGATGTAACGTAAGGGCGAGAGACTAAATTAATCAAACCATGGAAAAATCATCCATGGTAAAAATCGATCGCATTTTGGTATAAAGGGATTTATAAAAGCGCATCCAGTCGCTGTCGATCATCGTTCCCACAGCCACCATTTGGACAAAGCCAACAACAATCATCATGCTTCCAAACAAGTAGCTACATTGGTTAGTCCTTTGCGAGATCCTGTCCGTCGGCGCCGCCGTGGCGCGCCCGGCGCCGTCCACCTGGCACCATCCCCGCCGTTGGGAGCGCACGGGCCCCGATAGCACCACGACCGCATGTGAACTGCCACCACTACCGCGCGCAGTGTGGCTCTTACACGGTCCGCCATAGCCACAGAGCTTGGCTTGCCTTGGCTCCCCCCGGGAGCGAGAGGGAATTGGGGGAGTTAGGGTTAGGGTTAGCGAGTAAGCGATCGATCAGCGCAGCGTCGTCCCGGCGTACTGATGATTTGGTGGATACATTCGCGAGCCGAGCCTAGATTTGTAGAATCTGGTCCTTTTTGCGCCACCGATTCCTCCATGGGCAATCAGTCCTTTACTACATTTGTGGCAGCGATTTGTGGAGATGTCGCATTCTCCTGTTCCAGCCCCTTGGCGAGAGTTTTGATATGTGAGGCGCGCGAGCGAGAGTGAAAGCGAGAGAGAGAGAGAGGTCGAAAGAGAGAGCGAAAGAGAGAGCGAGAGGGAAAGAGAAAGAGATTTTTGCTCTTTGCTCTCCCTTCCGCTAGATCCTTGATGAGGAGCTCCTAGGCATCGATCGCGCAGTCCTCGCGAATTCCGCCCCCTCCCCTGGCCATGGACGAGGAGAAATCCAAATCGGGGCCGCCTGGCGCGGCGCTGTGCGGGAGATGCCACGTCTCGGAGGAGCTGGAGCTGCAGGCCAGGAGCATGATCCTTGGTGGCTCTGGTGGCGGCGGCGACGCCGTGCCTCCTCCTCTGTGCAATAGCCACAACAAGCATTGCTGCTGCAAGCTAGGCCGGCACACCCCAACGCACACGCTCACGTATGACGCGGAGCTCATCGCCCTCGACCCCTTCAGCAGATCCAAGAAGATCCGGCGCGGCGCCAATGGCCGATTCGTGCCCAGCGACGCGAAGATCCAGCACGGCGGCGGCGGCACCAATTCGGAGCTTACGTCAACGGTTGTTGCCATGGAAGTTGACAGCGGCGGGAATTGGCTCGAGAGCGACGACGGCGCTGGTGGCGGAGGAGAATTGGCGGACAGCTCGCTCATCCCGGGGCTCGGGGACGACGTGGCGCGCCTCTGCCTCGCCCGGCTGCCCAGATCCTGCTACGGCCAGTTCTACACGGTAAGCAAGAGATTTTGCTCGCTACTTAGGAGCGGGGAGCTGTATAGCACGCGCCGCGGCCTGGGCATCTCAGAGCAATGGGTCTATCTTCTCAACAGCGGCCAATCCGTGTGGCGGGCCTTCTGCCTGGTCGATGGCGGGCGATGGCGGCCGCTCCCGCCCACGCCCTCGGATCCATGCTTCAATATGTGCGACAAGGAGTCGCTCACCGCAGGGACGCAGCTGCTCGTGGTCGGGCGCGAGATCAATGGCCACTGCATCTGGGGCTACGATCTCCTCACCGATCGCTGGTTCCGAGCTCCACAGATGAACACCCGGCGCTGCCTCTACGCCTCGGCCAGCTGCGGCACCCACGCGTTTGTCGCGGGGGGGATCGACTCCGCCACCCAGCTCGAGCTCCGCGCCGCCGAGCGCTACGACTCGTCGTCCGGGCGGTGGGAGGCGCTGCCGGACATGATCAAGCCGCGGAAGATGTGCTCGGGGTTTTACATGGATGGCAAGTTCTACGTGATCGGTGGCGCCAACGCCGCCAGCGCGGAGCTCACTTGCGGCGAGGAGTTTGATCCCGACGCCGGGACGTGGAGGGAGATCCCCGGGATGTGTCCTGCCAGGAGCGATACGACGAGCAACTCGCCGCCGCTGGTGGCGGTGGTGGACAACCAGCTCTTCAGCTTGGATGCGTCGTCCAGGAAGCTCAAGCGGTACTGCAAGCGATCGAACTCGTGGAGGGTGATCGGCGATGTTCCTGTCAAGGCGGACTCGAGCAGTGGGTGGGGGATGGCGTTCAAGGCCGTGGATGGGCAGCTGCTCTTGATAGGCGGCGATCGGAGGGACGGAGACGCGATCTATGCGTGGAAGCCGTGCGAGGAGGAGGGCGGCGCCGCTGTAAATTGGAAGTTCATTGCCGGATTGGTACCACCGGGGACGTTCGTCTTCAACTGCGCGGTCATGTCCGCGTGAGCTAGGCTCCGACCATTAGAAAAAGGAGTTCTTCGGTCGATCGATCGCGAGGTTCCATCTTTTTTGGTGGCGGAGTGGCGGTGGTGGAGCAGAGTTAAGTTCTTCCGCTTTTCTTTTTTCTCTTTTTCTCTTTTTTATTCTTCGCTCAAAGTTTTCCAGGGGATAGCTTATAGGATCAATGACAGCACCATTGGCTGCGCTGCTCATCTATATAAAACCTCCATCAAAGTGGAATCCACTTTTTTTTAGTTTTCTCTTCTTTCCTGCTTGAGCTCGATCGATCGCGCGACTGTAGACTAAATTCGCGAATCGAGCCAGCCACCACTGCGAGGGTTCCCGTCCGTATGCTGGCCACCAACCGTACGGCTGGCTGACCAAAACACCAAAACCAAAAGAAAAAACTTAGCGCGGTAAAATCCACTTTTAAAGACCCAAAGACCTTTTAACATCGCCTCCACTCTCGGGCAAAATGGGTAAGTTTTTAGGAGGGTCTCGCTCACACGCAGGAGACGATGAAGGACGAGCTCGAGGAATCGAGGAGTAGTAGCAGCGGCCATGGCGGATCCGGGAGCCCTAATCCTGCTCGAAGATCCATGGAATCTAGTAACAGTGCCCACGGAGCGAGATCTCCCTTGCATCCCAGAGCAGGAGCAGCGGGCAGTGGAGCTAGAAAGCCTCCGGGCGAGGCCACTCCCACCAGGAAATCCCACAGTCGATTCGTGGATCCAGTTGAGTTTTTCTGTAGAGTTAGGCCTAGCTAGGTAGAGTGTGATCTTCGATTTTTGTTTCTCTTGGTGCGTGCGTGCATTGGTGGACTGGTCAATTCTTAAAGACCGAGCGTGACTTTTTTTGACTTTTTCTCTCTTTGTCTTCTTGGGCTAGTTTCTTCCGCGATCTAATCCGCAAACTTGTTCTTTGTTTTTGGCGACTTCCAGCCGGAGCGCGTGGCGGCGCCGCTGCCCAAGTTCGGGCAATGGGACGTGAACAATCCCTCCTCGGCCGACGAGTTCTCGGCGATCTTCGAGGACGCTGTGGTGGAGAAGAGGGGCGATTCCAGAGGGGGAGGGATTGCGTATGGCTACTCCGACCGCGATCGCTCGTCGTCTTCGTTTGACAGGAAGAAGCCCAAATCGATCACGGTAACGATGCTGCTAAAAATCTCTCTTTTGCCCTCAAAATCGATTGGATTGATCCTCGCAGGAACGATTGTGCTGCTGCTTCACGCCGAGAATTGGCTAGGTTGGAGAAAGTTTGTGGAGTTTTCTCGGTTTTTAGGATAATTACAAAAAAAAATGTAGCAACGGTCAAGTGACACGTCATCTGCCACGTGGGATTCCCCCCATTCCCATTTTGAATGCTCCTCCTGTGTAATTGCTCCATCCAGCCGCTAGAACCCTAATCGCGGGGGAGCTCGACCGCATCCATGCCGAACAAGGCGTCCTCCTCGTCCTCCAGCGGCCGCCACAACAAGGTATTCGTGCTGCAGAGGAGTCTAGGGAGCTCACCGGTGCTGGAGGGCAGCTATGGCGAGCAAATCGGGATCCCTGGGCACCAGAGCGGCCTCGTCGGGGTCTATGTCTCGGAAGAACAGGCCTACGCCGCCGTGATCCAGCGCCAGGTCGCCGGGATGGAGCAGATCGCCGGGAGCATGCTCACGGATCTGCGCAAAGTGGTGTCGGTCAAGGGGCTGTCGTTCAAGGAGCGCTACAAGAAGATGCTCGAGTGGGTTCGCGACTGCGATTGGTACAGGGTCGCCGACGCCGTGAGCTTCCAGATCAAGGAGTGCCCGCTGGTGCCGTTTGAGAAGGTGAACGAGTCCAAGCTCTTCGATGGCGTCCAGGATCTCCAGTCGGCGGTGTCTGACAATGGGTCTTTCGTGGACGACGAGGAGGACGATGAGCTCTACGACGAGGCTGGTGTTGGCGGCAAGGGAGGAGGAGCCAAGAAGAGGAGATATGCGCACTACTAGCTCAAGGTGCTGTATTGCATTTCTTCTTGGATTGTTTATCTAGTTTTTTAGCTTCCTTTCCTCTGTTTTCTCTCATGCTTTGCTGCTTGCAAAGGTCATGACTCATTCATAGCTAGCTAGAATTGTTTGTCTCGCTCAGTTGGAGCCAGCGTCCACAGTTGAGTGAGGCATTCCAGTGTTCTTTCTAAGATGCAATGCAAGTTGTGCTCTTAATTTATTTGCAACGGTGTGGAACGTCACTGACTGTTTTGGCATCTTTTAACTAATTTCTAGTTCTCCAAGTTGGTCCTCTGGATGGAATTGAGTCATAGTTTTCTGCAAGTTACAGGCAGGCGTGATTCCTGGAGAACTATGGCATAGGCAATCGGTACGTACCATTTTTTATCTATCGTATGCTGTTTTGAGTTTTGAGGTGCCCATCAAGAAGCATGGACTACTGACATCAACTTGTTTGCAGGATTTCTGTCCTTTACGATAACGCGGCCACAGTGAACTGTGGCAAAATCGCTCTCGAGCGTCACGTGGGTGAATTCCGTAGTCAATACAGCTACTAGGCTTCTTGTTTCTCATTTTGCCATGGCTGCTTGGGCTGAACGACTGTGGGATTTTGAGTCCTCTAGTGCTCTGATTGATCATTATTTCGATGCCCCCAGTTTTTGTAAGGATGCAGCTGCTGCTCAGGCTCCACAAACTCCGGATTATCGTAAGAAGCTCCGCGTCGTGGGGTCCAAACGAGAAAGCCACGTCTTGGGCGAGCGAGAGAGGAGGAAGGAAATGAATCAGCTGTTTGCACGGATGGAAGCTGTGTTGCCTGAGCCACCTCCAAAGGTAAACGCATCCACTCAGTGCCACTAATGAGGGCCAAACTTCTTGTCTCTCACAGATGACCAAGCCAGCTTTGGTGGACGAGGTTCTAAAGTACATTCAAGAACTACAAGTCGAGCTCGAAGATCTTTCCGAGAAACGAAAGGCCGCACAGAAGGCAGCGCAGATGCGACGTGCTCTCCATCCAACACCAGCGCCAAATGTGGCTGTGACTATGTGCGGAAGCAGTGCACTCGTGACTGTGATCAGCAAACGGCAGCAAGACCTCTTCAGCAAGATTCTTCATTTGGTAACCAGGTTTCAAGTGGAACTGGTCGGCGCGAGCGTCTCTACTGCTAGTTCATCCATGTTTCATCACATTCATATCAAGGTAAACATCCCCCTTTGTTCCTCGGTTTTCTCCTCACATTGCGTCTGGCAGGCTTGTAAGCAGGATTTCTCTTCCGAGGCTCTTGAAGAGGCTCTCCGGCAGCTGGTTAGTAGATGATACATCACTACCTATTGAGTGTCCCTTCCGGAAGAATCACACAATTAAATTACAGGCAGTTTGTCATCACATAGAATAAGTTTGCAATCTCACAAGGTATATATATTAGTACCACCATGAAACAAAGCTTGAACAGAGTAATGTGTGATTTTCAAGTGAGATTTCGGAGGAACTCGGCCGCGGTCGCAATCGCTCCGCCAGTAATCGCGCTTGAAATGACGCGCTCGTGGGTCACGTTTGAATCGGTCAGCGACAGTGCCGCTCCCGTCAATGCTCCACCCAGCAATGCGTTCTTCTGCGCACCCAAGAACAATTGTTTTTAGAAAAAATCGTCATAAAAAAACTAGAAAAATCGAGAACCCAGTCATGGACTCCGCGAGCTTCCTGCATCGTGTAGGTCATTCCCGAGTAAATCCCAGCCACCATTCCTGGAGAGCGAGCAAGCATTTGATCAAAAGCGTGTAAGAAACGCTTTAGAGGAGACGAGTTGTTTACCCCACTGCAAGCACTCCTTCCCCATTTGATTCACCTGGAGACCAGCAAAAGAAAATTGAGATTTTGGTAAAGTTTTCAATAGTGAATAAAGAATCCTTACCGATTTCTCGAGAGACCTCTTGTCAGCACTCTCTGCCGCAAGCACAAAGCCCTGTTAGCACAATGCTGAGGAGTATATCCAATCCACATACCTTGAGAAACGTAGCGCATGGACTCTTGGGCTGCCGCATGGAGGGCGCCGGTCTGTGGATGGAAGATTAGAGAGAGAAGATTGGAACTATCAAGCTATTCCATGGCTCACCCCTCCGACTTTGATGAATCCATCCACAATCCGGTTGAGAAGAGGATGCCCCATGTCGATCAAAACATCCACATTGGGTCCATCGAAGCTAGTGTTGACGCGTGCTTGCGGCATTTTTCCCTCTCCTGGATTGATCGATTCTAGCAGTTACTGCGCAATCTTAAAAATTTCTCTAGAACAGTGAAGGACAGGGGCTAGAAGGGCAACGCTGGGTTTTGATCTACGAGATATCTTCTTCGGTGCAACACGTGTTCGCTCCTTAGCGGTGCTGGAGCATGCAAGTGTGACGCGTGCCCTATGACATTGCTAGCCAGCGTGGCGTAGGATATTCGTATACTTTAGGGATTTACCTTTAGGGTTTAAGCGCAAGGGCAAAAGTGTCATTCTCTAAAGCCCTAGCTATGGCGGGAGCTTCGAAGCGATCGCCTCCTCCGCCTCCTCCTCCTCCTCCGGCATCGGCCCCAGCGCCCGCGGCGTGCCAGGTACAATGTGCCGGATGCCGATGCGTGCTCAATGTGCCTCCCGGAGTGATCGAGTTCCGCTGCCCCAAATGCAAGCTCGCGCAAATGCTGCCCCCGCAGCTCCATCCCCAGGTGATGCTGCCTCCGCCGCCGCCGCTGCCTCATCTTCCGCCGCCGCCGCGGCCATCGTCGGCTCCTCCGCGTGCTCCCGCGGATTCTTCCAAGATACAGCTTCCCTGTGCGAATTGCCGGGCCGTGCTGAGCGTCCCGCCCGATCTGTCCAGGTTTGTGTGCCCGCAGTGTAGGGTGGAGCTCGCAGTGGATCCCGCGAAGCTCGCGGGGTACATGAACTCGCTGGCTCACCTTTCCTACTTGAGCGCGGGCAACAAGGACGTGGATGAGCCTCTTTTGTGGAACAAGTTTGGCGATGCTTCTTTGGAAGAAATTAACGAGGTAAGATCGTTTGCATGGGAAGGAAATGCTTATATCTTTGTTCTTTTGATGAGCTTTCCAGGTAGCTCTAGAAGTGGAGAAAGAAGAGGATGAGAATGGAACGGTTGGAAATACTTTCATGGACTACGTGAGTAATGCCTGTTTCTTCTCTAGTGGTTCTGACTAGTACTACTTTGTGTAGAGGCCATCGAAGTTGTCGATCGGTCCACCACATCCCGATCCGATCGTGGAAACTTCATCACTTTCGTCAATCCAGCCTCCAGAGCCTACATATGGCCTCAGAATTGCCAAAGAAATGGAGGATTTGGGAGCACTATCATGCCTGCAGTTGGAGACATTAGTATATGCATGCCAGGTAGGCTTTGTTGCCTTCGAACTATCTTATCAAAATGTTTTATAGAGGCATCTTCAACATCTGGCCGATGGAACTCGAGCAGGATTTTTTGTAGGAGATGGTGCTGGGGTTGGGAAGGGTAGAACAGTAGCTGGACTTATCTGGGAGAACTGGAAGCATGACAGGCACAAAGCCTTGTAAGGTTTGCTTCGACATGCCTCACTTGGAAACCTGGTCTTCATGTTGTTCGCAGGTGGATCTCTGTCGGATCAGATCTTAAATTTGATGCTCGGAGGGATCTGGACGATATCGGCGCTACTAGCGTAGAAGGTTTCTTGTATACGAATATCATTACAGCTGATGTGTCTCGTGTATGCAGTGCACGCTTTGAATAAGCTTCCATACGGAAAACTTGATTCCAAGGCGATAGGGGTGAAAGAAGGCGTCATATTCCTGACATACAACAGCTTAATCGCTTCGTCTGAGAAAGGCCGTTCCAGGCTACAGCAGCTTATACAGTGGTGTGGACCAGACTTCGATGGACTGATTACTTTTGACGAGGTTCGTCCCTTGTGTTAGTTGCATTCTGTTTTCATATTTTTATATTCTAGTGTCATAAAGCCAAGAACTTGATCCCCGACAGTGGAACTCACGCTACTCGAACGGGTGAAGCAGTTGTCGAGATTCAAGTGGGAATTGATCTTCTTTGTGGTTTATAATTGATTAATCTATGTATCTCGCAGAAAAGGCTTCCTGAAGCACGAATAGTATATTGCTCGGCGACGGGAGCATCAGAACCTCGAAACCTGGGCTACATGTGTCGCCTGGGGTTATGGGGAAAAGGAACAGACTTCCCTCATTTTCACGCTTTTCTTGGTATGCTTTCGCTATGTTTTTCTCCTTAGAACCCGGGTTTTGCAGCGGCTTTAGAAAAAAGAGGAGTCGGCGCACTGGAGTTGGTAGCAATGGACATGAAAGCCAGGTCAGTGTTAAGCTACTTAGCTACAATGAGAAAATGGTTTTTCTGCGTTCCGCAGGGGAATGTATGTGTGTCGGACCTTGAGCTTTCAAGGCGCAGAATTTGAAGTTGTTGAGGTTCCGCTAGAAGCTGCAATGAAGGTAAAACAACATTGTGTTTCATCATAACTGGTGAAACGTTTTGATTTAACAGGACATGTACGCAAAAGCCACGCGCATTTGGGGTGATTTACGTGTTGAATTTATGCAAGCTTCTGAGCTCCTTCAAGATAAGAAGCCTTTAAATCAATTATGGAGAGTGTTCTGGGCAAACCATCAGGTACTCCATCAATACTCTCTACCTTAACTGAATCATTGTTCATTGTTTCCAGCGGTTTTTTCGACATATGTGTATGTCCGCGAAGGTCCCAGCTGTTGTACGATTGGCAAAGCAAGCCTTGTCTGAAGGAAACTGTGTTGTCATTGGATTGCAGAGCACGGGAGAAGCCCGCACAGAAGAAGCAATAAGCAAATACGTAGGCATTAGTCCTCTTGCCATATAAAACACTGACTGTGAACAAATCTCAGGGTGCTGAACTCGACGATTTTGTTTCGGGTCCCAAAGAGCTTCTTCTGAAGCTGGTTGAAGACTATTATCCACTTCCACAGCAATGTAAAGGTAATATTTTATATTCGTAAGCCTCCCGAGGTTGTATTTTTTTTTTCTCTCTCTCTCTTTTTTCGCTTGGAAGATGGCAGCGACAATGACGCTTTGGACGAAAACGATATGGAAGCGAGAAAAGCTAAGCCCAAAGATGGTTTAAGTGGCGATGAGGAAGAAGAATTTGAAAGTAAACCTTTTCTTCTTCTTCTTTTATTGATTTGTAAGTTCCTATGTCAGCGGAATGTGAGACCGATTCTAGCGGAAGTGAAGAAGAGACCAAAACTTGCAATGTTTGCGCCGTGGAGAACGTAAGAATCTTTATGAACTTACGATGTATATCTAATTTTGTGCGCATGCGTTTTAGAGAACGCTCAAACTCCTGGATTGTGCACTCTGTGGTATGACGGTTCATTATCAGTGTCTTCCAACTTCAATTGCGGAAACTGCTGAACCAAAATGGTTATGCCCTCCTTGCGCTGACGAGTTGCGTGAAATACGGCAGGCGCGGAAACTCTACTTCTCTGAACTTCGGCGCAGGTACATCTCGGTGATGATCTCGAAACGAACTAACTACATTACAGACACGCAGAAGCGAAGTCAAGAAAAATGGCAGCTTTGGAGGTCATCCGTTCCCTGGATTTTCCAAACAATCCTTTAGATGATATTATTGATCAGGTGCTCCCGTCCGAAGCGTCTTAACGGAAGTCACTCTTTGTTTATTGTCTCAGCTCGGAGGTCCCGATTGCGTAGCCGAGATGACTGGACGTAGGGGAATGTTAGTCCGTGCCTCAAATGGCAAAGGTGTCGTCTATCAAGCTCGAAATACGTAAGTCTGCTTAGCACTTTTGTATTTTGAACATAGTTTGTTTTAGGAAGGATGTTCCGATTGAGATGATAAACATGCACGAGAAGCAGCAGTTTATGGATGGGAAGAAACATATTGCCGTTATTTCTGAAGCTGCTTCTGCTGGTATATCTCTGCAAGCTGACCGTCGAGCAATCAATCAGGTTGGATTTTTGGACCGTGTCATTTCGTATAATCATCTGTTCCTGTAGCGTCGAAGAGTACACGTTACGCTAGAACTGCCATGGAGTGCCGATCGGGCGATTCAGCAGTTTGGCAGGACACATCGGTCGAATCAAGCTTCTGCTCCACAATACAGGTGTTTGAAATAATAGCTAACACGATTCTCACATTGCGTTTTTCACAGGCTGCTCTTTACAAACCTTGGTGGAGAACGTCGATTTGCGTCCGTAGTGGCCAAGCGCTTGGAAACACTTGGCGCACTCACTCAGGGGGATCGTCGGTGTGTACATTTTTGAAATTGAAACAGTTCTCTATTAACAGTGCTTTTCACATCAGAGCTGGTCCGTCACTGAGTGCGTTTAATTATGACAGTGCTTATGGGAAGAAAGCGTTATCTATGATGTACAAATCTGTCATGGAACAGGTATGAGTTTCTTTCAACTATTCAGTATTTTACTACTTTCTTTCAGGTTGATTTACCCGTGCTTCCACCTGGTTGCACTTCTGGTAACAAGGAGGTGGTGAGAAATTTTCTCATGGAAGCAAGGGCTGTGTTGCTAGCTGTGGGGATAATTCGTGACGCATTTCCAAGTGAGACTTTGTTATTTTAGATCTTGTTTTCTATAATTGCATCTATGGCAGTGGACTCCGAGGATAGGCGGCCATCTGGAAGAATCGCCGAGGGTGATATGCACGATGTAGCGCGCTTTCTGAACCGACTTCTAGGTGTTCCACCGGATGTGCAAAATTGGTACGACTGTTTCGTATAATCACAGTTTTGAGGTTGGATATGCAGGCTATTTGAGTACTTCGTTACTATTTTTGACGAGCTCATTCACGATGCTCGCAAGGAGGGACAATTTGATTCCGGAATTGTCGATATCAAAGCAAGAGTTATCGAACTACAGGGCCTACCAAAGGTAAACTGTTCGCCGTGGTCATCGCACTTAGTATCTTTGGTGGTATTTATGCAGACAGTTCATGTTGACCGGATGTCAGGAGCTCCTACTACACATTCTGTGCTTTTGATTGATCGGGGTTTAACATTTGAGGTAAGCTTCTTTAATTGCTGCATATACTTAACCCTTTCTGATAGGCCGCATGTCTAGAGTTGGAACGTGCGAGCGGCAAAGATAAATTTGTAGATAATGGATTTTACAAATCCAAGCGAGAATGGCTTGGTCGGATACACTTTCTGCTAGCAATTGAAAGGTAATTTGACTTTGGGGAGCTTGCATTGTTTCTGAAACACATGTCTAGGACGGTCTACTGCCCCGTGCTTTTAAAATTCTTCGTCCTTCTACCGGGGAAGCCTTAAGGTAATTGCTGGTTTTGTTAAAGCTGCTGAAGAGTTTATTGTAATGCAGAGAAATGCCATCTACAGAACTCTTTGCTAAGTATGAGAAAGTGAACCTCAACGATCAAGTAAAAGAAGGATGGATACAGGATTACACATTGTCTGCTCAACAGGTAACTATTAAGAACGATACTCATAATTCTCAATGCTGTTATTTGGTTAGTGTACCCACGGACCACAATGCAAGCTTGGAGCTGCATGCACTGTCGGGAAACGCGTACAGGAAGTCCATATTCTCGGGGGTTTGATACTTCCCGTTTGGGGCAGCGTGGAAAACTCCCTTGCAAAGCAGGTATGTTGACACAATATTCAGAAGACCTTGAGACTCACTTGAGCTGCAGGACCGGGCTGCTCACCGGAGATTGAGAGTCGCCCGGTTAGAAACAACATCCTCTGACAGGACGAGGGTCGTGGGCCTCCATATTCCAACTATTGCAATTAACGCCGTCTTAGAAGGTGTCTAACATTGTTTCAATGTTTAACGTATTGATTTTGTGCTTGTATTTTGCAGGCCTGGGATGGCTGCAAAACTAATCTTAAGGTATACAGGTCAAAGTTTTTACTCTGACAGGAACATAGTTTTTGGACTCATTTGCCATAGAGCGCCTTATTTGGTGGAGACATCGTACAGTGAAGTGCTAGAGTCAAATTCCTCGTCTCATATCCCATATGCCCTGCAAACCTAACAACGTCTTTCTCCACACCACCATTCCCTTTGAGCGCCAAGTGAACAGTAACATAACCTGGTGAAATTAACTTACAGATAATCCTCATCTTTTTCTCCTTTAAAACTCAGGACATCTTCAGCTTCTCATCAGTGCCTTGGTTCATCATCCAGGAGCACTCAATCACAGCATCAGTTCAACTTTTGGTACTGTGGTCACTAAACGAATAATAGTTGCAGATCCTTTTCCTCCCTTTGCTTGCCTCCACAAACTGTGATGTAATTGGCTTCCACCTTTCACATTCAGTTCTTGCGGGATGCGTGACACTCATGGGGATTGGGCATTACAGGGTTGACATGCTTGAGAAGTGTGTGGACATGAGCATAATGCTTCCAGACATCACTGGTTGTGGAGAAACTCGCCAAGACCGCAGTTTAGCCTTTTCGTTAACAGATCAAGGTGTATGTTCTTTTGGTGAGATGGCTGCGAGGAGCTCTGTGATTGGTTATGATCGCTGAACCATGCCTAAACCCTAATCTTTTTTCCAAATAACCGAATAAGAATGTTCTTTGGATAAGTGAAAGCGTAACTAGGGTTTAGCAGGCCATGGCGATCTTGTACTTTGATGGCGCATGCTCGGGCAACGGTACCGGAAACACGGTGGCTGGCTATGGTTTCGTGCTGGTGAGTAAAAAAGGTAACGTGATCTTCGAGGGCTCCGACTTCTTTGCATTCGGCACCACAAGCAACCAAGCCGAGTACAGAGGCCTGATTGCGGGTTTGCAAAAGGCACAGGACCTGGGTATTCGCAACATCCACATTCGAGGGGATTCAGAGCTCGTTGTGAATCAGGTTCTTTGTTTTCGTTTTCCCTGTTCTTTGGACCCGTTGGTTTTCGTTGTAGGTGTTGCAACGTTGGAGGACCAGAAACCCATTACTCCAGACGTGCTTAAACTACGTTCACCAGCTTTTGGAAGGAACAAGATGGGAAATTGAACATGTTCCTCGTGAAAGTAATCGACACGCAGATTCGCTTGCACGCCAGGGCCTGTGCAAGACCCAGGAAGATTACTCGTATGGAAGAGAAGAAATCGTACTGAATTGCCAGGAAGAGGACAGTGCCTGGCTGTACGTGTTGAGCCAACGTGTGCACGGATACTGGAGAATACGCTACATTCTGGATGTTCTTCAAGAGGAGGTCCCACACGTTTTCAATCAAGTTCTGGATCGAGCCGATGAACTACAGAACGAGGAGGATCCTGAATGTTGTACAACATGTCTTCTGGTTATGTCCTAAAGCACATAAAGCTTGGTCGCTTTGCTGTAGTTTCTGGTACAAGGTTGATCATCAAAGTTCAATTGACAACGAAGGGCCTGCAAGACATTGCGCAAGGAACTCAGTTATGTAAGATTCCTATATAAGCACGCCCGAATATGATCATCCAAAACTTAACAATAAAGGAAACATCGCTTCAGACTGCGAGAGTTTTCTTCTTTTCTTCAGTGGATTTCGGGGAATTTGTCGCAATCGTGGGCGTGCTTGCTGGAGCTCCACCTCCCGACGTCGCCGTCCCAAAGGGTGTGCTAATCGGCGGCGCCGTAAAGGAAGTGCTTGCTCCTCCGCCCAAAATCGGCGCCGCCGTGGCTCCTCCGCCAAAAATGGACGACGGCGCTCCTCCTCTGCCAAAAATTGTCCGCATGGGGTGCTTGCTTGCACCGCTGGAGCTCCGGAAGTATTCGGTGTGAAGAGCAAGGGCGGGAAGGCTGACGACGTTTTCTTGCTCTTGAGATGCGCCGCCACCTTTTCGAGCACCGGATTGGAGCCACTGTTCGTCCCCAGCACCAGTGTCAGGAGCTCGCCGACGTTGCTCTCCTTCTCCCGATCCATCATCAGCCCCTTAATCTCGCCCAAGAGCCTGTGATCCTCCACGCCCAAGTGGAGCTTCAGAGTCCTCTTGAGCATCTGGAAGCCGCTCGCGTCCATGGCCGCGTAGAAATCGATCCGGCCTGGCAGCCCGGGAAGACGGTGTCCGGCTTGGATTTGCTGGCAATTGATCCCATGAACACAGATCACTGCCCTCCTAGATTGCCATGAGCTCGCCACCAAGCCAGTGTAAACATTGTAGCTGAGCTTGTTGGCTATGGCGGCCATAAGCTGCTCGTTGCCACTTGCCTGGCAGCCGAAGACAAGGTAGCTCCTCTTTTATGCCTTCCTAATGTTCCCAAAGTCTAAATATTAATAGAGATCATAAGGTGAAAGCTCCACCAAAAGTATAATAAAGATAAATTATACAATTTCATTAGATACTAACTTGTTTTATATAATTGAAAGAACTCTTGATTATAATTTTTGTTCTCAAGATTGGCCTTGTTAATAGTGCTAATGTTACTCACATCATCCACTTGCTTTTTACTTCTCATCAAAACCTTCCCACAAACACCTTGGCTAGCTTCTGCTTCCATGGAGCAATTCAGGAATTAACACGTGGCAGCTTTTACCTGTTGACACTTAGCTAACACGTGGCAGAAAATAGAATATATGTCGTACAGTTAATTCGTTTCTTTTGCACAGAAAAAAGAATGGAGAGCGCCTGCATTGTCCTTTGCTACTTTGGAGATTGACAAAGCATCCAGGTAGTGGAAGGATGACTTCAACAAGGACTTGAATCTTAACGTAATACTCAAGCTTGAGGCCATACTTTGGCTTCCCTTGTAGATTATGGTAAGTTTGCTAGCTGCAAGTTCGATTGATCCTGTTTGGAATGCCGAATTCTTCGTTTGCCGAGCACAGAATAGGCATTTGCGAGCAAGACGTAGGCAGCTGCATTCTTGGGATCCAAATCTAGCAGGCTTCTCGCGGCGCCTTGTCCAAGCCGGAGATCATTGTAGCTTCTGCAAGCTCCCAGCAAGCACGTCCACTCCAAGGCGTCGGGAACGAAGGGCATGCTGTGGAGAAGATCTCTAGCTTCCGAAAGATATCCTGCCCTGCTCAGGAGATCGACCATGCAACAGTAGTGCTGCTTGGACGCCGCCAATCCATAGTCGAGCCTCATGGAGATGAACCAGCAGCGACCAAGATAAACTTTCCCCCCGTGGCTGCAAGCCACGAACGCCGCCAGGAAGCAAACGTCGTCCGAGAAGTCGATCGAGTCGAAGAGCTCCAGAGCTGCGGCGTAGTGCCCCTTTTGGACGTAGACCACTAGCAGAATCGTCCACGAGACAAGGCTCCGTTCCGGCATCTCATCAAACACTTTCTTCGTGGATTCCACTAATCCGGCATGGGCATATGCCGAGAGCATCACGTTCCACGACACTGAGCTCCTCAGTGGCATCTCGTTGAACGTTCTCACGGCCTCCTCAAGATGCCCATTCTCGGCATATGCCGCGAGCATTGCCGTCCAGGATACCAAGCTGTGTTGTGGCATCTGGTCAAAAGCGTGCTTGGATTCCTCGAGCCTTCCTCTGCGGGCATACGCGACGGTCAACGCAGTCAGCGAGACGAGATCGACACGCGGCATGCGGTCGAAGAGATCCTCGGCTTCCCGCAGATGCCCGTTTTTGGCATACACTGCGAGCATAGCGTTCCACGAAACTACGTCTTTCTCGGGCATTTCGGAAAAGATGCGTTTAGCAAATTTCACATTCTCTTCATGGGCGTAGGCAGTCAGCATTGTACTCCACGAGACGAGGTTGTGCTCGGGCATGACGTCGAAAAGCCTCTTGGCCTGCAGTACATGCCCGCTCGAGGCATATGCCGACAGCATAGAGTTCCAAGAGAAGAGATTCCCGTTTGGCATGGATTCGAATATCCGCCTGGCCTGTACGACAGCGCCGCATTGTCCGTAAGCGTGAAGCATTGCCGTCATGGCAACGAGATTATGCTGTGGCATCGAATCGAAGGTTCTCTTTGCTGCCTCCAAATGCCCAGTAGTGGCATATGCTGATAGCATCGAAGTCCAGGTTACAATGTCTCTCTCCGACATTTCGTCAAACATTCTCTTGGCCGATTCGAGATCTCCACGCTGCGTGAAAACGTCCAAGATCGCCGTGGAGGAGACCCTCTCGTGTTCCGGCATCTGGTCAAAGATAAGCTCGGCTTGATCCAGATGCCCATGACGAACATACACTGCGAGCATCTCGTTCCACGCAACCAGATCTCTCTGGGGCATTGAATCGAAGAAAATTCCAGATTCTAGCAGCAAATCCTTGCATGAGTACGCTGTGAGCATCGCGCTCCAGGACACTAGCGTTTTCTGCGGCATTGATTCGAAGACTCTCTTGGCCTCTTCCAGATGCCCCATGGCGGCATACGCCGACAGCATCGCGTTCCAGGCGACGAGATCCCTCTGTGGCATTCCGTCAAAGAGCTCCCTGGCATGGATCCATCGCCCGTGCCTGGAGTTTGCCGCCAGCATCGTCGTCCAGGAGATCAAGCTCTTCCTCGGCATGGCATGGAAGATCGCCTCCGCCTCGGCTAGGCTCCCGTTCCTCGCGTAAGCGCACAGCATCAGGTCCCAGCTCATCGAGTTCTTGGCGACGATCCTCTCGAACACCGCCCTCGCGTTCTTGGCGCTCCCACACTTGCCGTGCATCTCGATCAGCTTGTTGGAGACGAAGGGATCGAGCCGGAGCGAGAAGGGGATGCGATCTTCGATGCTCCTGGCGGCGGGGGCTGTCCGGCAAGACCGGATGAGCGCAAGGCATTGCTCGCGATCCATCCATCGAGAACAAGGATGATCCTAAATCTCAGCCATTGGAAAAGAATATCCGATCCCTTTGAATCTCAGCCGTGGATCTACACCCAGAAGGCGAGTAATGACATTAAGGTAGCTCCAGTGAAGAGCGAGAGCAACGACAGCGTTTGCAGCCTGTGGTCACACCTCATTCTTTTGCTGAGAAAATCCGCTGCGATGAGATTTACAAGCGCCATGTACACTAGAATCCCCGCTGACACCGAGTAGAACACCCCCTCCACCACCAAAGCTTTTACGCTTTTTGGATTGTACACTTCCGAGATCCCAATTCCAATGGCTATTCCACCCGGAGTCGTGATCGCGAAGAACACTGCCATGATTACCACGGACAGCGGCTTGAAACCGGCCTGTGGAGTTCTGGAATTTGAGAAAGAATTGAGGGAAGAAAGGGAGATTTTACCTGAGAGATACATCCTCCAAGCGCAAATCCCTCGAAGAACTGGTGAAACGAGAGTGCCCCTAGGAGTGGCCTGATCGTGCATGGGCTTTGCGAAACACCCAGGGACAAGCCGATGATGATCGAGTGTGTTATGATACCGAGCTCCAGCACCTAGAAACTCTTCGAATCAATCTCAAGGAAACGGAAGGAAGCGAACGCAAACTTACTTGCGAGATGATGATATGCCGGATGCGAGCAAACTCGTCGTCCTCGTCACTGAAACTGGCAGAATGCGCGTGCCCGAGGTGCTCGAAACCGAGTTCCTTGCCGTGTAGTCCCTGAGGATGGCTGTGACTGTGAGAGGCAGCGTGAGCGTGCATCCCAACAATGTGAAGCTTGGGTTGGGAGCCATTACTCTCGGCCCCTGCTTCCACGTCCAAGTCTTGGTCCTCCAGCGAGCTTGAACTTGCGTGCTTATGGTGCCTTCTCTCGAAAAACCCCGTGCTGAGAAGATCCACCACCAAAGTTGCCATGGCTGAGAACATCGCTATGAAGCCTCCAAACGGGAACCTCTTCCACGGTATCTCGGGCAGGCACTCGCTCTGGAGGACCAGCATCGCGTCGGGGAGGATGTGCACGAAGGCCGTCGCTAGAATCACTCCCGCCGCCAGAGCCTTGGCAATGAGGAAGAACCCACGGTCCGTCCTCAAGCACGTCAACCTCTTGCCGAGAAGTGGCAGAGCTACGCCCATAACGCCGGTTACCAGGATCGTCACCATCGCCAAGATCTTAAGGAACAGTGCCTCCCCTTCGTTCCGACAACCACCATCGCCGTCACTCTCGCACATAGCCGCGGCTGCTGTTCTCACTGTACCTGGTTGGAATCGAAGAAAAAAGAAAGAAAAAGAAGTGAGTCCACGCACGGGTTTTCAAAGGCTAGTCTAAGGAACGCTCAGCGGGAATCCTAAAGCTTCGCGAGAGCGGCATAGCATAGCGTTAAGCAATTTCAGTACCTGCAGCGTCGAGAATTCTCTCCGGGAGGTTTAGCAGGCAAGGCCCGAGCACTCGCAGCAAGATATTTGACGGAAGACTTATCATTTTCTCCTCCCCTAAGTTAAATTTGTTCCTTGGAGAGCGACGCACACCTCTAAGCAGTCGCTACCAAAAAGACGTGAAAGTCTCACCTGATGTCATCACGCACCAAAGCGATCGGCCAATTCCTACCTGAGGAAGGGGAGAGACAAAGGAAAAAGGATAAGGGATAAGGGAGGTGTGAGAAAGAGCTTCCGCAATGGAGTCATTCTTCCTACCAGCGATCATCCCATCGTCGCCACGATCCCTTCCTTCTTTCCCACTTCAATAATCCGCGCGCTGCACAGCATTCCTGGACTCGCAGCCCCCGGCGGCGTGAAAATTTCAAGAAGGAAGGCGCCGATTCTCCAAAGATTTACCTCGTTTGATCAAGCGCTGGCGCGCTCCAGCTGCGCAGCGAATCGCTCCGCTCTCTCTGGCGACGAGCGCATTGTAGCACACTTGGTTGCGTGCCCTCATTGTAGCGCGGCTTTAAACTTTTAGAGCTCGGAAGGCCGCACGTCCACGCGCCGGCAGAATGTCGACACTCTCTCTTTTATTTTTGGCTTGTACGGAATCACACTTATCCACTAATCGAACCCTCACTATACACAGTAGCAGCCTATCGCTTGGATTGGATTGTTCGCATCATCCTGTATGGAAAAAGGAGGAGCAAAACAAACAACTTAGCTCAGCCATGCGTTTGGAATCGATCGTACCTCGAAAGAAGGCCAAAGTTTTTGGAGGATGGATGGTACTACAAGCCTGTTCTTTCAGTGCCGGCCCGTGATCGCAGGAGAAAGGAGATCACTCACTCGTGATGGCAGTCCTCGACGCTGAAGTCCTCGTACAGGAGCACTCCCTCTGACGAGTAGTGGAGGGAATAGTAGCAGCTGTCGCAGAAGAAGCAGGGATTTGACGGGGCGAGCTTGTCGTCGCGGACGATCTTCCTGGCCCGGTACACGGAGCAAATGCTGCACTTGCGGTAGCGGAGGCGAGGGAGGAATCTGAGCACCGGATAAGTTGACGGACTCCGAGCATCGTCTTCATGGATCAATCTCATGTCTCGAATCACGAACACATGCTTGCAATCGCCCTGTGAAGACAGACATCCATTAAGTCAGGTGAAAGAAGAAAGAAAGTACTTGCCTGATGGCAGTAGAGGTACTTGGACCCCAGCTTAAAGTTGAGATCGCGAAAGTGCGTTTCTGCCATGTTCGCCTTTTTAAATGAGGGAAGCTTTGAAAGCTTGCTCCTCGAGCGCCTCGTCTGTCGAGCATCGTCTTGTTTCGCTATCCAGCTGATTATGTTTTCACTGTAATCGACGGCGTCTGGGTGTCGCATGTCATTGTAGAATACATCCTGTGCAGCAATGTCAGCTCGACAGACACCAAAAAAGAGTTTTAAACCATCGAACCTCTATAAGTAAGTATCCCGACGGAGATGCCACCCTCTTTTTTCTCGCCAGCTCGTCCGTCAGACAGTGGAGTTGATCCCTGAATTCACAAAGCGACTGTCTACCAAGAACAACCAGCTCTTGAATCTGTATTTTTCTCCGATGTTAGAAGGACCAGAAAAGAGAGATGGCGACATACCTTCAAATTTGTCCCATTGTGGAAATCTATCGAGATTAAAACTTCACCACCAGGGGCTATTTCGTTGCCCTCAGTCAAAGATAACGGCGAGGTTGGCTGCAGGAAAAGCTTAAGTACTTCGTTTACGTTTTAGAACTCTGATTTACCTCTTCTATCAGTGAAGTCACAAACCTCAATGGACCAGCAGTTCGAAGCCTTCTGCCGAAGCGTCTGGTATCACCTTGCGCTTGAGTTTCAGTCACACTGGAGAGAAAGAAGAAAGAGCAATCAGTACTTGCGCTGGAACACCCAGAGAAATATTACCGGAGCGAATGCAGGGTGGCAGCCGCATTTGCCTTCGCTGTGTTTCGCTCTTCGATCAGCCTGTGAAGCATGCTTTCGACTTGAGGATCCTGAATACAATTCATACCAAAGCATGAGAATACAAAAGAGAAGAAAACGAAAACGGTTACCGTTTGCAAGGTCGCTCTAGAGAGTCCATCGCAAGGTCTCCCAGTTCTTGCACCTCTTCGTCTCCTCTCCGATTGTGCAAGTATACTGGCGTGGTTCGTGAGACAGATTTCTCGCTACGAAAAGAGGTGTAAAGGGGGAAGAAATCAAAACAAGTGACTTACCGTAGACGTGTTCTCAACAGCTATGTTGATGAGATCGTCGGGGCTAAGAAACTTGAGATCGTCCACCCTTCAGGAAAACAAAACACTCTGAGCACACGAGATTTCTTTCATCCTACCTTATTTGTTCATCCATTTCCATACATTCGTCGCCAATCTCTGCTTCCAAAGCCTGGTAAGCGCCAGTCATAAGAAAAAAAAAATTAACACAAAGCGATCGCACCTCGAGCAGCGCTTTGCACGAGCTATGGTACTCGGCCACTGAGACCAGCGGCGATTCGTAGCCTAAGACGTCGAGAGGGCCTCCGCGGGCACCCATTGCTCGCCAAAACCCTAATGACTGACTCAAGAACCCTAAAAACAGAGAATTCTCTTTTTCATTTATTTATTGGCTGCCTTTGGTTTTGGTTTCCATTTTCTATGTCGGTTTGGGCCTGATTCGGGACGCCAAGCTCTTCCTCAGTGATCAAGCCGCGTTCCTGATCTATCGGGAATTGCTGCCTGTAGCACAACGCCCCAACGACCAAACCTGTGAAAGAGCCACGGCCGTGAGAAACTTTGGCAAAATGGAAGAACATAGATTGGTACCAATGACTGCTCCAGCGACGACATCACTCCAGTGGTGCCAGTAGTCATTCATAATCGAAATGGCAACCAAGGTGGCTCCAACGAGAGGAAGCGCGGCGATCACAAACTTGATAATGCGACCCCTGTGACCAGCAAACTTGATTCTACCTGCGAGGTACCATGACAAGTATCCCAACCCCGCGAAAGACCCTGTGAAGAACAAATGATCGTTTTGAGCTCCCTTGCGACGTAGGGAAAAGAAAAAGGAAAACTTACAGGAAGCGTGACCACTTGGGAAGCTCTTGTAGCCTTGACGAACTTCGCCTGCCGAGCCAGTGCAAGCGACGTCTCCAGAGATTGGCTTGAAATGCTAGAAGCAAGAACCAACAAGGATTTACCTCGAGACTCTAGAAATTCCAGGAAACAATACCGGAACGCCGTCTGGAAAGCATCTCCAAAAGAAGTCTGGCCGGGGTCGGCCCGTCAAGTTCTTCAAGGAATCGGTGATCACGGAGGTGATGATAACCGTGAAGAACAAGCCTGGATCGATAGGAGAGAGATATGAGAACTTAAAAGCTAGAAAAAGCTCTTACCAAGAATCGCATGATGCAAATCACGGGTGTTCCTCTTGAAGACATAGTAGCCAAGAATGAATAGAAGAGGAATCGCGAACGATATCACCTGATCAGAATGGAACTTAGCGAGAAAGCAAGTAAAGATCCCTCTTTTCTTACCACAAGCGCCGCGATTGGGACCGTGAAGCTCTTCACCGGGAACCTGAGATCATTGATCATGTACTCGTTCATGTACCTCCTGAAGGGATGGATCACTTTGAGCAAAAGCAACTCGAAGATGGCCAGAGCAATGAGAATCGCCCAGTCGTGAGCATGGTGTCTCAACAAGCAATGTCTCCATCTCAGGGTGCGATCGCTCATTGCGCTTCCTGGTCACAGTTAGCAAAAAGCACCACTTTTGAGCAAGGGCTCCTCACCTGTTATCGCGTTTTTGCTATGCAATCCCTTCCTCTCTCACGAAACTCTTGTTGCCACGATCGAGGCCCAAGCTCACCACCGTGTGTAGATCTTTCCCGTTGAAGCTCCGTGATCACCGCTTGCAAGAGAGTAACGCCATCTGTCCATCAAACTAAGCATGACACCTGTAGAAATAGAAAAATACCTCGAGATTCCTTTGTCCGAATGGCAATCAAGGTATATTCGACAGTCTGCGAATCACTGTCGAAAGTTCCACACGCCAAGTTAAAAAAAAATGGAGCTTTTGCTATATGTACCTCATAGTTCTTCTGGCTCCTTGGACTCCCCAGCGTATATGTTTGAGACGAGGACGTATGGAACACCGCTCTCTGGTTGCAACTCGGACATTTTCTTCCCGGCTCGCGAGCCGATCTCCAGATTTCCATGAACCCGGCACGAGTTTAAGAGCGTCGTCCACACCACGGCGTCAGCTTTGAACGGCATTGTCTCGATCAGTTCCGCGGCCTCCTCGAGCATGCCAGCTCTCCCAAGAGCATCGATGACGCAGCAGTAGTGATCCAGCGAAGGATCCAATCCAAAGTCGCCGGACATGGACACGAAGTATTGGGTCCCGCGATCGACGAGGCCGATATGGATGCACGCCGTCAGAGCACCGACAAAGCTGCTACCAGTCGGCGTCACCCCCTCCAAGAACATGAGCTCCACAAGTCCGAGAGCCTCGCGAGCGTGGCCGTTCTCGGCGTAGCGCTGGATCATCGAGTTCCAGAAGACAACGTCGCGGTGCGGGATGGACTCAAACATCTCCCTCGCCACCTCCAGCCTCGCGTTTTGAGCGTAGAGCATCAGCACGCAGCTGCACGAGAGAAGGCTCCACTGCGGCATCCTGTCGAAGAACTCTTTCGCTCCCTGGATGCTACCATTCTGAGCGTGGCCGGCGATCATCACCGCCCACGAGACCACGTCCCTGTGAGGCATACCATCGAACAATCCCCGGGCTTCCACCAAAAGATCCTTTTGAGCGTAGGCCGAGACGATGGTGTTCCATGACACCATGCTCCACTGCGGCATTCTCTGGGAGGTTGTTCCAGCTTGCTCCAGATCGTTGCCTTGTGATGCATACGCCTGGATCATCGAGTTCCACGACACAACATCCTTGTGAGGCGTATCATCAAAGATTTGCTTTGTGGAATCCAGGTCTCCAGCTCCTGCGAATGCCTGCGAGATCGCGTTCCACGATATGGTGTTCCGCTCAGGAATCCTGGCAAACAAATCCCTTGCCTCCTCCAAGTGCCCACTCTCGGCATATGCTGATATCAAGCAGTTCCAGCAGATCACACTCCACTCCGGCGTTCGATCGAACACTTCCTTCGCTTCTCTCACAAGTCCAGCTTGTGTATAGCTCGCGAGTACATCCGTCCACGAGATAACATCTCTTTGCGGCATCAAATCAAACAAGAGCTTCGACTGGGAGTAATGCCCGTTCTCGGCATATGCGTGAATCATGGCGTTCCAGGACACAAGATCCCACTGGGGCATTTTCTGGAAGATCCGGGCAGCCTCGATCGTATGCCCATTCTCCGCGCAAGCGCCCAGCATCGCCGTCCACGACACCACATTCCTCTGGAGCATCCCCTGGAAGAAGAACCGGCTGGCCTCGGCGGAGCAGCCACTGCGCGTGTAGGCCTTGGCCATGGCGTTCCAGCACGCCACGTCCCGCTCGGGAGCGCTGATCCCATCGAAGATCATTCGCGCCTCCGCGACGCGCCCGCTGTGCCCATACGCCGCGATCATGATCGTCGCGGAGAAGATGTTGGGGCGATCGATGTCGTCGTAGACCATCCGTGCCTCCTCCACGCTGCCGCATTTGCCATACATCTCCACCAGGAGATTCGCCAGGAAGCGATTGCCGTGCCAGGCGCTGCCCAGGATCCGGGCGTGGATCGATCGCCCGCGCAGCAGATCCCTGGCGCCGCCGCACTCGCGGACGATCCGCGCGAGCGCATCGACGCTGCTCTCCTCGCGAGGAGGAGCCCTAGGGCAGAGCCGCATATTCCACGAATCTTCGAATTTATTTGAAAGCATTTGGGGGCAAAGTTCTCGCAGTCCGTACAGCAACTTACAGTGGAAATTTCGCGGGTATAAAAAGGGATTCCAATGAGCTAAGTGCGCGTACGTCAGTGCTGGGATTGAATGCAATGGATTGGCCAACACATTGTCGTGAGTGTCCGGAAAAGAGAAAGAGCGCACCACGCAATTTGTGATCGCCCCAAATTCCATGTCAATCCCTTCGACTCTATGTTGGTGTGCATACGGACGATACGGAAAAGAAGAAGCAAAAAACTATGGAAGCCTTGTAGTGCCATGCGCATCGCAAATTGCTCGCTTTGCCCTCTCAGTGACGTACGTAGTCCGGCCATGTGCCCCATTGCGAGATTTCTTAACAAGAATTTATAGTTTCCCAGTGCTATCCGTACACAGGGCGCTGGATGGATGGAACCCTAATCTCGGAACAACGCAAAAGCAAAGTGGAAATGGCCAAGTGTCGCATTTATGCCATGGCCGTGTCGCATGTGACAGCCGTACGAAACGGCACCTCTCGGGCCTGGCCCAAAACCCAGCCCCACGGGAACCAGTCCGTACCGGCCCCCCAATTGTACGGCGCACGCGGACATGAGGGCTTGCACCGGCCGTACAAGACCCACCGCCCCTCCCTGCGGTGTTCGTACAGCATTTAAAAGGGTGTGGCCGTACAGAATACGGAAGTGGCCACGTTAGGGTTGAGCGGGAGCGTACGGACGAGCGCTCACCACATAGAGCCTGTTTGTTTGTTTTGGTATATTGGTATTTTATTCTCCCTCTCTCTCTCTCGCGCTGGTTGTGCCCTTCCTCTCTCTCTCTGTTCTTCCCAGGCTAGGGCTACCAGGAGAATCCATTCTTCTTCCTCTTCCTCTCGCCAATTCCTTCGATCGCTGAGATTAGGGTTCTTCGCTTCTTCCTCTTTGTCCGTCTCGCCAAGAAAACCACGCCAATTTCTTCTCCCTCTCCTTTTCTCTTTTTAGGTCGCGAGCGCCTCGGCTTCCTCATGGCTTGATTGATTGGCAGATTGATTGATCCCGCGGCGCGCGCGCGCTCCACAGCAGGATGATGGGTCAGCAGCCGCAGCAAATGGTGGGGATTCACCACCATCACCACCTCCACCACCACGAATCCGAGCAGCAGCCGATTGTCGTGGACCAGCAGCACAAGCAGCAGCACCACCATCACCACCAACACCACCACCACCACCAGCAGCTCATGGAGGAGGAATCCGGCCAGGCAGGAGGAGGAGGAGAGGGCCTCCCGGAAGACGAGGAAGACGTGGAGGAGGATCCCGAGGACGACGATCCCGCCGAGCTCGCCGCGGCAGTGCCATCCTCGGGCGCCATCGGCGAGGGGATGGCTCCCGGCAATGCTGACGCCGCCAATCTTGTCCCGGTTCTGGGAGTGGATTCCTCGCGGAGGCAGCACCAGCGACCAAGAGGAGGAGGAGGTAGCGGTGGTGGTGGTGGTGGTGGAGGAGGAGGAATCTCGAGTTCTTCGTCGGGGTCTGGCGGAGCTGCTACAGCGGTGGTGGTGGCCGCCGCCGCCGCCGCGGCGGGGCTCCAGATGCCTGTTCTTCCAGTTCCTTGCTGCCGAGTGGATGGTTGTGGCGAGGATCTGTCCACTGCCGGGGATTACCACCGGCGGCACAAGGTTTGCAAGCTGCATGCTACGTTGCCCAAGGTCATGAATCACGGCCAGGAGCAAAGATTCTGCCAACAATGCAGCAGGTTGGATCTCTCCTCCATATTTTTTCTCTCTTGCGTTTCATTTCTTCTTTGTTCTTCTTTCCAATCTTTGATAGCGAGAGTGGAATGATTTTTTTTGGCGTGTGTTTCTTTGCATGCTTGTGCTTGCTTGATCCAGTGATCACTGACAGAAAGATTTTTCTCTCGGTTGAGTTGGCTGATTTTTTTTCTGGTGGCTACTTTCAGATTTCATTCCTTGTCGGAGTTTGACGAAGGCAAGCGGAGCTGCCGGAAGCGCCTGGCGGGGCACAACGAGCGGAGGCGGAGGCACCAACCGGATTCGCTCGCCACAACTTCCAGTGAAAGTCCTCCATTAACTCAGGGTAGGCTTTCTCCGCTCTCTTGCATATTCATGAGTTCAAGTCTCTTCTCTCTTTTTTTCTGCGTGTACGGAAGTTCCTTTTTTTTTTGTGATCGTCTTTGGTCCCTTTTCCTCATCTATTTTTGGTTTTCAGGCCGGGAGAGCAATAAAAAGCCGCGAGAGTGGAAAGGGCGTGGAAGGGGAGGGAGGAGAGGACGAAGTGGGCTATCCTTCTCCGCACGGGGACCCGGAGACGACCCGAGCAGCCCCCTCGTCTTGCGAGACGAAATCCAGAGTATGTCCTCTAAGCGAAGAGCGGTGAAGTCAGGTGAAGAGTCATTCTCCATCATTTTCAATGATGCATTCCCAGAGCGTGACAGTGTCAAGGGTAAAATGAGCCTTCGAGTAGCAGACATGATGGAGAAGAGAGTTGCCGGAGAGTATAAGGAGATTGACGAGCTTGATATTGATATAGCAGACATGGAGCAAGTCAAGGAGGGGCTCGACCTGGGTGAAGGCGTCGTCATACCTCCGCTGCCGCTCAAAAGGGACGGGAAGCTGTCGGTGCTCAAAGGCTGGCCACCCCAGGAAGGCGCAGTGCTCAACCCGGACGAGATGCAAATCGAGACGAGCCTGACACCAAAAGACGAGCTTGAGAACAAGCGAGCATGGCAGAGAGGTACGCTCTTTTTCCTTCGATGTTGTTCTAAACCGCCAACTCGTTCGTTGCACAGATGACAAAGAGACGCTGCTCCACTGCTTCTGGGAGTGCTCCAAAGTCCAGCCGGTGTGGAGATGGGCCGCGAGGCAGCTGAGCAAGCTCCGGGGCAGTAAGGTGAAGCTGGAGCTCCGGCAGGCGGTGTTCGGCGGGAAGCTGGATAGCTGGGCCTCGCAGGAGAACGTTTCGGTGTGGAAGCTGTTGCGGGGGATCATCCTCTGGCAGATATGGTTGGCAAGGAAGGGGAAGGCCTTGTCCGGGATCCAGTGGACTTCGAACAAGGTGATCCGGGCGGCGTGGGTGGACCTGATGATGTACGCCATGCAGGATTGGCTGGAAGTTTACAAGAAGAAGGAGACCGGCAAGATGGAAGACGCTCACGAGCTGCGCGGGAAGTTCGATTCCAAGTGGCTGGTGAACCAGTTTGCTGGGAAACGGGCCGAGTGGAGCATGGTTTGGAAGGATCCCGACGACGTTTTGCTTGATTGACAGGGACGCTCGCTGGTGTCACTGCAAGAACAGTAATAGAGAAGCAAGAACCGATTAAAATCTCACCAGGAACTTACAGCGTCAGCAGCTTTGGCCTATTAATCTGGACGAGAAAGGACTGAAGCAGCTCCTCGTCTGCTTCGCTCTTTATAACACTTTGTACACACGACGGACAACGATTGTTATACTTACAAAAGGCTTTTAAGATGGTGGTGGTGGTGATGGAACGATCAAAGTCGACAGCTAGCTGGTAGAAAATAATCTCCTTTTCTTCTTCTTCCTTTCTTCTTTTCATTTGGTCTGGTCTGGTCTGGTCTGGAAAGAACGTTTAATCCCTTGTACGAGGGCTGTAACCATAGTTGAAGTGATTGATCCTAAAAATACGGCTTGGGATATAGCAAACATGATTGACCCTCCCAAGAACGATAGGAAACTTTAGCTTCGTCCACTGGAGTTCGCTGCTTTTACAGTCGCCGGGGACTCTTGAAAGTCGAGCCATGGCGGAAGGGAACAACCAACACCATCGACGGAGCCGGATCAAGCGAAGCTCTGCAAGGATGGGTGCCGGGCGGATATCAACACGTACGCGTCGTAGTCGACTCTCCCCCGGGCCTGCTGCTCCACTCTCCAGCTGCTGTTAAGTTTGAAAGCGAGCTCTTAAACCTTCACACACTGAGTCTCCGATAAACCGAAGAGCGCCAGCGCCTCTTGGCAGCTCTTGTAGCTGCTGTAGGCCGAGAACATCACGTTCCAGGACACCACGCTCCAGCAGTGCGGCAAAGCGGGCGCTCTGGCCGACGCCCGGATCTTCTACCTCGGCCTCGAGGCCAACAAGCTCGTCGCCAACTTCCTCATCCTCATGTACGGCAAGTGCGAGAGCATCGACCACCCAGGTGTTCGAGCGGATGGAACGACTACTCGTACAGCATCATGCTCCAATGCAGGAAAATGCTCTTGCGCACCAGTCACCCGAAGACGGTCAGGCTGATGAGGTCCGAGTTGGAAGGTCCGGAAGCTTGCCCATTCTACGGCCTCTTCGCGAAGCTCGCTCGCTCTTCGACGAGCGCAACGTTGTCTCCTGGACCACCATGGTCGAGAACGGCCCATCTTCGTGTCCTACGCTAGGCTGCACCACAGTCATGACGTACACGCGCTCGCTCTCGGCCTCCTCCGCTCCCCCGCTCTGCTCGAACCGGCGAAGCGAGCGGCAGTGAAGCAGCATGCTGCGACAGTCTCGAGCATCATGGCTCGAGTAGCTTGGTAATGGTTTACTGTACTGAACCTTCTTTTGTTTTCCACTCTAGAATAACTCTTGGCTATTGGAACTAAACACTTCTCAAGCACTACAAACCCTTGGTCATCACACCTGAATAACATCACGATCTGGATAGTTCACGAACAAATCGTACTCGTCCGGCGGGATCATCCTGGTGTCGACTCCAGCCTTGAGCACCTTGAGATTGTTCTCAGCGTCGGTGCGAACTTCCATCAGCATTCCGCGGATGGTCGGCCCGATCACGTCGCGAACCTCGTACGAAATGTTGAAATTGAAGGCGGTATCGCACACGTCCTTGCGCACCTCCTCGCCGTAGTCAGGCCGCTCCCACCTGTAAAAGGTGACGCGGAACCCCCTGGACAGGAGCACGCCAAAGAGGAGGTAAGGCCCGTCGTTCTTGTCCATCTCCCTGTCCAGGCACTCGTACATGTCATAAGGGGTGCGGCCACAGAGAAAGATGACATCGCCATCCCGCTTGCCCTCGAGCTCGCCACTGCGCAGTGATCAGGAGGACTATGGAAGTTCTTCTTACCTGTAGACAATCACTCTTGATACATAGCCAGTCAGGAAGCCCACGGGATCTTTCCAGTAATCAGGAAGACCCAGTTCCTTGATCTTCCAGCTCTTATCGCCCAGCACATTATCCGGAGTTACCAGATCCTTGAGACTCACGAACCCCATCCCCAGCCCTAGAATGTACAATCATTGCTGTTATAAGTCTAGTCTACTCTCGTGAATTTATCAAAGAACTGATTTGGTCCCTCTCATCACAGGAAAATCACTTCGTCCTCGTCCATCGCAAGTGATAGACGCTACATTGGGATTGAGCTTGCGAGCTTTCACTCCAGCACAGGCAGCTCGCGGCATATCCTTCTGGACCTTGGCAGCGGCGAGCCAGGGCATTCAAGATGGCGCGGCATGGTATCTGCAAGGTCCTCGGCCTAGCATCCCGGCTCGGGTGACTCGGAGGTGATGGAAAGAAGATGCCGAACGCTGACCTCGTCCGGTAGCAGGACGAGATGCTCAAAGGCGATGGAGTGTTTGGAGTATTTCCCTTGTCAGCTAGAGCTCCGGCAGGCGGTCTTCGGTGGGAAGCTGGATAGCTGGGCCTCTCAGGAGAATGTTTCGGTGTGGAAGCTCTTGCGCCCTCGGGCAGATATGGTTGGCGGGGAAAGACCTTGTCCGGGATCCAATGGACTTCAAACAAGGTGATCCGGGCGGCGTGGGCGGACCTGATGATGTACGAGATGCAGAACTGGCTGAAAGTTTACAAGAAGAAGGAGACCAGCAAGATGGAAGACTGCACGGCAAGTTCGACTCCAAGTGGCTGGTGAACCAGTTTGACGGCCCGAGTACAGCATGGTTTGACAGGGTCCCGACGACAATTGACAGGGACGCTCACTCCAAGAACAGTATGAGCAGAGAAGCAGGAGCTTACAGCGTTAGCAGCAATCCGGACGAGAAAGGACTCGCCTGCTTCGCTCTTTATAACACTTTGTACACACGACGGACAACGATTGTTATACTTACAAAAGATGGTGGAACGATCAAAGTCGACAGCTAACTGGTAAAAAAATTTCTCCTTCTTCTACAGCTTGGGATCTATAGTTGAAGTGATTGATCCTCCAAAAACAAAGCCTGGGATATAGGCAAACGTTGCAGAGGAGGATGTAGAATGCGCTATAGATTACTTGCGTCCACTAGAGTTCGCTGCTTCCACCGCCACCACCGACGATCTTACAGTAGCCTCAGCCGCCGGGGACTCGTGAAAGTCGAGCCATGGCGGAAGGGAAAGACCAACAAGTTCACCATCGACGAGGAGCAGTGTAGGAGCCGGATCAGGCAGGCGGTGGAGGAGCTCTGCACCGATGGCTGCCGGGCGGACATCAACACGTACGCGTCGCTGCTCCAGCAGTGCGGCAACGCGGGCGCTCTGGCAGAAGGCAAGCGCGTCCACGCCCGGATCCTCCACCTCGGCCTCGAGGCCGACAAGCTCGTCGCCAACTTCCTCATCCTCATGTACGGCAAGTGCAAGAGCGTCGACCTCGCCACCCAGGTGTTCGAGCGGATGCCCAGGCGGAACGACTACTCGTACAGCATCATGCTCCAGGCATTTGCCGACTGCGGGCAAATGCGGCTGGCGCGGGAAGTCTTTGACAAGATGCCGCTCCAGGCCGATATCTCGTGGACCGCACTCATCTCCGGCTACGCCAAGAACGGCTTCCTGGAGGAGGCCGAGGCGATCTTCCGGAAACTCCCCCGCCGCCACTTCGTCGCCTGGACCGCCCTCGTCACAGCGTATGCCCAGAACGGGCAAGCTTCAAAGGCGTTCCGGACCTTCCAACTCATGGACCTGGACGGCTCCCAGCCCGACTCCATCGCTTTCATCAGCGTCTTGGATGCCTGTGCGACCGTCTTCGCACTCGACGCCGGGAGATTGGTCCACAGGACAGTGGCGGATGCCGCAGTGAGCCTGGATGCCCGAGTTGTCAACATGCTCATCCACCTTTATGGACGCTGCGGCGCTCTTCGTGAAGCTCGATCCCTCTTCGACAAGCTGGACGAGCGCAACGTTGTCTCGTGGACCACCATGGTCGCCGCCTATGCCCAGAACGGCTACCCGGACGAGGCCCGAGCCATCTTCAATGAGATGCCTCGCCGCAACCTTGTGTCCTGGAACGCCATGGTGACGGCCTACGCCGAGAATGGCCGCGGGAAGAAGGCGCTCGAGATCTTCCGGCTCATGGACCTGGAAGGCACCCAGGCTGATGGATTCACTTACTTGGGATCGCTGGATGCCTGCTCCACGATCCCAGACCTGGCCTACGGGAGACTCATCCACGCCGAGATCCGCGAGAGTCGCAGCTCCGGCGATCCCAAAGTTGGCAACGCGCTGCTCAATCTCTATGCCAAGTGTGGCCACCTCCGGGACGCGGTGGCGCTGTTCGCAACGATGCCGATGAAGATCCTTGCGGCCTGGAACACCATGATCGGGGCCTTCGCTCAAACCGGCCACGGCAAAGAAGCCATCGAAGTCTTCGAGCATCTGGCGCTGGAAGGCCTGCTACCGGACGAGATTAGCTTCATCAGTGTTCTCTCCGGCTGTGCCTACGCCGGGATCTTCAAGGACGGGCTCCGGATCTTCGTTTCCATCACGTCCGACTATGGAGTGACCCGAGTCTACGACCACTTCGTGTGCGCTGTGAACATCCTGTGCCAGGCCGGGATGCTGGAGGAGGCCGAGGAGCTTGCCGATACCATGCCGTTTGTGACCGACGCCATCCCGTGGATGACTTTGCTCGCCGCTGCCAAGGTCCAGAACGATATGCCGCGAGCTGCCCGTGCTGGAGAGAAAGCTCGCAAGCTCAATCCTAATGTATCGGCGCCTTACGTGATGCTGTCCAGCGTCTATCACATGCGGCGCCAGCAAGCCGGCGAGAGCGAAGACGAGGACGAAGAGGTGATCTTGTCCGAAAGGTGATCATCCTCGGTGAGACAAGCGATCGATCACTAGATTTCTTCTGACTGTATTAACAGCAATGCTCGAGGGAATAAAACCAAGCAAGACCAGTTCTTAGCGCGTTGCCAACTTTGCTGTCGAGTCAATTTTTCGCGATCCAAGAGAAAGGGTGCCGGAAGAATTTCCCAGACAATGATTCAAGAAAGAAGGAGACTAGATTTCTAACCAGGATCGTTGTCTGGAAAATTTCCCTCTTGTTTCGCTTGATTCCAGCACTTAGCTAAGATCGCTAGCATGGATAGAACGAGCTTAAGAGTTTGAAAGTGGACACAATTAAATTTGCTGAGCATACCCCTTTAAGCCTAAATATTTGGGTCCTTTTTCTTTCTCCCAGCAAGCGAATGAAAAAAGGCGTGACAGGGATCTTCTACGCGATCAGCGAGCAGCAGGAGCGATCGATCCTCCTCCGCCACTACTCCGTCGCGCCTGCGCTCCTTCGCTACTTCAGCTCTAAGGGATCGGCCTCCTCCACCGGCGAGACGCACACGCCGCCGCCATCGGTGAAACCCAGTAACAGCGGCAGCGCTGGCGGCGATGGCACTGCCAAGCCTGTGCTCTCACATTACTGGGGGATCGTCACCAAGAGGCCGGTTCGCGAGGATGGCAAGGCTTGGCCTTGGAATTCGTTCAGGGTAAACTAAGCTCTTCTTTTTGGGTTTTGGTTTTCTTTGCTTTGTGCTAGCTCGTCACCATCTTCATTGATGAATGGATGGATTTTTTGTTTTGTTTTTTTTTTTCTTGCAGCCTACCGATGCTTACACTCCAGATGTGAGCATTGATCTCAAAAAGCACCACACTCCACTGTCGTTCGTGGACAAGTTCGCCTACTGGACCGTGAAAGCGATGCGTTTGCCCACAGACATTTTCTTCCAGGCAAGATATCTTTCTCTCTTTCTATCCTTTGAATATGAATGAGCATGTTTATGTTGAATCCTTGCGAAGCTCCTGGGGATCAAACGAGTTTTTAGTTTGCTAGTCTTATAAACTTGGACTGGTTTTATTTTTGCAGCGACGATACGGCTGCCGAGCGATGATGCTCGAGACTGTCGCTGCGGTCCCGGGGATGGTCGGGGGGATGCTGCTGCACTGCCGCTCGCTTCGCCGGTTCGAGCACAGCGGGGGATGGATCAAAGCGCTGCTGGAGGAGGCCGAGAACGAGCGCATGCACCTCATGACTTTCATGGAGGTGGTGCAACCAAAGTGGTACGAGCGAGCGCTGGTGTTTGCGGTCCAGGGCGTCTTCTTCAACGCCTACATGGTGTGCTACATCGCCTTCCCCCGCCTCGCGCACCGCATCGTCGGCTACCTCGAGGAGGAGGCAATCCACTCGTACACCGAGTACATCAAAGAGATCGACAAGGGAAACATCCCAAACACGCCGGCGCCCGCCATCGCCATCGACTACTGGAGGCTGCCAAAGGACGCCAAGATCCGCGACGTTGTCCAAGTTGTCCGCGCCGACGAGGCTCACCACCGGGACGTGAACCACTTCGCAGCGGTAAGCCTCGGATGCAAAAAGAAGGGATGGGAGTTCTAACGAGTTTGCTCACGCGCAGGATATTCATCTCAAAGGCAAGCAGCTGCGAGAGGCCCCCGCTCCACTAGGATACCACTGAGGATCACTGGAGATCGCCATAGCCAAGTAAAACAAGGTCAGGACTTTGCTATCTTCTGCAAGCTCGTTTCATTTACTAGAAGTTTCGATTTGCTTTCAAGAGTGTTGCTTTCTCTGGAAACCATTTGCTCAAACGTTTTCTTCTTGACAGCGTTTGAGCAGAAAGGCTTCCACTGTCATGCCCGGTCCAAATGCCACAAGAGCTCCCCACCGGCATGGATCTTCGCCACCTTTCACTGCTCGTCGTCAATCACAAAGAGGCACGCCGCGCAGGACATGTTTCCACAATCGGCAAGAACGTGTCTGCTCGCAGCAAGCTTGTGGCGATAGAGCTCCAAAGCTTGCTCAACAGCATCCAGGATCGCTGGTCCGCCCGGATGAACAGCCCAAAACAAATCGTGGTAGCTCGGGAAGCCCGGAAGAACTCGAGACATAACTTGGGCGATGTTGGTGGATATGGCTCGAGGCACCTCCCGCGAGAGATCTACGTGCAAGCCGCTGGGCCGGAGTTTGATCGTGATGTGCTCGCTGGTGTCAGGGACTAGAACTTGAGCCGCGGAGGAGATTTCAAAGAGTGGTTTTTCCTGGAGCTCGAGAGAGGAGCTGGAGCCGACGATGACGGAGCTGGCTCCATCGCCGAAAAGAACCGTGCTGATCATCATCGACACGTCGCGGAGGTCTGCGGCGATGTGATATCACAGCATGCGACGAGGACACGCGCTCCGGGAGAGCTGTCCGCGATGGTTTTGGCGATCCGGAGTGCCGTTCCTAGACGAGGTGAGTGATGCTCGAGGCTGGTCGTCCCCACTCATCCAGAGCGTTTCGTGCAGCTCTGGCCGCTAGCTCTGGGACTCGCTCGTTCGCCACCGCAAAGCTCTTCTCCAGGGACCGGGAAGATGTTTCGTCTGGGTCGAAGCGCGGGAGCACGGAGAAGTGCCGCCTTTTGATGCCCGACTTCTCACCTTCGGGAAGAGACAGTGAGCTGGGATGAGCGAAACGAGCAGAAGAGTGAGTGGCAACTTACAAAGTTTTCGCATTTTCGGCTTGATGAGAGTGCTCCTCCGCCTCGCTGAAGTAGGAGTCGACGAAGTCTCTCTGCGAGCAAGCATCTGGTGGGAGAGCGGTGCCGATGGCGAGGATGGTTGCCATGCTCGGAAGGGTGTCAACATTCTTTACGAGAACTTCGCATTATATTCTGTGAGAGAACTTTGTCCAGTGTGCTTGGGCTGACTTGCTATAGCCGTGTTGATCTCACTGTGATGTCACTGATACAAACACTTCCAACGTAGTTATAACGGAAACTTGATCCTCGCCCAAGTTGCGATTGTGATGATCAAATGCGAGTACAACGTTTCAAGGTTATCACGAGATAAGCTAGGAAAGCTTTGCTAAAACCCAATTGAAAACTCTCCACTCACTTTTGATACCAGATCGCCATGTCTGCTCGTCACTCTTCACTTGATCATCACATTGTGAGAATCTTTGATCACGGTCGAGACGAATCCATTCTTCTGGAGCTATATCTTGTCGCATGGATTCTCAGGCACCGGCCACCATCTTTCTCCTACTTTAAACACCAAACTTGAGCATGGAAGTCAAAAGTGGCAGCAAGGGAGCTTCCAATTTCCCTGTGACGCGGATGGACGGACTTTACACTCTCCAATCGAACTCCTTTTTCACTGCCACTCGGAGCTCGAGAGAAGCTCGAGGACCAACTGATCAGTTCATGGGACAAGCTCGTCTTCTGTTGCAAAGACGTACGCGTTCCCTGTATGGCTCGGGCCCGACGGCGGGACTGGAGTGTTCTTGGGCAGCATCTGCGAGAAGAATGAGCCACCGCGATCGTCCCTGGGAGAGTCGAAAGAGAAGCGTTCGCCACCGCTGTGAAAATCCAGCTCCGAGCTTGGAGAAGCAGCAGCAGCAGCTTCTTCTCGGCGCGATCGATGAGAGTAGCTTGCAGAAGGAACTGTTGCTGTGTCGCTTGATTTTGGAGCACCAGGAGTGAAAGAACTCGCTAGACTTCTCGAATCTGTGTCACTGCTGCCTAAGTGCCTCCACTGCAAGCCAAATCTCCTCGCAGCACACTGTGAAGTCTTCCACTGGAATCCCATCAGTATCCACAAGCTCAAGACCACCAACACCGGCCGAAAGCTTCCTCTTGTCCTCCTGCTGCTAAATCCAAAAGCCATGCTCGCCGACGCCGACGATGATTTGAGCTGACAAGCGAGCATGGAAGTGGAGGGAGTTGCCGCTGCTGCTTGTCTCGAGAGCCTTGTCGTCATCTCTGGAGCCGGACCACAGGAATAGATTCGATGACGAAGTGCGCGAATCGTGAGACTAGATAGTGGCTGCCCAGCATCGCGCATGGATTGAGGAGCACGCTGTTCTTCCAAGAGATAGTGAGAGAGCATTAACTCCTCCGTGTTTCCCTCCAGTCCAGCATGGAAACAAACCGAAGCAAGGCTCCAACAACACGTCAAGAAGAAAGGAAAAAGAAATGCGAGAAAGAGTAAGTTACCGCGGCAATGCTGACTCCGTGAGAAAATGCGAGGACAACAGTTGGTTTACCACTGTTTTGCGAAGACTTTCGAGCACGGGGCCAATGGGGAGGCCTCCACAATCCATCGTGGGAAGGAAGAAGGCAGCGTTTCAAGCGAGAGTGGATCGAAAAAACCTGCGAGTCAATGGTGGCAGCAGCAGCAGCCACACAGACGCTAGATTCAAGGCCCGGAATTATTACAATAGTGCCACCTTTTGGAAGAAAAAAAGAAAAGAAAAACACGAGACAAGCTTTAGCTTCTCATCAACGAAACGCATCTCATCACTCACAGCGTTAAAAAGGAGTTTTTTGCGCGCTTTCTATCCATCGCTGTAAAAGTTTGAATGCACTGGGCAAAGATCAATGAGTAGAATAAGCAAGGAAGCGAAAGTTTTCTTACCGTGAAGAAGAAGAACAAGGGAAAACTTTGGTTTCACGAGAGCCTGGCGAGCATCTTAACTTGCTCGCTCACAGCTGCTAGTTCCGCTTCTTTGTTGTCAAGTCGAGCTTGGAGCTTGTCATTCTCGAGCATGAGCTTTTGGACCTCGGCCTCTTTGTTTCGTTTTCCAGCTTCCAGGCCGCCAACACGAGCTGTTAGCCTGAAAAGAAAGATAGAAAACACTATTACAAAAAGAGAGGATTTTTTTCTAGATATCCTTCACGCAAAGCTTCCTGTGAAAATCGATATGAAAAGAGGAACAAAAGGAGATGAGCTTTACCGCTCGGAGATTCTCTCCACTTCTTCGATGCGTCTCTCCATCGATCTTATGGTCTCGCGAGCTTTTACCAGGCTATCCACGCTCGATCTTAGAATCCCAAAGTCACGCCGGACTTTGGAGAGCTCCTGCTCGTTCTCGTTGGCACGGTGCCGCTGCCGCGACGTCTCCATCTCCATGTCCTCGAGCTTGACTTGCATCTCCTTTAGAATCCCGCTGGTTCCCATCGCCACCCTCTCCATCTCCTCCACGCGACACCACATCTCCTCGATCTGTATAGACTTCCTCGTCACCTCCTCCTCGCTCATCCTCGCCCGGACTCGCTCCACGTCCACCTCCGCCTCGGCTACGATCGCCCTCTTGAGCAAAGCTTCCATGGCATCCGCGACCTGTGCCACCGCCACCGTCGTCCGCTGGACGTACTCCACCTCCCCTCGCTCGGACAAGCTTCGCAAGACGTTACTCTCGATGGCGGCCACGAGTTCGTCGCTCAATCCCCGCGCTCCTCCGGCACAATCGTTCTCGTCTGGATTCGTCGCTGCCCCTTTGAGCCAATCCGCCATTGGGACGCCCCTCTTGTCGACATAGCCCACGCCTTCTTTCTTCCGGATGCCGCACGAGGCGAAGGCGTACCTTGGAACAGCCATGACTCTGGCCTTGGATTTGAGGTACGCGAGGAGCGTCTCCACTGTGGTGGCTCGATCCTGCAGCACTTGGAGTCCCTCCATTCCCGTGGCTTTGTTTTTCACCACTCCACCGATTCAACCGCTTACATTCTGTGGAATAAGTGTCTTTCTGCCCTAAAAATGACTTGACCAATACCTGAAGCGAGAAAGGTGGCAGCTTCCCAT